CGATACCGCTAAAGAGACCTAGCACCGGGGAAGTAGGTACTTATAAGATCCCTTACGAAGGAAATTACGAAAGGAGTTCTCGGCTAGGAGGTAGGCCTAATAAACGAGTGAGCGACATCACCGATATCGTTAATAAGGAATAACGACTAGACATAACGGACGAGGAACTTAAAGAATACGTTCTCGTTAACGACGACGTAACTACCCTCTATATAATAGGATCACTAGAGGAAGAACACAGGATTCCTAAGGAATATAAGGAATTCTAGGATGTGTTTACGCCACTACCAAACGGTAAGCTACCAGAGTATGGTCCGTTTAACCATAAGATCAAGATTAAGGACGACTAAGAACCAAGGTTTATACCAATTTACCTACTATCGTAGAAGGAATCAGCGGTACTAGACGAATATATTAAGGAAAACCTTAAAAAGGGCAATATTTAACACTCGAAGTTATTAGTAGGATACCCAATCCTATTTGTGCCTAAGAAAGGAGGAGAACTTAGAATATACGTTAACTACCGACAGCTTAACGACATCACCATTAAGGACCGGCACCTACTACCGTTAATTAACGAAATTCAAGATATCATTTAGGGAGCAAAATACTTCAGTAAGTACGACATCACTAATGTATATAACCGACTTAGAATTAGGAAAGGAGACGAGTAGAAAACAGCATTTAGGACTAAGTTTGGATATTTCGAATATAAGGTTATGCCATTCGGTCTCACTAACGTACTAACATCGTTTCAACGATTTATCTTTCACGTTTTAAACGGATACCTCGATAAGTTTGTTATCGCGTACCTCGATAACATCCTCGTGTTTTCAAAAACTAAGGAAGAACACGTCTAGCACAACAAAATAGTACTACAACGGTTAAGAGAAGCAAAGGTTATACTCAAACTTAAGAAATATGAATTCTATGTTTAGAATACTAGTTTCCTCGGATACACCATCAGCCCTAACGGATTAGGGATGAAGGAAGATAAGGTTAGGAGTATCCTCGAATAGCTAACACCGATATACGTTAAGGACGTATAAAGTTTCCTTAGATTAGCTAACTACTATCGAAAATTAGTACCGTAATATTCGAAGTACGTAGTAGGACTCTACCGGTTTACTAAGAAAGGAGTTCTATTTAAATAGGACGATAAAGCGGAGAAGTCATTCACCGCACTTAAAGAGATATACAACAAAAAAGTAGGAGAAGCTATTATCGTAATATTTAATTACGACGCACTAATCATCGTGGAGATAGACGTATTAGATTTTACACTCGGAGCGTAGCTTATATAACTAGGGAAGGACGGTAAGCTTAGACCTATCGCTTTTTAGTCTCGTAAGATAATCCTAGCAGAGCTTAACTACGATATCTACGATAAGGAACTACTAGCTATAGTGTTAGCATTCTAAATATAGAGGGTATACCTAGAAGGAGCTAAGCACACTATGACGGTTAGAACGGACCACTATAACTTGACTTACTTTATAACGACAAAGAAACTCACACGACGATAAGCTAGATACGTAGAGACACTAGCCTAATACGATTTTAAAATCGTACACTATAAGGGAACTAAGAACGTAGTAGCGGACGCGCTAAGTCGACGACCGGACTACGAACTCGGAACTAAGGAGGTAGTACCCGTAATCCTAACCACGGATCAAGAAGGGAACATCGTCTATAACCACTAAATACTCATAGTAATAAGCGAATTATAGAACGACGAATGGATCGAAAGGATTCGAGAAGTAACCACCCACGACGAATCAATATAGAAGGTCTTAGGCAACAGTACTACACTAACTCGGAATAGCTTAGTCTATATCTATAGTCTAGTATACGTTCCTAGAAACCTTTAAACGGAAATCATCAAATCGCATCACGACGAACCTACGTAAGGGCACCTAGGAATTAAAAAAACCATCGAGAAAATCACACGAAATTATTACATCCCAGCACTTTACAGAAAAGTCAAAAAATATATCTAGTAATGCGACTTATATTAGCGAAATAAGTCATCGCGATATATACTATACGGAGAAATAGAGTTAGCGGAAGTACTAAAGCGACTATAGGAATAGATCACTATAGACTTTATCACGAAACTACCCACTTCGGAGGGAAACGACATAATTATAGTAGTCGTCGACCGACTAACTAAATATATATATATAATCCCGATAACGGAGAGTATCGACGCACAGCGAATAGTATAAATACTACTTCGATAAGTGTTCGTTCACCACGGAACACTAAGTAAGATTACCTCGGATAGAGATAAGTTATTCACATCTAATATATAGTAATCACTAGCGGATTAACTCGGCATTAAGCATAGACTCTCTACCGCGTACTACCCGCAAACCAACGGATAAACGGAAAGAGTTAACTAGACTCTAGAGTAGTATCTACGACACTACGTGAACTACTAGCAAAACGACTAGATAGGACTACTACTAATAGCACAATTTGCATACAACAATGCAATGCACGTAACCACGAAAGAAACACCATTTTTCGCGAATTACGGGTTTAATCCCACTATTCTCGGAGAACCAATCGGCAAGCGACCACTCGCAGAGTTATCTCGACTACTAGCGACTAGGTTAAAGTAAATACATCTCTAACTTTTAAGGGACATCGAGTTTCTCAACATACGCATAAAGTTCTACTACGATTAATCGCGCTAGGAGGCGCCGGACTTTCAAAGGGGGGAGAAAGTTTACCTTTTGCGACGCAACATTCGCACTAGACGACCCAGCGCGAAACTCGACCACCTGAAATTAGGACTATTCGAAATTGAAGAAAAAACAGGACCACTTAATTATCGTCTAAAGCTACCAGATAGCATACGACGAATCCATGCAACATTTCATGTCTCATTATTAGAGAAAGCACCCAAGAACGCCGAAATCGCTACCAATATTAAAGTTAAAGAAGTATCCGAAAACGAATATAAGGTCGAGGAAATCCTAGATACCAATAAAATCAGCGGAAGACCTCACTACTTAGTGAAATAGAAAGGATACGATACCTCGGAGAACATATAGGAACCTATCGAGAACCTAATAGGCTGCCACCAGCTAGTTTAACAGTTCCACCGACAGAAGAAGGGGACCCAGCGGCCTTACCCAACCAGGAGGGGTCCAGGTCGGCCTAGGAAAACGATGGATCATTCAGCAACTAAGTTAGAGTAGGATCCTCTGACGTCGTTGTAAGGATACGGTCGTTAACCGTAACAGCAGATCGAGGCACCTCGCCCGCGGCACGAGCACTCTCTGCCTCACGATCTTTTTGCTTAGAAGCAATACGCTCTTTTTTAAGACGCTCGCGCTCTTCAACCTCGCGACGCTCTAACTCTTCTAACTCAGCGATTTCCTTATACTCACGAGCGATAAAGTCGTGAGCACGCTTTTACAACAAGCGTTTTTGTTTCCGCAGACGAAGGACCTTAGCTAAGGCCTCCTCCTCCTCTGCCTCGAGAGTTAGAGTTCCGAAAGGAATATGATTATTCATGAATATTCATGATAATTTGCGAATACGAATAATATGAATTGAATAATATGAATATGAATAAAAGGCTTATTCATATTCGCAATATTCATAAATATATGAATTATTCATATTTATTCATATAATAAGATACCATACATTACGTTTCGTCTCATTACGTCCAGATACATCACCAACTTGTAGACTGTTCCGTGACGAGTTCCAGGCGAATCTTGATTTTGAAGCATTGGAAATTACATGCATACATAAGTACTATTTAGAAATGCGATCTAAGATTTCTCTCTCAGCAACATTAACCAGCGCATAGTCTCCGCGTTCAAGCGGTGTCTTCGGAGGCCCAAGATATTTCGCGCATTGCTGAACTCACGTTCAACCCCGACTTCTGCCGAAGGGATAGATAAATAATCGCGAGCGGCTTTAGCTATGATAGGGAAATTAAACGCATTCGCTTTCCACCACTTAAGGACCCATTCCGCATCCGCATCGTCAATCATATAGTAGGACCAGTTAACCGGTGGAGAATCCAAATACTTATCAATATCCGACAACGATACCTCTTTAGATGGCTAGACTTTGCACAGAGTTCTCCACATAGTTTCTAACATCCCCGGAGGACGTGTATAATCCGCCTCACGGGAGACGAATGGCTCTGGAGGGTATTCTTTCTTCAAAAATTCCCGCACTTAAGAAACGATCAGGGCCGAATCTTGCTCGCTTATTTGAGACACAATCAAGGATAACTTGATACGCGGGTCTAACACGGAAGCCACGTAGTAAAGAAGGTTGTCGTCCATTTTTCTAGCGAACTTATTCATCTTCTGAATGCCTCTCTCCACCGCATTACAAATTTCAATACCCACGTCTTCAAAATCTCCCTCCGCATTCCGAACGTCATTCAACAGATCGTCCAAACTCCAGTAAATCGGTAGACTTTCCACAATCGTCGGGCATATCTTAGAAACAGAGTTTATATAGTCCTAGAATAGCTTAAGAATCTTCGCTACTTACTAAAGTGTCGACCAGTCGTCATCGGTAAGCTAGAGGGCCTGAACTTCGGGATAAATTCGCACGAATTACCCTAGCTCGGTTTAGAGCCGGAGGGCATCTTAAATCATGATATACGTCGAGTTCCATCGGGTATCAACGTCATAGCTAACTTATTTGCTCGGGGATACTTCTTTCCAATATTAACGGCGCTATGGGCTCCGGGCAATCTAAAGGGTCAGGAGCCGGATTTTCATAATCGCTCCTTTCGTGCTATGAAGAGGATTAAACGTTAAACTAGTATGAACGGCCATATCATCTAGTATCGCCTTTGCTTCCCGTGCCGAGCCAGCCCTCAAAGAGGCCAACACATCTTTATAAATCAGGTTGAGGATATAAGCAAGACATGGAATAAAGCTTTGTCGTCCGCGAAACCTCATTAAAGGTCTGATGCGAAAGCGGTCGTCGTCATTGTCGTACTTCTTAAGGAGCTAGTCATGCAGACTCTCACAGAGTGTTCCATTATTACCTACATTGTCACCGGTGATAGTCAGGAGCTTTGGCGCGATGTCTAGTTCGTCAAGCATCTTAAGCACAACCTCCGCTAAATTCTCTCCGGAATACGGTCCGCTGATTTCGGTGAATTCAAGGAGTTCGTCACGCTTTTCGAACTCGGGGGATATCCAGTGACCAATGATACCCATAATTGGAATTTGATTCTCTGAGGTCCACACGTCAAGAGACAGTGCAAGTATTCGGCTACTCCTCTCAAGTTCATCTTTTATATAAGTCCTACGTGAGTAGAACTCCTCCTTAATTCGGTTACTCAGTATATCGGCGGTCTTGATGGGTAAAGAAGCCCCGGTTACTTTAATAAGTACCTTAAAAGCCGGATGCTCCACTATTGTAAAGGGCTGTCTTGTTTGAATGACCCATCGAACTAGTATTTCCTTAACGCTAGCCTTCTATCTCGGCGTCTTTAAGAATCGGTCGAGGTTTCCTTCGGCCGCGGGTAAGAAGATAGAGCCGGTCCCAGGCTTGATGTGATGCTTAGTTTAGAGGTGCACCAGCAGATTTAAAGTGGAACCATAGCGCGCCGAATCTCTAGAGGACCAGTTGCAATGCTTATATACTAGTAGTCGATCTTTCTTTGGCGGGCCACCCTACCTAGACTAAGTGCTATCGAGATCTATAGTCTAAAAATGCTCGATGGCCTAACTGGAATACGACTTGGTCTTTCGTCTTTTAAGCGGAAGCGGACTAGTCGTATCCCTACTACTCTCTAACAGCACAGGATCAAGCGGAGAGGGCGAAGAGCTCACCAGAGAGTAAGACCGTTTTGACTGAGGTGTTTAGTCCAAGTGCCCAGACGGGGAGGGCTCGGGGGAGAATGGGCTTTCTGTCTTACCGACCGATACCTCGGATTACTCCGAGGGCGAAGAAACACGGCCATTGTGTAGAGCATTGTAATCCCGGCGTAGGAGACCTCGGGTCCTCCGCAAGAACGGATTAGATATAGATACCATGCTATTGCTTCCTGGGATTACAGCCTTAAGATGAGATCGGCAGTAATATATAATATACCTTGAGCTCCTTGGGGTGAGGAAACCGGCAAGAGATCCAAAGTGAGAACGATTACTAACTAACTCAGTCATACTCGCGCCTTTTGTTCCCTTCGCGATTTAGAAAAATGATAGGTCTCTTCTCAGTTTTCCACGGCGCGATGTTGATGGGGTTGAACGTAAACAAAAGGTAGTTAGGGTTACTAACGGCCTAGCGTCGTGCGATAAACGCGTTATCACGTGTTATTTCTCGAGTTGATTGTATAGACGGAGCTTAGAGTAAATTAAAAGGATACCCAGGGGCGGAGCAGGTCTATTCAATAATTTAATCCTAGATGGATTGAAGACAAGAGATATAGATATATATAATCTTTAAGGATGTTTATAGCCAATATTAACTCTTCCGAAGTTAGCACCCGCAAACAAGGGAATCAGTTTAATTAATTAATCTACAGGAAAGAAGGGCCTTCTAAAGCCTTAATTAGTGGGGTGTATATTCCAGAAGATACCTTCACACGATATTCCACCGTCCAGCGTTACCGATAAAGTGATAGCAATTTAGAATCGCCCTCTAAGCGTATTTCAGTAATACGATTACTATTATACCGGAGAAAGTATTAATACGGATAAAATACACAATATGAATAATATAAATACGAATATGAATATTGCGTTTATTCGCGTGAATAAAAGGTTCATATATTCATATTCGCGGAGTGCGAATATGAATACGGCGTTTATTCGCATTCCTTTATTCCTTTCGGAACCCTATCGAGAGTACTCTGAAACTTCACTAAACGACGCCATTCAGCATCTAAAAATGTTAGCTCTAGCATCACGCACTTAACACTACCACCGGCACGGACGCAGCAGCTATAACGATCAGAGCGATCGGAACGGACGTAGATCTTAGAAAGACGAACGCAGCGCTCGCAGGGCGCTACCGACTGGAAACCTTCCTCCTCGATTAGCCGATGAAGTTTACCCTTTCGGACGCCAGCCATAACGAGGGAAAAAGAGAAAAAACAAACATGAATCAGACTTACCTAGGGAGGGGGCGCTACTTATAGCCGCTAGGGACATCGACTTAAGAAGAGGGGGGATGATGTTACGAGGCAGACCGTCAGAAACCCGCGGGGAGCAGCGACAGCCAACCAAGCCCTTAAGAACGGGAACACCTGCATAAGTCACGTGCAACTAATAAGACGCATTACACATATGCTTCCCGGGAGCAGGTTTACATACAAAAAGGGCTCCCAGGAGCAAAGTGGGTTAGTGTAAGAGGGTATCTTACACGATCATACTTAGTGATCACTCGGGGTGATTAAGGACACCGTGTCCTTATGGCGGACTTTGTCCTAAGTGTGTATTTACATATATACTAGAAAAGTTCCGGCACAATGGACTACTCGATTAGGTAACCACGTAACTAATCCTATCGGAGGATGGGGCGCATCCCACCATAGGATAGGGCACATCCTACGATAGGACGGGACGACTCATCGCCGGATAGGAAGGACTAGATATATAAGGACATTCATTTAGCATCACGTATTTAGTTCTTCGCGATCAATTACACATTGTTACTTGGTTACTACCTTTAGTACTTTGCACTTCATAGTTCACCTTTAAGATAACCCAACCTACAAGTAGGGGATTCACTCAGTAGCAATACTTGGTGATTAACTTACTTAGCGCGCACTTCTAGTACGTTCTGCAAGATACTCAACAGGATCTATCCCGCAGTAAGGCCTTACGAGGCAACGGTACGATTGAGAGATACTCTTGGAATTCGAAGTTGGAACTAGGCAAGTATAACCCGTGAACGTTCTAACTCACAGTGACCAGTCGGCTACGCGTAACAGCTAAAGCATCGACTTATTTATATTGAGTAGCTTAATAAAGAAGCGTCCTCGCTTACTACTACTCTTAATCTCTTAAGAAAGCTACACTATCGTAGCTTCTTAATCCTATAAGAATCCTATCACCACACTAATTCGGTTTTCTTTATATAGGAACTAGTGGAGGTCTCGATTAGCTAGATTATGGCTAGTAAATATATAATTACCGTAAGTGAAATTATTATAATTATTAGACCGGTACGTTATAAATAGTATAAGTTAGTCTATCTTCTCGCCTAATAAGTTATAGATTATTAATGGTATTTATTATCTACTATAATATAGTAGAGCCCTTACCTACCTAACTCCCGACACGGTTTTTGTGACGTAATCTGGTAACGTTAAGATCGGTATATTTTAAATGATATATCTAGCGTATTAAAATAATAACAATCTATAGGGGGGTTGGAGAAAAGCTGTTAAATTACGACCTCGGAAATGAATCCTACTATATGGAAAGCATATACCTTAGCCGATATCGTTACGCGCCTGATAGTAAAGAATAGATCCTATGAATAGAACGCCGATATAAAAACACTACTAGATGATCTACGGACGATAACTATCGATTCACTGCTATAGGTTAGTTACTTAAAACTTGTTTTGTTATTATTAAAGCTAACGGCTTAGAAACCTACCTTTGAAAACACGCCTTATCTAGAAGAACTCGTCCTTCTTATTACTCTAATAACAAAGACCGTATATTACTAGATCGATTCATATTCTGTTCGGCCATAAACGGTGTTTTCCTTTCTCTCTTGATTTTCTTCGAAATTAGAGTGACGCCGGTATAGCCATGCTACTTATCTGTATTTTAATGACTTCATAGTCTGGCTACTGATTTAGGATGTCTACTGGCTGTAATATTCTTAAAACTTGAAATATGATTTAAATAAGGCTTCAAGATGATAATTTTCTGATTGTAGAAACTTATTCTATTTGGAAGCATATAGATATTCCCATTCTAGATATTATGGCGCATTAATTTGCTATCCGAATTTACGAATAGAGAACACAGAGCTATTTTAGTGAAATATACTAAAACTCTTTAGAAAATCTCTCTTTCCTAAGTTTCAGGAGGCTTCCTATCTAATTAACTAATCACTATTTACTATGTAAAGAGGAAAGCATCTACTCTGTTGTTGATTAGATTGTCCGCTATTTATTTATTTCCTAGAATTACTGAAATAATACTACTAGGACGTAGGCCTAAATATAGCTTCGTATAGATAAACTAGTAGCGAGCTAATAATGATCGTTATATAGTAGCAAACTAAGGCACAGATCATATAGTAAGATCGAGTTCTAGGATGTGTTCTAGATCTGATAAGATCAACATAAGCCATACAAAATGAGTGGAAGATACTGATTCATAAATTTAGCTCTCCTAAACGTTAGGAAGCTATTAAGGACTTTCGAGATTACTTACACGCGTAAGATGCACTAGATGCGTAGCCGCGTTAGCCTTAATTTGTAGTCGGTATTCGTATTTATATAACGATAACTTTTCGAAGCCTAGGCCGACTTACCTTAGATTAGTCGCATTTATTATAAGATAGTAAATATGAATAAAGTTTAGGTTGTGACGCTATGAGCACACCCTAAGCACACCCCGTATACACCCTAAGCACACCCTAAGTACACCCTATGCACACCCTATGCACACCCTAAGCATACCCTAAGCATACCCTAAGTATACCCTAAGCACACCCTAAGCATACCCTAAGTGTCACGGGTTAGACCCGCTTCTTACTATGTGGCCCTACCACATAGCCTTCCCCGCACGTTCCGTTCTGCCACCGCCCTATATACTTACTTCTATTGTTACTCCGCTTGATCCACTCCTTCTCTTCTCCAAGCTTTTTGTAAACAGCATGTTGGCCTAGTTAGATTGAATTTAAGTCTTACTTTAGCCCTTCACACTAAGTATACCCTAAGCACACCCTAAGTACACCCTAAGTACACCCTATGCATACCCTATGCATACCCTAAGCACACCCTAAGTATATCCTAAGTATACCCTATAAACACCCTATACACGGAATAAATAAGGCTTCTATAGTATTTAAGAGTTAGTTTAATTTAGGATATTTAGTTAAATATTTGACTTGATTCGACCGCTTCTACTCTATTTTGTGGTTCGTTAATTGGTCTGATTACATTGCGAACTAATATAAACGAGATAGCTATGGACTTATATAAGAGAGCTAACAGAAGAACGAAGTTATTATATAGTGACGATAGAAGAGAGATTTCTTTTTATTAGATAAGACGATAAGGACCACTCTACGTAATATGCCGGTTAACCCTTTTCCCTCGGTGATTATGCCTCTTCTACCGCAAAGAAAGTTTTTGAGTAATCCTTATTATGAGGCTCTAACCACCACAAATAATAAGCCTTTACCTATGTTAGTATCGCTAGGTAGGTACTATATATATAGTTAAGTGGATAGTTTATGCTTCTAAGCAAAAGTTGATTTATTCGTGTATGATAGATGTATATTCTAGGTCCTCGTCTAATGCCCCTAAATCCGTACGGCGGGGGCCGTAGCTAAGTAAGATTGCGTATAATATATCTTTGCTTATTCTAACGGGAGGATATATCCTGTGAAGGGCTAAAGCAAGACTTGATTCAATCTAACTAGGCCAACATGCTGTTTACAAAAAGCTTAAGGAGGGGAAGTTTATCCTGCGCGTTCTCCACGTCAATATGCCAAGGTCTCGTGATACACGTGACCTATATCGGGCACTGGCCCGTGACAATACCCCCCTCCTAGTCTTAATCTCATCAGGGGCACGACGGCATGGGCTTCGGTGCCGATTTGCTGGCGAATCACCTCCGAAACGGTGCCGTGCTGCTCCTCAAAGGTATCTAAGGCGCTGCAATCCCGCACTGAATCTAGCGTTTCCCACGTTTGCTCAGCCCATCCTCTCCATTTCACCAGCGCTTCGTCACGATATCCTCGTCCGATCTTCCTCCGTCGTATAGCTAGGATCTGCTCGACTTCGTATTCCTCTTCTCCGTCAACTAGTAGTGGTGGTGGCTGCGAATCGTCTACTAGCTGAGATGGGAACGGGTCCGTTGCTGCCGGACGAACTAGTTCAATATGGAACACTGGGTGTATGCCAGTAGGCACATTGAGTCGGACGGTAAACGGTGACGGAACGTCTACTACTCGGTATCGAGCATGTAGCCAATCCAACTTCTTTGACGGTCGTCGTGTGCGTATGTTCCGAAGGTTTAGCCAAACCCAATCATCCTTTTTATAGACAGGCGCAGCCTGTCGACGTCGGTTCGCTTGCTCCTCTTGAAGGGCCTGTGCGGAAGCGATAGCGGCCTGGGCCCAATCGGTGGCTTCTCGTAGGCGATTCACGAACGTTTCGCCTGCCTTTCGTGGTGGGGTCAGGGCGCCTTCTAGCTGCCCTGCTTCGTCAATGCCAATCGGGTCAACGTGGTAACCGTGGGTGAAGAAGAATGGCGAGATTCCAGTTGAAGCGGCATCGCGATTATTAATCGCCACGGCGACTATTGGTAGTAGATCCTTCCAGTTATCCTGTGAGTACGTAGTGAACAAACGTAGAATTCGTTCGATCTCCTGATTGGCACGCTCTGTTGCACCGTCGGTCTGGGGGTGAAATGCCGTGGATAATCGGCGTTGAATCGATAGCCTTTCGCATACCCTTTCCCAGAAAGAACTCACGAATTGGGGGCCGCGGTCGCTTACAATCGCTAGTGGCACCCCATGATGCATATAGAAGTGTGTGAAGAACACCTCTGCTACATCTTCTGCCGTCGTATTCTTCATTCCGATCAGAATCACGCCCTTCGTTAACCGATCTGTTATCACCATGCAGTTCGTTGCCCCCGTAGGTCTGGAGGGTGGCAGTCCGGTGATAAAGTCCACTGATATTTCGGCCCAGATTCGCTGAGGAATAGGTAGGGGTTTCAATAGCCCATGCTTTGTGTCTCGCCATACTGAGCTCCGTCCGCAGATTGTACAATTCCGAAGGAAGCGTCGTACATCCTTCGCTGCTCCTGGCCAGAAGAACCGTCGAGACAGTATCGAATAGGTAGCGTCTCGCCCAGGATGCGCCGTGACGTGTGAATCGTGGATCTTTTGTATGATCCCTGTGCGTAGAACCTCGTTATCAGGAATCCAGATTCGTTGTCTGAAATGAAGCACTCCTCGATCGTCCAAGTGGCACTCTGATAGGCTTGTCTTAATGTCTGTCTCGGCAGCGATTCGGCGCTCTCCCGTTAGCAAAGCGTGGGAGATTCGTTGGTAGATCGAGTCAGACGCCCTTGCCCTTTTCCATTCTGCCTGGAGTTCCTCTTCTTCGAAGAGGGGAATATCCCTTTCAAAGTCGATCGCTTCGTTTGATTGGTGGTCGGCTGGTTGAGGGTCTAACCGTCCTATTTTGATCTTGACCTTTTTGAGCAGGACTCGGAAGCGATTCGATAGCCTTTCGTCGGTGATGCTCTGTGGCATATCCTGGCTCCGTCGTGATAGTGCGTCCGGCCTCACTGCAAGCTTACCAGGGCGATAGCGGAGGTCAAAATCGAACTCTGTTAAGAGATCCGCCCAGCGCATCTGCCGTTCATTCAGATGTTGTGCTTTACCAAAGTATCGGAGGTTCTTATGGTCCGTCACGATAGTGAATCGAGGCACCATTTTCAGCTCAGGTCTCCATTCGCGTAGGGCACGTATAATCGCTAGAAGCTCCTTATCGTGGATCTCGTAGTTTGATTCTGCTGGAGATAGCTTCTGGGAGAGATAGGCGCATGGCCGTAGTTGCCTATCAGGCCCGTATTGCGATAGGACCGCCCCAGTAGCCCAGCCAGAAGCGTCAGTTTCCACGACTGTTTGACGATCCTCCTCGAAATGAGCTAGGATCGGTGCGTTTATAAAGAGTTCCTTTAGTTCCACGAAGGCCTGTTGGCAATTATCGTCCCATTCGAAGATAGCGTCTTTCTTCATAAGCCGTGTTAAGGGTGCCGAAAGGTCGGCGAATCGGGGGATAAACGGCCGGTAGAAGTTCGCAAAACCAATAAAGCTTCGCACATCTCGTATAGACTTCGGTCTCTCCCATGCCCTAATAGCCTCTACCTTCTTTGGGTCAACATGGATCCCCTTCCCGGCTTCGACAATAAAGCCAAGGTATTTCACCGATTTCTGCTCAAACTCTGACTTCGCGATGTCACATTGCAGACCCGCGTCTATTAGTTTCTGTAGAACATCGCCGACCTTTCGGCGGTGATCCGCTAGCGTTCCGTTAGAGTAGATTATTATGTCGTCGACGTATGCCGACACAAAATCATCGAGGTACTCTCGTAGCGTCTGGTTGATATACCTCTGGAACGTTGCCGGTGCGCCAGTTAGCCCAAATGGAGTCACGTTCCACTCGTAGAGCCCGTATCGCGTCCGAAATGCTGTCTTCCATTCTTCTCCAGGGTGAATACGGATCTTATGAAAGGCCGCGATGATATCGAGCTTTGTGAACCAGCGGGCGTGGCCCATGTTCCGTAACGTTTCTCGAATCAGCGGTAGAGGGTAGCGATCCTTCACTGTCCGTTCGTTCAATCCTCGGTAATCGACACAGAATCGTACGCCTCCACCTGGCTTCCTCACTAGCAAGATTGGTGCTGCTGCGGGCGATTGGCTCACACGTATGAAGTTCTTCCCAAGTAGGTCCGTCAACGTCTTCCGTAGGTAAAGAAGTTCTTCCTTGTTCATGCCGTAGAGAGGACCATATGGTGGTGGCTCTTCGACGCCGTTTCGGTCGCGTTTCAAGGGGATCTTATGATCGACCCCTGGTCGGTGTGGTGGTAGCTGATCAGCAAGCTGCTGGCTGAAAGCCGCTATCCATCGCCAGTAGTGTTTTGGTAGCTTATCCTTTGGATCGATGTGCTTCTTAGGACGGAGTGCTCTCTCGATGTCGTCTAGCGAGACCCTACCGATTCGCAAGCGATTCACATCCGATACGCTCTGCATAAGTTGCTGGATAGATGGTGCCTCCGCTTGGGTAACACGTAGTGCCTTTACCCTAATAGGCCTAATAGTGCGATCTACACGATTCCAACACCTCGTCCGCTCCCCAGACTTTGTGAAGATGTCCAGGTATCCTTTCCTTGCTGAGTATCGCCCTTTCACGTCATGTAACCATGGGTCTCCGAGTATCATACTGTCGCTTTGTGGTCCGATAATATAGGCGAACACACGGCCCTGTTGATGGCCGTGGATATCGAGGTCGAAGTAGGTGGCGTGGGTGATTCGGTACTGATTTGGCACGACTCTGTCGAGGATTCGTGGCTGTATCTTAATGCGCGGGAGGTCGAGCAACTGGACTAAGGACTCGTTTACTGTTGCATAACAGCGGCAGCCGCTGTCGACAAGAGCTTATGTAAATTGAATTCCATTCACTCTAGCATCGACTATAAACGGCGGTGTCTCACGTTCCAGTAGCTTTTCGACCCCCTTTCGCTCCTGCTCGCGGCTGAGAACAGGAGCTACTCTTTTCCCGATCCATCCTCGGTAGTCATATCTTCGTCGCCAGAGGCTGTTGTGACGGAATCTTCGTCGCTCACAGGCTTCGATTTCTTCACTTTGACCGTACGCTCCTTTCCCTTCTTGCTCGAAGCGGACGCAATTCGTGCACTACCCGGCCGTTGTGCTGGCAGTAGCGCGTACGTCCCGATAAAGTGGCCGATCTTTCCACATCGTAGGCACTTCCCATCGGCCCGCCGCTGCTCTAGTACGTCCTGGCTAACCCATTGAGCCTGCCTCGGCGCTCCAGTCCTAGATCGGTGGTGTTTCGTGTGGGTTTCGGTTCGGTTTACCGACACAGTAGGCGTCCAATCCATTTCGTCGTCGTTCTGTCTAGGCGAACGCGGCCGACGCGGCCGTTCTGCCTTAGTGATATTAAGGGCATCCATATCGGAGCTTATCTCGTGTAGCCGAGAGATCAGGTCCGAAAAGGTGGCGGGAATGCCCCGATTCATCAACGAATTCGTCATTGTCTTATTAAGTGCTCCGAGGAGAATCTGTCGCTTGGCCTCGTCATGCCATTCGAGAGCGTCGGCATCAGCGAATTCCTTTTCTAGCCGTGGTAGGAACCTAGAAAAGCTCATATCTTCCGGTTGCCGAATCTAGTGAAGTCGCCTAGCTGCGCGTGCTTTGACATTCGGGTCTCCATAGATATTCTCGAGGTAGTCGAGTAAGGCCTGTGGTTCGCTAGTGTCTCGGCGGAGTTTCACAAAGGTTCCGGTGTTCTTCCATGTAAGCTTCTCTAGTCTAGAGAAGATATATATAAATTGGTCCTGAGGAGAACTAATAGCTTCGCCGTCTACACTAAGCTTGTTCTCAATCGAAATTCGCTAGGTTGGCTAGTCGCTCGTGCTTCCACCGAATGGCTTTGGGTCCGGGAGGCGGGGCTTCGGTCGGTGAATAATCTCTGTTCGTGGAGGAATCGGCACCGGTTCGGTAGCCGATCGGGCTGGTGTCGCCTGTCCTTCGTTCATCGTGGTTGTCGTCGTGGCCAGTGAGGCTTGGCGCTCTAACATTGCTTCGAGACGACGCATCCGTTCTTCTTATGCAGCTTCCTGTTGGTAGTGCCGCTCTCGTTCTTCGTTCTGCATAGCCTGGGTCTGTGCTAACTGCTGCAATAGCGTCTGCGCCCACCCAGGAGGGCTCGTCGATTCCTGGTGCTGCATAGCTGCCAGGGGTTATGTAGCGTGCCGGTAATGTGTCGGTCGCTTTTCGTCCAATGTTCTAATATGCCTAGGAATTGCGATCTCCTAAGGCTTTCCAATACGTCTCGAGCGCTAAGAGTTTTATGCGCGAGGATTCCGTTCCAATCGCTGTTCGTCACTGAATCACTAGAGATTCAGGGGGCTTTCCAATGAGTGCCTAGGTCGCTTTCCTAGGGCTTTTCCAATAACCAATGATACTTCTAAGTGTAGAAGGAAGCTTTTTGTATGTGAAGGGCTGAAGCAAGACTTGATTCAATCTAACTAGGCCAACATGCTGTTTACAAAAAGCTTAAGGAGGGGAAGTTTATCCTGCGCGTTCTCCACGTCAATATGCCAAGGTCTCGTGATACACGTGACCTATATCGGGCACTGGCCCGTGACATATCCCGACACTTAAGTTTCAAGCTTAAGGAAGGAGGATATAATCTAATAGATAAGATAGAATTTCTTTTTACGCTGCGTCTGCTAAAGAGAGCCGCTGTTTCTTAAGCGTCGTGCTCTAGTACACCTATAGAGACCCTTTACTTCTTCCGGGGAATTTCTTCGCGAATAGTCTCGTCACCTCCGACTAAGTAAGATTCTGCTCTTCCCGGAGGCTCACTAATAAACAGTTTTCTTCTATAGACCACGGTAAGCCTTTTCTCGTAGGTTACGTATTAACTAATTCGGTGCTTAAGCCCGAGTGGTCATACTTATCTATTAGGTCTATAGCTTAGCTCGAGATACATCCTAATACAGAGGCGGTATCTAGGTTAGCACGCGTAGAAATGTAGTGTGATAAAGCACCCTTAAATAACTAAGACAAAAACTATAGTCGCTCTTCGACCGGTAGGGAAGAGAATTAATCCCGAAGAATAGAAAACGACATTTTAACGGGGCCGCTTACTCGAGCACTCCGGCTAGTCCTATTTATATAGCGATTGTCTACGACGATAGCAACCTTACTAATTTTGGACTACTACCGCCCGGGTTTTATCGCCCGTTACGAATTCGGTCGCATACCGCGGCCACGAACAGATTTACCTAACGAACGAGAAGAGGCTATAACGTCAGAGGTCTCTTTTCTTGCTAGGGTCGGCTCCATATCTTAAAAATAATAATCATCTAGGATTGCCGGATTAATTATTAGGTCGTAACACTCGCTAGCCAGACCAGAACTTCCAGCCTTACCAACTTAAGACTACTAACTAGTAGTACAAGCGAGCCCTAGATCACCCAATTCAAAGTTAAGTAGGCACTAAGACTCCGGGCCTAGATTATCACAATTTATTAGATGGTCCTCGTCTCTAGAGCTTAGTAAATCCTACAGATACAGAATATTATTGAAGTCGAACGCCTTAACTCCGGGGTTAATACATAATATCTAATCCTCTATAGCGGGATAGTGCTGATGCTAAGTGTTTAACTCCTATGGTAGGCTATCGTTCAAGCAAACCTCCACCGGCGGTCGGGGAGGAAGAGGGTGTCGCTCAGATTTATGAGAATGAACATTTAGGTTCTTAGAAGCCGAATTAGTAGAATTAGAGGGAAGCGAGGTGGCGGTGATCGAGACAGGACTTAGATATCGACAAATATCGACAGAATCCCGCAGAGGCTACGCCTTGTCCTAAAAAGGGTTCCACGGGCGGAAGGATTCCAGGCGAAAACTGTCGCTTAACATATTATACGAAAAAAAAGGCAGGAGAGCAAGTTCACGTCATAAAGGGATTAGGGCCACTCGTAGAAATAGAGAAACCAGGATCGGGAGTTTAGGCAGGGGGCAGTGGATAGGGCACAGTTAGAAGGGGAAGGGGGACATGGAGAATTTAGGAGGGTTAGGTTACAGCTTTGTTATGTGGGTAGAATTATAGTCTCTTTTATAGACTACGAGGCGAAATCCGCCTACTTCACCGCGCAGACGACACCGACCAGCTCCAGTAACCCATACCGCTGCATCCAAAGTTACCAGACCATGCTATTTTCGCATCCACGAAGCTAGAATTCTAACAAGCCCGACTAGGAATTCACCTTATAATACGGAATTAACCTAGGTCAGGCGAGCTTACGGTATTTTCGCCATTAGTTCGCATCACCGTTACATACTGTCGAGATTCACCGATTGGGTGAGGATGGACCGGAGAGGCCGACGATAACGACAACTGCGAGGTTAAGGCGTTTAGGAGAAAGCCGCCGAGAGTAGATCTACGACGCTAAGGGCTACACAATATAACCTCCGATGGTTTTACCTCCGACGGGGCGTCAGATAAGGCGGATGAAGCGGAGCACGGAGCATCGAGGGAGGCAGCCGGGGAGACTTCGCTTATTGCGAAGTCAGAAGGAAAACAGAGACCTTTAGCGGGCAAGGTCTCGGTCGCAGAATGCAACCGACATAGCTTTACAGCGAAACCCACGGTGACTTGTTTGAGAAGAGATCAAAGGTAGATTAACACGCAATCACATAGTGTCAAGGACACAATACGGTAGAGGAATGGATCATCTCCGTGTTTCGATTCCCGGGCGACCGGATCGCGGCATCTCCGGCGAAATGAAAGGGGCAGTGCATCGGGCTAAAAGCCAACGAGCAGGCGACGGTAGGGCCGAGAAAGAAAGGGGTTGAAGGGGGGGGGGAAAAAGGGGGAAAGAGAAGAGAAAGTGCGTCGACGAAGAGGAGGAGAGGGCGAGGGGTCTTTTATAGATGGATGGCAGACCGGGAGGGCGGTAAAAGCGGCGTAGGAGGCGCTAAACCAAAGCGGGACTAAGGTGCGGGCGCCATGCCCGAAGGGGCAGGGGGACTACGAATTCAGGCAGGCGGTGGGACGGGAGCCGTTTCCGGCCCCCCGCTCACCGTATCAATTAATACTTAAAAAAGTAGAAGGAATAACCTATTATCTATCTATAAGGCATAGTTATAGAGGCTATTCTATTAATTATTACTATATTCGATATTATAACTATAGAAGACATTATCTCGCGAGATATTAAGATATAGCTATTTTATTACTTTAGCATTACTTATATAAATTAGTCGTGACTATACTTGAGAAAGTAGAAAGAATAACCTACTACTAGTTTATAAGGGATAGTTATAGAGGCTATTCTATCGCTTTAGCCTTACTTATATAAGTAGTCTTATACTCTATACTAATACGGTATATATATTTATAGCGAGTTCGGGATAGAATAGGAATAGAGAGATATTATCTATCTAAGCTATTTAATACTTATATAAGTAATAGGGTACTATTATAATTACTTTATATAGTTAGATAATTCTAGAAGATAGTATAATCTATAATCGGAAGTAGAAGGAAAGATATATAATATTAATATAGATTATAGCTAAGATATATTCCTAATCTAACCCTATTAAAAGTTTTATAGGATTTTTAAAAACTTATTATACCTTTTCTAGGTATCGTACGATAATAAAATAAAATTAATAGAGAGTTCTAATACTAACTCAGAACTTCCTAAATTTTAAGCTTCGTACTAACTAATAGAAATAATTCCACCCTACTATATCCCCACTTTGTCTTCCTATACTTAAGCCAAAAACCATCATTCCACTCTAGTAGGGTGTAAATACTCCTATATAATAGAAAGGTAGGAAGATACAATGATTAGCTTTATTGATGCTATGGAATTATTATATATTATATGGATGCTGGAAACGCAAGGACACTTATGGGACGCCTAGGTGCGAAAAGGCAGGTTCACGACTAACGTAGTTGTATCCAACGAAGTAATAAAGCATAAAGAAGAAGAGCACGCGGAGGGAACGAGAGGTATACATATAAGCCGGGCATCTAATCGGGCATCAGGCGGGCATTTACACACTCAAGTCGTGACAACTTATCAATGTTAGGCGTCATTTGTGTTTTTGTGTACAGATGACGACACGAAGTTCACAAAATATACCTGACCGACTGACAGTAAACCATTCTTGACAGGGCAGAAGGTAATTTTTAGGCTGAAGACACATGTCTCATGACAGACCCAACTTAACTGTGACAGCCGGTTCTCTTGCTGCTCAGGCAAACCTTGCGGTGTCCCGAGTTTTTGGGAGAGTAACCAGACACTGTCAAAACCGTGGTACATGCAGGGCAGTATGTGCATTCTTTCTCGATCAGCTCGCCTACCGCGTGAGCGCGATAATAGGTCAGATTAGTCGAAGAGCCACGGTAAGGTCCAACCCTAAAGTTGCATGTTCCTCGCGCCCCAAGACGCCGCACACTGCCTATATATGTCTTCGCAGTGGACATGTTCTTAATTAGGGTAAGGCAGCTTAACTTATAGGCTAGGTAATTGGTGCTGCATTTGATCGACTATGTGGTACGCTTGTTAAGTTCCGCTTGAACCTCGTCGATATCCTGGTCCCCAATTTTTTTGAGTATGCGAATAATATTCTTATGTCCGTCTATGCGGTTGGTCTTTTCGTAAAGTTCGACCGCCTCGGCGTATAGGTCTTGATCACCACTTCTGTAGCCAAGTACATCTTCTCTGATGCTCTCCAGTACAGTCAAATTGGTACCTTCAATAAGACCTATGCGACTATATACATCACCAGCAATATACTAGCGTGCCCACATAGCGTCTCCGAATCTTCCGTCACGAATAGCGTTGAGATAATCGCTGGCCCATAGTTCCACGATAGGAAATCCATCTGTATTGTTGAGGGAAATCTCCTCCAGACTAAAGTCGAGGAAGAGCTGCTCGACTAGCTCTGTGGAGCTTATATTCAGAGCCGACACGGTAAAGTGACTCAATAGCAAGCTTACGAGAAGCACGAGAAGATACATTTTAACAGTAGCAAGGGACGAAGTGCGTGTAAGTTGTAATAAGAGTAATGAGAAGGGCACTCAAATAGAATTTATTATTCTTCCCCTCTTTATAATAGAAAGTCTTTGTCTAATACTAGACCTGATTAGAATTAGTGTGACTTCTAGATACAGGTGGATTCTACTGTATTATAAGTTTAAGCGCCAATTTTAGTCTTCGTGATCTAAGGAATATACTAAAGCATTTAAAAATTTGAGAGTAGCTATTTTCGTCTATTAGAGTAACATATTGCTACAGAGTGACTAGATGGAAAAGCTCCATGTACCAGGGCATGATAGGCTTCCCCGTATCTTCCTCCGAATAAAGATTCTCCAGACGGCACACCATCCTTTCTCTCCGACCAGTCGACTTGATATCTAGCAGAATCCATACACGTTAAACTAAAGTTCCATCAGATCAGAATTGAAGGGTTTGACGGATGCTATATCAAGACCGAAATAACGGCAAATAATTGTTCAATTACACGGCAATCTCCGTCAAAACTTGTCTACGGATTCTTAACGGATAAACTGATCTGGCATATCATATTATTCCTCTCCACTCGAAATCTACGTCTTTCCATAGGGGCCAAATGACTATGGAGCGATGCCGCGTAATATTGCTCAAGCATCCACAGACTTTGGTCTGTTCATAGCCCTTGATGAGAAGCGGTAGAAATTACCAACAGTGCAGAAGCTCTAATCCGTAGCCTTCTTTGGAGACTTTTTTTTTTGGTCAGAATCACACAGCTAACGTGGAGAATCACACAGCTAACGTGGCAGAAGATATACTAGCATTATACGGGCTAATAGCTACACGCAGGTGGAGTATTTGAACGCGCGTTTCTGTGGGATATAGTGCACGCCAGATGCGACCATGTGGGTCAGCTTTAAGTAAGTCTTCGCCTCGCTCTATGATTTGGAATATGCATTTACCATGTCTCATCAAAAAGACTTTAGCAACGCGACAGTGCATAAAGATTTAAGTGACAAAAATGTAATAGCTCTTGCAAAGTCTGAGATTAGCTCGCCGCAAGGAGTGTACTGTATGCTTTGCTTCTTCTCACTAAGTAGTTAATTAGTAAGGTTAGTTAAGTAAGGTTAGTTAAGTAAGGTTAGTTAAGTAACGTTAGAGTGCTTACTGGAATTTTAGCCAGCTGTTTCTTCTAACTAAATTAAATACGAAGGGAAACAAGGGCTTACGAGTCTACGACCGCCGGGTTAGCCGTTCTCACCCATCATGATCGGCCATGTCGGAGACCCTCGGGCGCTAAACGAGCCTATGCCTATATTGAAATAAATAATTGCATGGGTAGACGTGTACTCAGGGGATGAATGGAAGAAGACATCCATTCTCGAGAATGATCTTACTGTAAGCTCGTTACGCTCTGGGATCAGAGAGGGAACAACACCATTTGGAAAAGAACCGGACACACCTTTAGCGACATGCTAATCAGCGAGCATTGATCGACTGTCAAGGACAGCCAGTGACCAACTTTTAACACGAAACCTGCAATGACGGGCTTAAGTCGGTCGTCTTCTTCTTCCTAAAAGTCTGAATTTAGGACCCTGTTTTCTCTGCCCATCCTAATACCGTATTCTAGCTGTAGACGAATTTTCCCAGATTCACCCCTATTCGATAAGAACATCTGGCCTAACTACGGGAGAGCTCGGTGAACAATTTGATTAGGTGTGATTAAATGCAGTAATTGAAAAGAACAGTCAATGAACAAGAAAGCGCACCCAAAGGAGGCTATCTGCTAGTGCCGTCCTACGCGGAAAGCCATTGAACTTTTTGCCAAACAGACTCATCGGTGCTTCTTCCTAAGGATATAAGTCTTGTTATATATTGCCACTTTCACCATATACAATGTGAGATTGACAAGGGCTAAAATGCACTATTTATCGAATCAGTGACGGCATGCCGCTCAAGGTAACAGGGTGTTCCCTTCGATGAAGGGGGTTTTGGAGAAAGTGTCGGAGTAGAACCACCAGTGGATACTCGGAAGGAGATATTATAAATCCGCACGTATTAGTCATTGTTTTGCCCACCAAATTACCAGCTAGTTGGCAATTCAGACCTGTTGAAATTCGATTGGTGCACCTAGATGAGCTCAGCAACCCATTTCCGATAGTTAGAAAGGAAACCCCTCGTCAGGCTCGCTTTAAATCACGTGAATGGCCTTAGCTGATAAAACCCACCCCAGTGGTGAATGCACTTTCAGTTCCTCGTTCGACCCGCCTCCCGTTTCCTTATACGCCGACAATTCAATCAGAAATAGTTTCTACTGCAATCTGTTTCACCCAGATACCTCTGCCATATAAGGTGCGGTCTTTCTTCTTGTTAAGTACAGGACTCACTTAACTCGGAACACCAGGAGGCATCTTCTCCAGCATCAATGAGTACCAGCGATACTAAACTTGTGGAACAACTGTTCCTAGACTTCTCCGTGCAAGAAGTGCTTCAGAATGAGACGAACGGTTTCCCAGTCGTTGAGCCATGGGCTACCGAATACGTCAATGCCATACGAGACGGGAGGTATGGCGACGCAATATGGGCCCGTTATCATATTGCAGGCGACGTGCATAGTGGTATCATTGACGGCACCGACAGAACCGTACTCGAGATGATCGAAGAAGATGCTTTGGGCTACAAAGTGGATGATCCAGAGGTATATAACGAAGCTCTATCGTTCTACGCCAATACCAATCCGGCGGATGGGCATCCGGAAGTGATTGAAATCATTTTGCGCATAGGAGATAAAAATGTCGACACGCTTCGTGCTAGAATTAAAGCCGAACGTCAAGCGGATGTCCTTGCCGATCTCTGAATTGATCAGACGCCTTGTGGTGTTTTAAGATCACATATAAGAGGCATGTATTTAATTGTGTCACGTTACCGAATGAGAATGCTCTTAGTATCGCGTATCTGATTGCGTATATGACCCGAGATTATTAAAGCTGAGGTATACTTTGCAGCAATAACGTTATAAGGATATGTAAGGAAGATGGCGATGGAGTTAAAGAAAGCTAATTTATGAATATCCTTATAATGGAGAAGCTACCGTGACAAAGAAAAAACTGATAAGTCGTGAATGGGTGATGTCTATGTCGTAGTCCCTTTCGTATGAGAGCCTATAGCTAAACCCTAGAGAAAAGGAATTAATACTCTCGCATCACTCCTAAGTCATACCTCTCCTCTCTTTTCTTTGCAGACCAACATCATTCTTCCAAGTCTCGCCGTTCAGGAATCCAGGTCATAACTCTCCCGCAGAGTTCCCTAGTATATCTATTCAAAACCTTCGGGGTTGCTAACAGCCATTTGTTGCTGGAAGGCCTCTTTACTCGAGGTGACGTGACTCGGTTACTCACTTTAAGAGAATTCGAATCTTTCATAGTTAAATCTCCTGCCTTATTTATTTCTTTCCGCCTTCGCCAATTTTCGGGACCTTACCATCGTTCCAACTTCAATCCTGCCTTTATTCCCCTTTCTAACCGCGAGACCTTTCTGCTGCCCTTTATTCCTCTACTCTCATCACATCTTCTCCCATCCTATTTTCCTAATAACTCCATCCCGTTCCGTGCCCTCGACGCCCTCTAGCATGACGCATTAAAAACTGTCGGCGGTCTTCCCCCACTAAGCTGACTGACGACAATGTCGGCCAGCCTGACCTACATTAAGAGCTAGTTGGCTCCCGACCAGCCCATAGCATAGTGCCTCTGTTAAAGAGTTTGAAATCCTGCTCAATGAGTTACACTATCTATCAAAACCTTACATGTCAAATATGTCACAAAGACAGATAAATATTGCCGTTATCGGTAAGAGAACCGACCTAACACTGCTCATGGCCGTACTGAACAAGTAACCAAATAACTCTATTTCGATAGGCCGGTGGAGTTGGTTCATGCTTTCTTTCGCAGTTAGCAGGGCTTGCCAAACATCAGAAATCGACGCGACTCAGCCTTTGCTATCTTGCGACAATTGACGGGGCGCTTTATCGTCGAGGCTATGCCGACATAAATATTGAAACGGCTCTATCAACATTGGAGACAAAGGGATCTGCACTACCTTCCATTCGGACACAATCGAGTACCTGTCTGGTTCACCACACAAGGTCGTCTTGGTGGATAATACCAGTTCCGGTGCTATGTCAGAAGCTTATCCCGAGTTTCTGAGAAAGTGAATAAGTATTATCACACCAAATAAGAAGTCTTTCTCTGGAAGCTACAATCTTTGGCAAGACATTATGAGTGTAGCCCTATCAGGCGGCTCTATGGTGTACCATGAGACCTTAATGGTCTGGATGTCGCTCGGAAGCTGACAATTCTGGGTCGCTTAGCTAGTCTCCCGATCGAGACTGCAGCATCGTTTCCAGTCCAAAGCCTTATTCCCAAAGAGTTACAAGATTGTGCTACTAGCGAGGAATTTATCTCCCGGCTGCACGAGTTTAATGACCGTATAGAAAGTCAGAAATATCTATTATATAGGAGTATTTACACCCTATCCTATAGGGGTAAATCGGATAGGGTCGACGCGATTTATTTTATTAGGCTACACTTTTCCGATTTTAGTCCATTCGATTTAGAATTTTGTACTCTATTCTGTTTAACCTTCCCGGGTTACTAAGGACCCTAAAATTAGATAGTTTAGAGAGCTAGGTATTATTTACAAAATATTATAATATAAGAGGAATTAATATTAAATTAGGGTTATAGTGAGGTTTTCAAAATACTATATTCAGTCCACGTTGAACACCAGCGGAGTTCACTAACTCTACTAACAAAGCGTTCCCGGCGCTAAACCAGGATAGTATTAGCACCCGCTGGTATTCAGCGGCAACTTCACTGGTATTCATATCTTTTAAATAGCAATCAAGGTGCATAATATTGATTTCTCTTAAACGCCTCTTTCTTTATCAATTTCAGCAAGATGTTTAGCATCATTTCTGTAAGTCAAAGCCGGAAGTTATGAGAAAGGGGGGGTAGTATCAATCTTGTGAGTATTAATCTCCTGCATACCACCGACAGATTGCCGACCGTGTCAAGGCACCCTTCTCACATAGCCAATCCCTACACTAACCATAAGTAATAGATAACCCACAGTAATTCCAACACCTTAGCATTATCACTAGCAACTGTGACATCTGATGCGGCTTTATGCGGTGCAATAGCGGGAACAAGTTCAGCGGGTTCACCCTGAGGGATCAAATGAGGGATCGAATGAGGGATCAAATGGGATCCTCTATAACCCAGATCCATCATTGAGGGGTATGTCATATAAGTAGAGTAAGGATAATTTGGATAGGTAGATCCGTAGCCAAGCAGCGGGTTGTTGCTTAAGGGCCAAGGAAAGGGATGAGCACCATATTGTGTCGATGGGTAAGACCACATCAGAGTTGGATCAAGAGGGCCACACAATGTACTGGGAAAATAGCATGGAAGACCCAGATCGACAGAGAAGTCATCGGTAGGGTTTGCTGGTACAGGACTTGGCCCGAACAATTGCGGAGCGGTTGTATTTGGGTTATTTGACGACGTCATTGTGGACGGGCGATGGATAGTAATTAGCTCTTGTGAGGTAGGAAAATGTGGTACGTAGGCCGAATATTTTTCAGTATGACTATTTAGATTTACACTATTCTACGGAGGTCCATCCAAAAAGTATTGCGCAGCGCACGTACTACCATTATTTTACCACTAACGCTTTACCAAGCGAATACACACAATATTCTTCCCCTGAGCTGATTTCCCTTTATCATTTACTACTACTATCAATCTACACACCTATCGTTACTATGGGGAAGTAGTTAACGCATGCCGATAGTGTGACTGTTGTCGCATTAAGGGCTTACACAACGAAAACGTCTCAAGAAATCGCGAAGATAGTAGATTTGTCTATTTCTACTGTTAATCGCATATATGCACGCGCAATTGAACGCGGCTTCGATCCGATTTATACGAAAATCCTTGATGAATATGTGGAAGATAGCCCTCGTACTGGTCGGCCTATAAAGCAAAATCCTGAGACGATTGATAATATCCTGTTAAAGTTGCGCCTTGATCGATTTGGTCGCGAGAAGACATGCGCTGATCTTGCTGGTGAGCTTAGCTAAGAGGGTATCGATATATCCTCCTCTACGGTCTGGACTATCCTTAAAAAGGCCGGTCTACGTAAGACAAAGCCGACGAGGAAGCCTGGACTGACGAAGAAGATGCGAGCTGAGCGCTTAGCTTGGTGCTTAGCCTATGAGCACTGGACTCTTGAAGATTGGAAGAATGTGATATTCTCTGATGAGACTTCGGTGATTCTTTTATATCGCCGTGGTGGCTATCGTATCTGGCGTTCTAAAGACGAACGACGCGATTTGTTTTGTTAGGCTCCACTTTTCCGATTTTAGTCTATTCGATTTAGAATTTTGTACTCCATTTTGTTAAACCTTCCCGAATTACTAAGGACCCTAAAATTAGATAGTTTAGAGAGCTAGGTATTATTTACAAAATATCATAATTTAAGAGGAATTAATATTAAATTAGGGTTATAGTGAGGTTTTTAAAATATTGATTTTTTTAATAGGGTACGGTTACGGGATAACCTATCTAGTTAGATACGATACGCGGAAAGCTTAGCGGACAGGCAAACGTCTAAGGGTTCTATAGGATTTAGCGATCGATAACTAAGGATGTTAATACCATAGCCGATAATTTAACGTCGTAGGTTCGGGCCTTTGGCGAAATCACGGAGGCTACCGTAAGCGGGGACTTTACCTCGCTAATTACCGTCTCGGCTTCTAGTGAGATAGATAATCTAAAATAGAAAATAAATAAGATAATTTTAGGCTTACGAGAGAGTATTTATCGTAATACCGCGGCTCGCGAGGCTACGGAGTAGGTAAAACGTAGTAAATTTAAGTTTCTTACGAATATAAGGTATACTATTCGCTAACTCCTAGACCGCTAAGTTTTCGAGGGCTAATATATATATCTAGTTACGAAATTAGAACGCTAATAAATACTATTATAGGATTAACGACTTTAATTCTAGATACGGAAGGACTCCCGATAACTATTAGAGAGTCTTTAAATATTATTTATAACCTCGCGATAAATCTCTTAGCTATTATCGATAATATTCTTAATGTATCTAAGATTAAAGTTAACTAGGATATTATCGAGAAATTACTATTTAGTTTAAGTAATACTATATTTAGCGCCCTTAGAGTACTTAATACGTAAATAAATAATAAGATAGTATACTTAGTCTTTACCGTCGATAGTAACGTACCTAACTATATTATCGGCGATATATCTTAACTTTAATAGGTAATCTTAAACTTAGTCGGAAATACTATTAAATTTACTAATTATAGCGAAGTTTATATTAGAATAAGTTACGTTAAGGATAGTAATAATATAAGAGACGAAACTATATTCTAATTTTTAGTATTAGATACTAGAATATTATCTTCGAGAAGTTTTAATAAGTAAATAGATTAGTAACTCGCTATTTCGGAGGAATTAGCCTAGGGTTAGTGTCAGCCTATGTGAGCGTGTGTGGCTATATGAAGTTGGTTGACCATGCGGCCCGCCCGGACCGGACCATCGTTTTTCCTATCCTTTCTCCGGGGAAAAACCATATCTCTTTAACAGAGAGTTTTATATGAGAAATCGGCCAATCTGGCCACGGAAACTAACATCCAACAACTTCCTAATCCATCGATTTATTAGATCATCGATATATGATCGTATCATCGATGTATGATCGGATCATCGATTAGATCAACGATTCGGTCTAGATTCAACTGTCTAAACTGTCCTAATTATGTATTTAAACATCCATTCGTTCACTAGTTTAGCAGTTCAGATTCAATATTATTAGAGAAGATTGAATACTCGGAGAGATTCAATATTCTTTCAGATTTAATATCCTCATAGATTCAATACACTCTCTTTGATCTATCTTATTGATCTCGTTTGACTCTTTCATACTCAGAGAAGATCTTATGCATCGGAGGACCCTTAACGATCTGTGGTCCTAGAAAGAAGAAGAACTTCTATCTTGATTGGTCATCCTAAGGTTCTATGTGGATCCAGTCCTCTCGGACCCGATCGGATACACTAGGAATTCTCGATAGTTAGTAATATCGAAATATCTTATTTCGCTAATAAGGAATAATATATAGGCTACGTCGGAACCTAGATAAGATAATATATTCTATTTTATCTATTAGCTTAAGCTTAGCGGATCTCCTAAGGTCCTCTTAAAGTAAATTCTTTTTTATTAGGGCCGTAAATTACTAATTATTAAGAATAATAATATAGATAAGTCTCCTATTATTCCTATATTATAGGAAATAGGCTTTTAGGTTACTATAATATATCTTAAGTAGCTTAATTCCTCTTATTTTAAGGTAGAGCGGAGTTTTAGTTATACTTTTAATATAGTCCTAATTCTTACTATAGAAGTTATATTTAGGTTTTATATTTATAAGGAATTATCGCTTATTCTATTAGTTATAATAATATCTAGGCTATTATTATTACTTAAGATAGTAGCTATACTTAGTATAATATTATATATTATAGTACCTTATCGGCTAATCGATCTTTAGAATAGAATTTTACCGGCCTTAGATAGTTATATAGTTTATAACGCGTTTAGGTCTATATCCTTTTTATCTATCTTATTAATAAAGGATCATAATATTAGTATTAAGATAGCTATTTATATCCTTAAAAAATATAATTATATAGTTATAGTTATTAAAGATGGACTATAGGCTTTAGATATAGTAAAGTACTACCGATATAATATAATTCTAATAGATATATAGATACTAATAATAAGAGGCTTTAAAGCGACTAATAAAATTAGGTAGTAAGAAGAATTACAGTCAACTCCCGCTTATGGCACGCCCGGATTTAGCACACATCGGGTTATGGCACACATTCTTCGTGGACGGACCCACTTTTCCCCCTTTTCCCATATATATAGACCACTTATGGCACACTCAGTTATAGCACACAGTTTTTCTCTCCTATATCTGCTTAGTCATATAGCTTGACCAATCACGATGGAAAATTCAGTCGCCCTTTCGGCCAAGATGCCTACCATAAGGCGAGGTAGGAAGGGCATATCTGACGCTCAGAAACAGGCTCTACGCGTCTACGCATCCGAAACACACCCTACACCTTCTCAGCGAGCCTACGTTGAGTGGTTTCGGTCCCAGTTTGGTCGCCTAATTGATCGGGCTACTGTCTCAAAGATCCTTTCATCTAAATACCAGCATCTTGATGCTAGCCCAGCTGGTCTAAATATACGCTTATCGACATCGCATTGGCCTATATTAGACCAAGCTCTCTTTGAATGGCAGCAAAGACACTAGGATACCGGCTTTCCTATAATAGGCCCGTTACTTCGGCTTAAAGCTATCGAGTATTGGAAGAAAATACCCGAATATGCTGAAAGCCCAGTGCCCCTTTTCTCTAATAGGTGGCTTACTCGGTTTAAGCAACGTTATTCCCTCCGTTATTATACCTTCCACGGTGAATCTGCATCGGCCCCGACCTCGATACACGACGAGATAAAACCTATTCAGGCGATCTGCGATTAATATTAACCGGAGGATATATATAATATAGATGAAACTAGGCTTTACTGGCGCCGTATGCCAAACGGTGGCCTATCAACAGATGGTTATGCTGGTCAAAAGAGAGATAAGGCCCGGATCACTATAGTAGTTTCGACGAATACTACTGGTTCGGACCGAATGCCTCTATAGCTAATTAGTATAGCAAAGATACCACGCGCTCTTCGGGGGGTAAATATCCGAGTAATTAGATGTACCTAGCGCTGGAATAAGAAAGTATAGATGCGTAGTGGTATTATAGGAGAATGGCTTCGCGCGTTTTATAAGTATATTAGTAAGTAACGACGCGTTCTGCTATTGCTAGATAATTTTAGCGCGTATCTATGCGCGCTTGAATCTACGCCGCCCCCGTCTAATATTAAGGTGTTATTTTTCCCGGCAAATGCGACGTTAGTTTATCAGCCACTGGATTAAGGAATCATCTAGAATCTAAAGCACCATTATCGGAGGAAATGGATGATATGGATAATTAATATCCTTGACCGGAACCTTAATCCGAATAAGAAAATGAGCCTCAATTATACCCTCCGCTAGCTTACCTAGGCCTGGCGAAATGACGTTCTTAATTAGACTATACAGAACTGCTTTATTAAGAGTACTATCGTTAGTCGTAGCACTAATTAGACGTAAAGTATGCTAACACTAGAGCCGCTTAAATTAATACCTTTATACTAGAGCTTAATTAACCGGTTTCCTACGGATATAGGTAGCGACACACCTACAGTCATGTCATTAGATAACTTCCTAAATCCATTAGACGAGAATGACTTCGGTGAGCCTGATTTATCTAATATAATCGCCGACTTATCTAGTGAGGGTGGTAATGACGGTGACTAGGATGACGAATATATATCCGGACCTCCAGTAGAGCTTCCATCTGGTGCCGAGGCTATTAATAGCATTCAAAAAGCGCTTCTATGGGCTCAGCACTAAGAGGGCACTACTGAGGAGAATATACGTCAGATAGAGGGGTTAGAACGTCTATTCAACAGGCTACAGGTGGATAGTAGGAGATAGAGGACATTAGATGACTTCCTAATTAGGAATTAATGTATATCGATCAATATATCTAAATTAGTCATCCGATCACAATAAGCACAATTCACTTATGGCACGCAAATTCTGTTGGATGGTGGGGTGTGCCATAAGCGGGAGTTGACTGTATAAGAAGTACGTTACTACGGGTATAGATAATTATATATCTAAACCGCTCGATTAAAATCTAATAATAGAGACGGTCATAAATACATTTATAAAATCGAGGCATAATCTTTACTTCCGTGCTATAATTAGCGGTAATAGCTCTAATATATATATACTCTCCGAGCCATAGGTATTCTCGGGGAAGTTCTAAGCTCCGTCCGAACTTCGCTAATATAGAGAAGTCAACATCTCTTTATTTTTTTCATCCTTCTTATTTCTCTTAGTGGACTTCCTCGGCCTTTGACAAGTACCATGTGGAAAACGGTCTATTATTACCATATTTGCCATCGTGTTCTGGTGTCGGAGGTGGACGATATAGACCTGGTCAAATTGCAGAAAGGCGCATTTAGAGGGATACTATCAAAATTTTAGGCCTCCCTCGTCCTTCTTTACTGAGACCGAAATTTTCCGAAAGTGACTGAATTCTCCGAGAGACAATTAGATGTCATAAAAAGTGGAGCAATTGTCACTATGGGCAAGAAGCAAAGAGCTATTTACACCCAACCAATTAGCCTATATATAAGTTATGCATCTACGAATAGTATTTTAATGCGATGTTGAAAAGCCCCTCCGCCGGTGGCTTTCCCATAAAAAAAGGGTAGTGCTAGGTAAAGATAATTCCTTGAACACACCGGAAATGAAGAAATATTAACCGGAAGAAATTGTCATGACTATCGGGGTTCCTCCTTTATCATAATATTGAAAAGGCAAGATCTCTCTAACCAAGTAGCCTTCTCATTCGGTAGAACGAAGAATAAGTCCCAATCACTCCGTCGAGACATAGTCCGCGGACAACTGAATTGAGATTATTTAATTTGGGCTACTTTGACTTTGTCGATTAGAACAACTCGTATCTATAAACGATTGAATCTATAAGGTTTTTCTAGTTTCTGCGAGGAGAGGCTTTATAAACGTCTGTCTTCAGCTTTAATACCAATTTGCGTTAAGCCAATACCAGCTTAGGCACATCTTATTCAATAATCTCACTTGACACCGACTTACTTCTGCAGATGATCATCTGTTTTTGGACGTAGAAGTCGGGATTGGTAGCGCCTTAGTGATGCAGAGTCCACGGCATGTCTCCGTTTGTGTGCAGACCTGGCCTGTGGGACACGCATCGAATGCACCCAAAATGCAGGAAATACTCGGCAGGTTTGTCGGAGTCGCGATGCAAAGCCCGCCGCAACCTACTGGGGTGGGGCAGGTCACAGTCGGAGTACAGCTTGACCCAGTAGGACAAGCGCCGCCCATTGTGCATGGCAGCAACGAAGTCGAAGTAGGCACAGAGATACAAGCACCGCCACAGAACCCGCCACCAGCCGGAGGGCAACTCATGGTTGGAGTGCAGGTTGAACCAGTCAAACAACCCGTTGAAGCACCGACCATGCACGGAACTTGCGGGGGAGGAGTAGGGACCGATATGCAGAGCCCGTGACAAGTCATTGTCTGCGTGCATTGTGAGCCGAATGGGCAAGGCAATCCACCAACAATACACGGAACAGACAATGTAGAGGTAGGAACGGGTGAACAGTGGTCATGATCATGGGCAGCGAGCGTAACCGAAAGGGCAAGGCAAATCGCCAAGTAAAATGGCCCTAACCCCATTGTATCGCGATCAAACATACTTTCAAGGGTTGGTTCGAAGGTATCCTACGTCTGTCTAGTTACACACTTGCAGGTTGAGGATAGGGGGTATTTATAATGTGAGCGTCTGTATATCGACCACCAAGTTGAGTGCAGACAGAAGAAATATTCGAGGTCAAATCAGCGGGTAAACTTCCAGGAAGTAAAACATAACAAACCATACCGTGGTACCAACCATGTGGATATGAGAGAGTTTCCAATAGGAAGCTTTTACCTGAACTTAAATTCCATGTCCGATTATTCGAGTGTATCAGGCGACTCTAGAGTTTAAACTCAAGCCGGGCCAGAACTGTTGTACAAACAGCAAATAATGCATACGCCTTTCGCCATGAAGCTGATGGGTTTGAAAGCGACGCGAACAAGTGAGACATCTCATGCGTGGTTGGGAGGTCTCGAAACGCCATCTCGTATCTAGCTCGTGTCGGTGAAAGGCGGAGAGGGGGGATCTTACATGGGGTGGGGTTGTGGGAAAAGTGACTCGAGGTCAGGGAAGCACTGTTTAATGGAAAATATTCTGATCACAATGGTATAATGCTATGTTATGCTATTAGCCTTTTGGAAAGGAGAAATTTATAGTAATTCTCCTCTATATGATAGACCAAAAGCTATCGGGTGGCACAAAAATCCTGATCAGTGAGCTATTTTTACTCTCGTATTCAGACCCTGATTCAGGTTGGACAGTCCGAACCTAAAATCAAATCTGTCGCAGATGACACCTGATTGTAGTGAGCCACAGCGCATATAACCTTTTCCAGGCCGTGGCAATAAATAACATGCCATAACAGCAGCAACCTAGAAACTGACGAGGAAGGGTCCTCGCTAGTATGACAACCGTCAACCTACATTTCTGGTCCCTTTTCGAATAAAGAAGAGTGAGAATGACAAACTCTGCCAGGAACTATCGGATATAAAAAAGAGACGGCCACGGGCCTTCCGACTCACATTGAAGTACCGATGTGAATTTGCCTTAGAACATAAAGCGAAAGACATCAGGCATATGGAATCGGCATGTACCATCATGGCTTCGGATGATCAGTGAGGATCGGGTCACTGAAACGGGGACAAAGTTGAAGCTAGAAATTGACCCTTTTTCATCCTTGTCTATTGATTAAAAGTACTGACTTTTGACAGAGTTCTTTGGACAGCGAGAAATTTAAAGTTAGAAGTAAATCATAGAAAGGAAGCTTTCGTTTCATGTGACATAACCAATGTCCTCTGCCAACTGAGTCTCATACACTTTCATCTAGAAGTAAACCTTCGCACAGAACCTATATTAAGGTAGACTATCTTTAGAGTTTTTTGGTAGTTTCATTCTTTGGGTCCTGCAGGGCTTGCCTTAAGTCACAAACCTTGCTTCTCCCTAAATTCACAGCACCCACGTATTTGATAACAAGCTAGCCGCATCAATATTATTCAGCATACAAGTCTTCCATGGCTGCGGTGGCTCACCTTATAACTCTCCAAAAAGGGGCCCGACTGCTGACAACGGCAGTGGTGAAATCCGCGTTAATAGTCTCTATCCAGACCATACCTCTATGCCAATGGTTGAAGAAACTTACTAGGCCACACTTGGAATACGGAGTACATGGGAATATGAGAGTATGTTGAAAAGGATTCCCAGTCAAAGGAATGATAGAGTGGTCTCACATTCCCAAGTGAGCAATGGAGGCGGTTTCATGACCTATAACATCGTCTTAATTAACGAAGGCCATAATGCATCTTGGTGACGATTGGCGATAGGTATGCATGGTCTTCTAGTTAAAATAAGAAGCCTTTGTGAAATACGGTTTCTGGAGCAGTAATAAAGTGTTATCCAACGAGTATATGGCCCAGTCCTTTAGAAGCTCCATGCGCCTATGGCGCGCAGGTAAAAAACAAACTTATACTAGTATTAGGTTTACTACTCTGAGGGACAGAGTCCGCGTATACATATGAGGCTACCTAAAAGAAGGGTCTCTCTATAAGATGCCTGCAGTTACGGGAACCAGCCCAGCCAAGAGTATATATAACCCATTTACTCAACTTGCTGGGTGTTTTCTATCACAATTTTCATGAGAGTCTACATCGCTTCTCATGTATCAGTAACATAAGTGTCTAGATGGAGAAAGCTCTCAATGAGTGAAGGCATGAGAATAAAAAAAATGACAAGCATTGAAAAACAACTGCACCATTTATATAGCAAAATAGGCTCCGAATCAAAATTGGAAATAGGTCTACCTGACCAATCCTTAGGCGGAGATTCATGTGAATATGCCTTAGCCGTTTTCCACTGACAGATTCACCTAAGATATTTCTCTCAATCAAGTCTCCACATTTGACCGTGTGTTGTTGCATGTTGCGATCCTAGTGGTCAAACAAAAAGTCCAATCGTTTATTTCCTTGATCGTTGGTAGTCTCCAAATAAGCAGCCTTTTCCTCAGGGCTGAGCTTTTCCCAGCGAGCCTTCTTCCATTGATTCCTGCGCACGTAGTACGCTTTCGCGAGAGCATACATCACAATAGTAGCAATATTGATGGCGATGAGCTGTCCATTACCACGTCGGTAGAGGGATTTGTCATCTGTGCGATATATATTTGACGATGCAATACCCGAAAGTTGAATTGTGATGTTATACAATGCAGCACTTACAGTCCGGGTTCGGACAGTATTGCTCAAACGTGAACACCACCCAACGTGTGCCGCATGTGGCGAGGGCCAGCCGAGTAAGACAAATGTTACTGCATACAACCCCCAGTGAGATAAAGTTCCGGAAGAGGTGTAAAGAACGATGAGCAAAGGAAGAGACCATAGCTGAGTGAAGAGGCCAATGAGAGATATTTGATGGAAACGCTCCGTCAGCTCTGTGACAAGGAGGAGGTTGATGGACGCGAAAACGGTCACTGGAATCGATAGTAAAGTGGTCTGGAATGTACTAAACCCGATTGCCTTCAGCGAGAGTGTAAGATATGCTTTCGGTGGCGCCGTTGGAATTTCGAAAAGTAACCCAATTGCATATATTGGCCAAAGATCATAGTCTTTCAGACTCTGCCAAAGCATTTTTAGGGACAGGCCTTGGCGGTTATGCATATCCCCCTTGGACGGATCATCCCTAAGCACACGGTTGACAATGATCTTCTCTTCCTTTTCTGAAAAGTACCCCCTTGGATTCCACCTTGTCTTGGTTTGTGTGGGACCAGGTACGAGGAAGAGAAAGCTCAAGAAGCCAATAACAATGCTGATCAGTGCCTCGATGAGAAAAAGCCATCTCCATCCTTCCCGGCCTGCAACGCCTCTCATGTGCAGGACACCGTATGCAATAAAAGAGGCGATCACTCCAGACATCGAGTCGACGAACCAGAACAATGCTAGGCGAAACGGCATCTCTGACTTGGTATAGAAATAGGATAAATACAGGATGGAGTCGGGAATGAATCCACCCATAAATAGGCCGATGAAAAAGCGACAAGCAAAGAAACCAGCCCGGTTTTGCATGAAGAATTGACCACCAGACGCCAAGCTCCACAAAATGATCTGTATCGGTATCCACCGGTCGGGGCCCAGTCGTTTGCCAATCATCTGGGACGGGATTTCGGCAATAAGGAAACCAACACGATACATGTTCTGCGCATTGTTGTAATCGTTGGTGGTGATGTGCAAATCATCAAGGAGATTATCTGCGGCAGCGTTGGCCAAATTTCCTCGATCAAGATTCAGTCCGAAGAACATCACCAAGATCCACAGAAGAATCGTCCAATCGGTTTTGCGCCGGACTGCAGTCTCCTCGCGGTAGGTCCATCTGGCAGCAGGATCAAAGCGGCTAAAGTTCTCGTATTTGGGATGTGGTTGATAATATTTGGCAAGTAACGGGTCGTCAAACGCGCTTCGCATGGTCGCGATCGCGTCCGGGTCGTCGACCCTGCGCGAAGGAAGAAAGAGTCTTCGAAGCAACGATGTCTGCTCTGCTTGTTGGGAGGGTTCAGCCAAGTGATCGCCGTTAGCTTCATGAGCTGGCGATCGGCCGGCTACTGTAATTTCGGCCGATTTGGCCTCGGTGTTCATCTTGAGAGTTGGGATGGAGGTGGGCGTTTTGGCTATAACGGCTGAGGGCCGAGGTACGCATATATATCCACAGAAAGCCCTCAAGAATGGAATTAACCTGATTGACTAGGTCCTACGGAGAGGCACATATCAAACTCGTGCTCTCGGTGAACAATGATACCATCCCACGCGATTGTACATATTTCTCATCAGAATATCGATTACTTCGTTGGAAAATAGGAGGTTAGCGCAGGATTCGACGTTTAACTTACCTTCAAGCTATGTATTGCCGCTCGACTAATCAAGTAACTGTTGCATTGGGAGGTTCCTAAGTGGCATTTTCGCCATATAAGGGCGGATGGCATCAGGTTTGATCGATATCAACAGAACACCCCCACCATATTCTTTCAACTTGTGCAACAAACATGATTGGCTTAGATCGCTTTTAGAGAGAAACGAACTCCTGCCATTGGTGGAAAATCTTTTTTCGCCGCTGTAAGTGATCTATGCTCGGATAATTGAGGTTCAGATTCCATCCATGCTTGTTCCCAGGGTTTGCATTGCTTCCCGAAGAAACTAGGGATCGTAGTCCATATTGCTATACAGGAGCTAGATTCACAATTGCGTGGCTTCTGAACTTTAGGTACCATCAAAACGGTAATATCACTCTTCCATGCACATTGCCAAGTTCATCAATTTAATCTAAGTCGTTTGGAGACATTGTCCACACAAGGGTACAATCATGAGGGCGGAAGCAAATGTACCCTTAGAAAACCTATCACCACCTTTCGAGTTTACAATGCTTCATAAGAGTGAAACGAAACCTTACAACTCTACTATGCTGATCGCAGAAATCCCGGAACAAGGAGGCCGAAAGTACAGAATGAAAAGATCTGGAGGTTATTTCGATTCAAACGATACGAGAAATCTGAAGACCATTTATCCAAACACACTAGAAGCTTCCCCAATAATGCAGTTCGTAGTCGACAGCGCCTGGGCGCCAAAGTACAGCAGGTGAATACACGGGAATGGGAGTCGAAGCTACTTTTGGTTAGATAAATTTCTCATCATGAAGATTGTAAACTTACTGCCGTAGCCAGTGCTGGGTGCAGCCCATGTTGGCGTACTCGGTGCTTTCCAATTACTGGGGGTCGCAGTAACAGTGTATGTGCTGGTGTAAGTGTACGGCGACTCAGTAGCCTTCAGAGTTTTGATGCCGTTGTTCGTACCATAACTATCATCGCCAGACCCAAAGATATTGTTAATTTTATTCACGATCTGATTCCCAGTGTCAGTCCAAAGAGTGAAGTCCTCGATAGAGACATTGGTGACAAAGGTCAAATCATTGCCGATCAGAGTTAGCGGTCCTCTCTTTGTGCCATCAGCAACAGAGCCTATCATCTTTGTAAGAAGTCTGATCGCTCGAATAGAAAAGGGGAAAGGTATGATGAACCTGAAAAGTTGCGGAAAACGAGGTTACTCAGGGATACGGAGCCAGTATCAGGTGTGAGGGTGTTTTGCCAGTACTGATTGATATCAAGGCCATATAGACTGGAAAGAGAGCGGAAGTTGGAGAACGTGACGTTTGTTACATAGCCTGAGCCTCCGGGGTATGTCTTTATGAAGGCGATGTTGTTTCCTTGAATAATGCTAATGTTCCGGGCTACCTGTCGAGATATCAGACTCTTGGAACCTTCAAATGATGGATCGCGGATTTTCGTACGATATTAGATATCTTTGCGGATACATTCAGGCTCCCAATAGAGACTCCTGATCCTGCCTGGTTGCAGACGAGATTTTCAATCAATGCAAAGTGCGATGGGCTCTTAACCGAGACACATTCATCTCGATTTGTTACCTAAACCGCAAATCCCATGGTCAGCATGCAAGTAATGACTTATTAATACATCATTCAGGCTCGAAATCATCAGGGCGGCTCAGATATAAGATCACAAACCTCATTATCGTGAATGTAGTAGTTAGTTCCGATTGCGTCTATTCCATCGTAGCTACCCAAATTTGCGCCGCGAATCGTCAAGTGATATACTTCGACGTTTAACATGAAATCAAGGACAATGTGAAATTTTGGGCTGTCGACCAAGATTAAGTCATGAACAGAAGCGTTGGTTGGTGAGATTAATCTAACAAGGCGCGGGCGCTCAGTGCTAATGTTCGGTCTCGTTAGTAATGGAAGTTTTAGCCAATAGAAGGATGTTACCGACTTATTTGCATTTCGATAGAGATATCCTTGCCCTTGGATAGCGCCGGTCCCAGTCGATGAATAGAATTCGAAGTCAACGGCTACAGATGAAGGACAGCTGAATAAGCAAGGCTGATTGACCGTTTGAGACCGTTGGAACTTACCATTGATAATTACGAGAACATCCAGCAAGAATTTCGCATCGCCTTCACCATTGATCGTTGAATTGATTAACTCGCTGCCAGCAAGCCCCTGCAGGATCAGGTTGCGATCAACGGCCCAGTCCCCATCATATGCTGCCGTAATCAGGCCATCCAACTGAAATGCCCAATTAGTTCCGTTGCTAAGAACGACACTTTTGGAAAGAAGATAATCTCCCTCTGGGATAATCAAACGGCTCTTGGGGCTTTGGAGTACGCATTCTGTGAAGGCTTTCTCAACTGCGGAGGATATGTCGGTGGAATTATCAGCCACTGCACCATAGTTCAAGACATTGCACTCAATAGTCTTTTCATTCAGCGGTGTGGACGGTCCAACAGTTCCAACGAGTTGGCTAGCGGCCACCCCAATTATTATGAAAAGCGTGAATAGTCGCATAGCTTCAGTGCCGGTAGAATGAGGCACAGATAGCAGATGGTACAGGCCAGCTCGTTCTCGAATATTGCCGCTTCTGATCCGTTGCTAAGCTCTTTTGCTTTTTACTTGAATCACAAGATTGTAAGCTTCAAGGTCCGATTCTTCTACCTTTCACGGTATCTCATGCCGGGGTTTGCTCATAGTCCACTCTATAGGCGCCATCACTTTTCCGTCTAATAGTACGCTGGATTCGTGTAACGCTAAGGAAGGGCTTACAAAGATCGTCGTGATTTAATCTTAGACCGCAATAAATCTGCTATCCCTGGAGATTGGTTAGAGTAAGGAACCTGGTGAACGTCGGTAGATTTACGGACAAGCTCCGTGTACTTTCTTCCCGAGGCACCTAGCGCCGCCCATCATAAGCGGTCCACTGGCGTATTACATCATCTGATCTTTGAATCACGCGAGGCTGATCGGAGAAATGATTTATTTCTTTAAGAAGAGGCAGATACGTTATCGTGTGAACCCATAATTGCGCAATCCGGAATTATCCTTATCATTGGTGGGAATTCGTGGACGGATTAAATCTGAATGCTGTTACTCCAAAATTTGACGTAACCTCATGATAACGATTCAATTAGTCGTTGCAGTTCTTTATACTCTCACGCAAGGGGCTCTATTGTCGTCTTCTCTTGGAGTATATTGGCTCACAAAACTCCGTCAAATAATATGGCGGGGCAGAAGAATGTCCTGTTGATGGTCGCTGACGACCTGGGGAAGCAACTGAGCTGTTACGGCGCAAAGGGTATCAAAACGCCTAACATCGACAGACTGGCAGAACAGGGGACTCTTTTTGAGCACGCCTTTGCGAGCACCGCGTCTTGCAGCGGCAGTCGTTCTGTGATATACACAGGTCTGCACACTCATCAAAATGGTCAATACGGCCTAGCAAGTCATCGACATCATTTTGTGACTTTTGACCACGTTGAAACTGCTCCTCTCCTTTTGAATCAGATCGGACACAGAACAGGGATTATTGGCAAAATCCACGTGGGCCCTATATCAATTTATCCTTGGCAGATCAAGGAAGAAAGTGACACACGCGATGTCGCAGTGATTTCCGATCAAGCACGTTCCTTCTTCTACAATTGCAAGGAGGACAGAGTTCCCTTCTTCTTGACTATTGGTTTCATTGATCCTCATCGTGATCGGACAAGAGGAGGATTTGGTAATCCGCACCAATATGACCCTCGGATTAGCGAAGGAAACTACACCACGGAGGATGTGGAGATTCCCGCATTTATGAACGATTCGCCGGGTGCTAGATTGGAGCTATCAGAGTATTACAACTCCATTCATCGTCTCGATCAGGGAGTCGGCTTCGTTCTAGATGCCCTCGCCGACTGCGGTCTGGCAAGTTCAACCCTCGTTGTCTTCCTTAGTGATAATGGCCCCCCTTTCATGAATTCAAAGACCACACTCTATGACTCTGGGGTTCAGTTGCCTCTGATTATCAAACATCCCGAGAAAGAAGCTGCAGTTAGCCGAGCCATGGTCTCTTACATCGATATCCTTCCCACAATTCTGGATTTCGTGGGCCATCCGGCAAAAATGGATCCAGCTCAAAAGCGCATCGGTCGATCTCTCCTGCAAAATTTGGGCTCGACATCAGAGGATGCAAAGCTTGAACGAGTCTTTGGATCTCATACATTCCATGAAGTGACCAATTACTGGCCCACTCGGTTCATTCGTGACAGACGGTACAAATACCACAGAAACCTTGCGTGGAGACTAGATTTCCCTTTCGCGTCTGATATATATGGATCACTGTCATGGGAGGATGTTCGTAACTCGGGCGACAAGGAAATCTTCCTCGGGAAGCGAAAACTGAAAGATTACTTTTTTCGTGGGCCTGAAGAGCTTTATGACCTCAAGAATGATCCGTTAGAAGTCGATAACCTCGCCGGAGATCCACGTCATCAAGAGTTACTGGACAGGATGAGGACGCTATTGGAGGAATGGCAACGGCGGACTGAGGATCCTTGGTTGTATCGAGACGGCGTGTCTGTCTGGTTCAACAGATACCATTTCCCGGCAGGATTGAAGATTCCGGACCAGCTAGACTTTGATGTCAATCGACCGGGAAACATGGATGAGGAGGCTTTCAACGGAAACGTAACTTGGGGCGCGGATGTGAAATGATGCCTGTGGTGCCTTGCCTTCAAACTTTGTTCACACTCACCAGATCTGTGTGATTATTTGAGTAGCGATTGGCTGTGATGAATCACCTTTTTGCTTCTTTTTTTTTTCCCCTTCCATTTCATTGTACGCTCTTTAACTGGGTTATACTCTGTCCTCGGGCCTTTTCCTCAATTTTGAGTATACCGAGAGATAAATTGAGTATTATTCCATGAGTTTACTCGGTATCTTTTTGGTCGTTGTTGTGAAATATGAAAATTTTATTAACCCTTGCTGGCTTTTTGAAATCATATTATCTCTAATCAGTCGAGCTTGACGGTAAAAGTTCATACATCGAAATAGCCTGCACCCCGTGAAGCATCGTAGAGCAAGGAATCGCAGAGAATTGATTCCAGGCCTTCAGCCGTTAACCTTGTATTTAGGCCACTATCAGTAAATTTCTGATCGGGCTTCCCTGGATAGATATCCTTTTCGCTTCCGAGGTCTAGCGGTAAAGAACAGAGATTATCGTAAGTCCGAATGGGTGAGTCATAGCAAGTGACAATCTCGCTCTCCAAGTTCATGTCCAAATCCAAGAAGTCGAGATTCACAGTACTAGTCAAGGGCTCGTATGATTGTTCCCGATTAGGCAATTTCGCTCCAAATATGAGCTGCGGGAGTTTATTCACACTTGTGCCACTCTGCTCCCAGTTTCTGGATATTGTCAATGGGTTTGGGAAGTGTTGCACATCCGTCTCTTGAGGAACCGCTTTTCTATCTTGGGCTTGCGTATTTGCCACCGAGACTTCTGCAACCGAGTCGACTGATCCATCACACTCGTGCGGGGGCGACGGCCCTCGTCTAGTCGTACGAACAGACGTGCCTCTACCCAGGCTCGTATCGATAGTCCATGGAAGCTGCGTTATTGCTCCCATTGCTGGAATGTCGCGAACTAAAGCTGGGAGGGATGTATCGTAGGGCAGACGACCTACTGCCAAGCTGTAATCCACGGAAGTCGATATCAACAAATATGCGCGCGGGCATCGCAAGAAAGCATCGAGCCAGCATTTTGCACGTATAGGGGTCTGATTTCGGATCCTTGTCGAGTTCGGAAAGTCAGAGTTCATACGGTTCCCAATCCGGTTTTGCTCGACACTGTCACATATCATTCTTGATGGAGGTTCACCGGAAAGAAAGAAGTTTTGTGTTGTCATGTACGCCAACTGCAGTATATGATTGGTTCCGGCCGCGACAAAGTCTGTAACATCGTACAGAGACTCAGAAAGACGAATTATTTTACTCAGGGCATCCAGACGCTTCTGTCGGATCTTCATTTCGTCACAGGACGGAGAAAGCTTCAGGTCAATTGCGGCTAGGATGAGAGGCATCCCAACGTATCCCAGTCTGAAGAAAATGTCAGTCGAAGTGTCACAATACCCAATGAGCCTCCTAACCACGTAGTGTAAAAATGGAGTTAACCTGAGGGTGGGTTGAGGAAAACATACACGCTCAAAGGTATATTTTCGACATGTCCGTTCCTACTAAAATACTCCATGACAGCTGTCAAGCCTTGAATTCCAGAACTCAAGTCTTTTCCGATTCCAAATACAGCTTCCCTATAGAGATCCGTTGTCAAGGCCAGATGTTCCTCAATCACCAGCGCTGCGAATTGCGCGAGGTCGATGCGAGCCGCACTAAAAGAGAATTGTTAGGACATATGCTGTTTCTGAGTCTTTAATTTCAGGTGCCTCGTACTGGTAGTACATGAAGGTCAGGTTCTTTGTTGTGAGGGTAGGGTCATGGTTTCCGGCCATGCGATCCAAGATAACCGGCGCCTGTGCTTGTGCTTCCCAGGAGATGAGAGATGTCTTGATATCTTCAACCGTGCACATCAGGGCTCGAAACGCCTCTTTTGAATAGGAAGCTATCGTAGTCACTCGAGGAGTAAACACCAGGCAAACAAGATCTGTCAAAAGAACAGCGAGGCGGCATTGGTCTTGCAGGGCCTTTAAAAGTTTCGTTTTCGCATCGTAGTCGTAGAATGGTGAGCCATGCATCTCCTGTTCGAAATCCTCTTCTCCCAACCAATCACGACAACCATGAAGATTATGCGATGCGATCTGGGGCTGACGACGGAGACCGATACAGATGCTTCGATCTCGGAGTAGAATGGACCACCACAATCGTTTTTTGGTCGACTTTGGAACATTCTCTATGGTAATCGAAGGCTTTGTATCAATAAGCATTGCATTTTCAATTGCGCGCGTCAACCACAGGCTACCCGCTTGTGGCACCTCTGCCGATGTGTGATGAGTGAGAAGTATTGCGCCTTGCGCTCTCACGGATGGCCTTGTCTCGGCCATGAGGTCATAAAGAAGCTGGAAAATCTTTTCAGAAATTGTTTTCTTGTGGGGTTCAATCGGCATTGAAGAATACCTTGGATCGGTTGTATAACTTCTTCCGCGCGTCTCGCTTGTCTGCAAATCCGCATCGCTGCAGCGTCTCCAATGAAACAAACTGCCCTCATCATTAGCAACACCAATCAATGAGTTCCGGGGTATCTGGTTACTCGCCGGACAGCTTGCAAATAGAAGAGCCTGGAAGACAAAAAGCGAAACCTTTTCCGTGGAGTTTCCTTCAAAGGCATCCCAAACCTGGATCTCGTCCAACACGGGAAGGATTGGGTGAATTCGAAGGAAATATTGTGTAACAAATTCCTTGGTGTATGCCCGGTCGGGAATGCTCAAGGAGCCTTTGGAACTGAGAAACGTGAGGTCTTCGGGCGCGAGAGACAATAAGCGATCCGACAGGAGGAATGTATAATCTCCAAGGTGAAATACGTTTGCATCCCTTTCCGCTCCTTGTGGTGTATCGTAAGAATCCACGGTTTCTGTCGATTGATAACAGCCCTCTGGCTTGAGTGTTTGTTGAGGAGCTCTCTTCTCGAAAGGTATATCAGTCAGATCAGGTGGCGAACGATCCTGAATAGCTTGATCTTTTGGCCTTTGGAGCGGAGTTAGGCTTGCTTTGTACTCATCATGTCAAATTTAAGGGCACATGCTGTTTTGGTAACTTCCTTCGCAAGACGCAATCGCTGCGGCCGTCCTGACGACAGCGCGTGCACGGACAACCCAGGATCGAGGCATCGCATCGCACCTTGCGGTGATGGCACCACAAGCAAGCCGTGGGCGCTCTTCTGGTCCTTCTTAACATGGAGACGGCTTTCTATCAGTACTGTGACAGGAAGAGAATTGGATTTGAAATTAAGAGGTTGAGGTCAGGGTTGAGGACAGAGTTAATCCTGGAGAATGCCCCACAACAGCGGTTATATGAAGCTGCAAATTAAGAGACCGAGCTGTCAGAGTAAGCGACACGCCTGACTCGTGCCCCATGCTAGTTAGCAAGGAGTAGGCCTAGGTCAAAATTCGGGTCTTCTTGTATTTGCTTGGCGTTTCTCGATATTACTTTGTGGCAAAATCCGACAAGATCGGGGTACCAGTCGAACACTGGAGCTGAATCATTTGGCCAAGTGCGAGCATTGTGGCTAAGTGATTTGCAGCATGTCATTTAGACTGCCACTCTACCCTATTAGGAGGATCCTGCTCCAGTTCAAGGAGCGGTACTAGCAGTACTTCCATGTAGGAATCGTAGTCTTGTAGTGCTCCCAGGGCCAATGGACAGGGTTCCCCGCATTTGTTGCCGCGGAACTCGGCTGAATCCACATGCTCCACTCCTCCCATATCGAGCGCGGGGGGAATACCCCTTTCCACTGCGAGTGGAGGGAATCCATTTGTCGTCTCGACTTAGATTTATCTTGGCTGATAGTATAGACATAAGAGAAGCTACAAGTCTCGTATAGGGTAAGTTTAAAGTATAGTGGAATATGCACAACACACTTTATCCAATTTAATTATTTCTATCAAGCAACCATCCATGGAGCACCCAAAAAATGTTCAACTCACTGAACCCCAATCAAAAATTGCCATGTAGTAACTACTAGACACAAAGCTCATAATGTGGTCTGAATAAGATAGCTCATTTAGGACATGTTCTGCAGTCGACGTCGCATATCCGTCAAATAGTAGCGCATCGGATAGGTCCGAATTGTTTTGGGAAGGCAAGGGTAAGTCGCCTTGGTGAATCCAAGACCCACACGGTACAGACCTCGCCGAATCTTTGTAGACTTCAGTCCGTATGCCTCTCTGATTCGCTTAGGGAGCATCTCGGCGGTGGTCAACCGAACCAGAGGGAGAAGGAACCGCACATGGAGCGGCAACTCCTTGTTCCAGAGGAGGTCCTTCGCAACTCTTTGTGCATTTTCAGTGATATGCATAGTCTCAATTTGTTGATCCCAGTACTCCCAGAAGGCTCTCCTTGACACCGGCCACATTCCGGGTCTGACTCGAAGTGATACTGCGAGGATGGAATACTCTCGGTAGATACTATCCGCATCTTCCTCTGTCATTCGGCCAAACATTTGCTGATATAGCTCGATGCCGACCGCGTAAAGAGTCGCAGCAACCCAGAGTTGAAGATTGGGGTCGTCAGCGGAGTAGTCTGGCCCTTTAACAACGGCATGTGCACGATGGACCATCGCGATGACAGCCTCTTTTTCGCTTCGAGACCCAAAAGCCATGCAGTACACATAGGTCATCGTGGTTCGCAGACGATCCATGGGCCTGTACGCAAAGTTGCTATGCTCGTCCACACCCTTGCCGACTCCTGGTTCTGCAACCTGCAATAAGATTGCAGCAGCCCCACCTGCAAGGAGGATTGCCTCTTGAACAACTTTCTGGATTTTTACTGGCTGCTCGAGCTCGTCCAACACGTTTTGGCCGATAAAGTCTTCCTTGGCCTTGTCATTTAAGCCATGGGGGGGTGTCTCTGTGGAGGTGACACTCTCCGGGGAGCCTCCCTCTTGCTTTTCACTCATTCTTGGAGTAATCTCAATATAGATGGGGTTGCCGTCAGGGAGAATTATCTTTGAAGTGATATGAGCCAAGTCAAGGTGTCCCGGTCCAGATTTGAAGCGAGATGAGTTGAAACGGGTATTCCAAAAGTAACTTTATAGTTAAAACAAACAGTCATCTCCATATATAATCTTTATATATACTCATAGCTCTGCAAATTGCAATTAATAGGTGTGCAGTGCATGTTCCATGTCATATGATGTGTCAAAGGGGCATGTGGGAGATCGTCTGCCGCGGACCGGACGGAAGTCAGATTTAAAGGTTGATCACAAGGACAAGTTTGGGTCACTTGGGCCCCATCACAAAATAAAAAGGACTAGCTCGTATACCGCGGACCGCCATGCCGCGGAAATGGTAGCACATGCGATCGAACTATATCTATGGACGATCTTCAAGGGTGGGGGAGATACCATAGGGCGGTCCTAACATGGGGGAATTGGCCCACTTTCCCCGGATCTCTGATATCTTTTTATCAAAGCGCTATGAGCTTGTTGGCTAGGTGTGGCGGGAGGGGGGGGGGGGGTGAGATGAAGTTGGTCGTATGCGATGAAGTCTCTAGCGAGCTCATCATTATATTATAAAAAGGCTGCACTGTTGAAGCTAGGAATTACGTTGTTGATTACTGAAATTCAACCCACTGCTGCTCAAATTTGGTTCCTACCTACGTTCCAACATGCATTACGGTAAAGAAGACGGCAGTTCTGTGATTGGGAGTAGCAGGAACGTGGGATCAAATAAGGCTCCACAGGCCCTCGGTGACGACTTGAAGCATGTTGAAAGTCTTGGGGCTTTGGAAAAATCAAAGAGTCCTCGAAGTCTGAAAAGCTTTCGAGCAAATGTCCAAAAACATTGGCGCCGATTCTGGTGTTGCTATCTCGTGGCGGCTATAATTTTCTTGGCCATATTATTACCGGTTTTGTAAGTATCCGTGGCAATCTATCTATCCTTTCGCGTCTTGCTTCTCATGAACTGACCTTCACTCCTCTGTAGCTTCTTAGTTGTGATCCCAGCAGTTGCCCAGCGGATCCTTAACGACACAGATCTTCCCGTCCATTCGGCTCAAATTCTGGATCCCAAAGTCAGCCAAGTATCATTCACACTCGATACGTCTTTGAATGTCCCGATGGGGCTTCGGATTCGTACCGACCCCATTAGTTTGAGTCTCTTCCATCGAGACGTGCAGCCGATGCAGCCATATCTGGTTGTTAATCTACCATCATATAGCCTGAAAGGAAACACAAACATGACGGTCACACAAAATAATACCGATATCTTGAATGAAGATCAATTCATCAAGACTCTCACACAAGCTGTGTATAGCAAGCGGTTCACAATGTCGGCCAAGGGATCAACCGTTGGCCATCTCGGTGCCCTCAATGCCCCTTTGACAATTGACAAAGACATCGAGCTGGACGGTATAATTATCTTTTACTATTCTTGATATGATTTAAGAGCTGATATGTTTGACCACGCAGGACTCGATAAGCTGAGTGGATTCTCCATAGACTCTGCAAGAGTCCTACTGCCCAAAGAGGCGGATGGTACCAACTTGGTGGGAGAGGCGACCTTGCCAAATCATTCTGTCTTCACATTCGCATTGGTAAGATGTCTGCAAAGGCTTTGTGCCTTTCGGTTTTCTTCCTTTTGCGTTACTGACTGCAATTTCAGGGCAATGTGACCTTAAACTTGATGAGCTCGGGTTTGATCATCGGCCAAGCCACCATTCTGAACGTGATTCTTAAGCCTGGGAATAACACGGTCGCCTTGAGAGGACGTATGGAGATTGCCACGGTTTTAGAAAACCTTTCGGAGATCTTGGTTGCACAAATGGATGCCTTAGTGGATGGCGAGCTCGAGCTCTCGGCTTCTGGCAACTCCACCATCTATAATGGAGTTCACATCAAGTACTACGAACAGGTCCTTAACAACCTTACTATCCTGACTCGCGTACCAATTCTTGAAATCTTGGGGGGCACCTTACAAGGGTTACTTAACGATACTGACTCCTCGTTGGGGAAAATTTTGCAAAACGTCACCCAGATTCTTGGGAATGTTTCCAGCTCTAGCGATACATCTACCATTGCTCGATCGCTAAGAGCCCTTGTATAAGAGGCAACCGTAATTTGAAACTCCAGAATTCAGAATGAGAATTTCCTTCCTATTTTTCAATGCCTGATATCGTATCCTGAGTGGCTGGCATGTAGTAAATAGGCTCAGGTTCATTAGAACCACTTGATTTGATGACCTTTGTTCTCCCGTTAGACTTTCCATAAGATGATGTCAAATTTCATCATGGTAATTCACCTTTTCCAGTTGAGTACATGTAGAAGAGGAAATTGTTTGCAACTCGGCCCGCTTTGATCCCTCGGAGGCCGCGGCTACTGTGCGATTCATGTGTGCCGCAGAAGGGCAAGGGATTGCGGGGAGCCCCGATCTCAGGTTTGGCGGAGGCAGCGAAGCTCATAAACAGCAGTTGATATTGAATGAGCCCCTTTGGCACACAAAATGCAGGCTTCGATCGAGTCGCAGCGTCTTAGCGACACGGAGAAAAGGAAGTACTCGCGAGATGAGGTCGCCCAACACACTCACGACGGTGATGTCTGGGTCATCATAGAGCACCATGTGTATAACTTGAGTCAATTCCTACAAGAGCATCCTGGTGGTGCTAAGAGTAAGTTCTCTAGCGCCCAACAGATCGCATACAAACGAGTCATTAAATCTCCTGTATTTGACAGTTTTGCTCGGTGTGGCAGGCCAAGACGCGACTAAGAAATTCAGAAAATATCACCGCATGGGGATCCTAAGCAAATACAACGAGCGGCTTCTAGTTGGCAGGCTAGACCAGTCGCCTCCAAGGAGTGGGAGTTCGCTGAGGTCTTCGATATTTGCTGTCTTCAGACGGTTGGAGACTTGATCGATTCTTCCGACCGTAGTAAATCAAAGCAAATTGGTCAATTGAATACAAGCCTGGCCATGATGAATCAGGTCCCACTTTGGTGATAGGATCTTCAATTTCACTTCCACTTTGTTGTGAGCTCCTAGTTCATCGCCGTAGAACCAATTGTGAAATGCTCTCAGTCCGTATACTCTTTCCATGATGCATCTAGTGTTACTGGTGCTGCTACGGACTGCCTCCCGCGCGATACAAATTCTTCGGAATGGACTGTATTTCCCCTTTGCAACAGAATACAAAATATTTCATGTTTTTTTTTTGGGGGGGGGGTAGGAAAGTATATCGACTTCAGACAAACAAAGGCACTCGATACGTAAGAAAGATCCTCTCGGCATAAATGTATCTCCATCTTAACAGACAACGGCAAGGTCCCTGGGCATTCACAGGCGCGGCTTGATCTGGCCAGCCTCAATCTCGCGTTTTGCTTCTTCTCTAATCACACGCTTCAAAATCTTTCCGCTAGGGTTTCTAGCAATTGATCCAACAAATTTGACCCCACCCGTCAGCGCCTTGAACCGCGCAAGTCGGGTCAGGACATATTTCTGCACCTCTTCCTCCGTGAGCTTTTGACCTTGGCTGCCGGGGCGTCGGACCACGTATGCTCGAGGGTACTCTGTATCGGCTCCTGGGAATGTAATACCGATCACGGCAGCGTCGATGATCTGCGGGTGTGAGAGGAGTACCGCCTCTAGTTCGGGCGGTGCAACTTGGAAGCCGCGGACTTTGATCAACTCCTTCTTCCTGTCCACAATATACCATTTTCGGGTAGATTGATCACAATAGGCGATATCACCGGTCTTGAACCAGCCATCCGAGTCGAACGATTGCGCATTGGCCTCGGGATTCTTGAAGTATCCCGGTGTTACAGTAGGCCCGCGCACGCAGAGCTCGCCACGCACCCCGAAGGCCGAGATATTGTTTCCATCGTCATCGATCAGTCTAGACGGGCAATTTGGTCAGTATTGCCCGAGGCACGATGAGGCAGGGCATTAGGCGACTTACTTTGCTTCCAGATTCGGGATCAGCCGTCCTACCGAGCCCGTGTCGTCATGTTCCGGATACCGGAACATGGTCGCCACGCACGAGGTCTCCGTCATTCCCCATACTTGGTTGAAGGGCCCGTCATCTCCCATGAGTGAGCGGAAACGAGCCTGAACGTCCTTATCCAAAGGAGCTGCACCACATGCTGCGAGGCGGACTTTGCGAAGGAAAGGCCTTTTCTGAGATACGGGTGACATCAAAATTGCAATCACGATGGGCGGGACCATGGCCAGATCAGTAATGTCGTATTTCTCGACAGTATTGAGATACTCCTCCAGATCAAATCGTCGCATCACATAGGCAGCGGTCCCTGCTTTCAGTGTCGATATGTGCGTCACGGGGGCAGCAGATGCATGGAAAACGGGAACTGCGATAATGCGAGATATCTGTGGGATCATAGGTCAGAAGAAGGGTCCAAACTCTGGAGACGATAGCATGGGCGAACGGGGCACATCGGGGCGCCCAAGTCCAATGTAGTAAAAAGTGTTGACTGACCGGGTAAGGCCGTGGGTCCGCTCCCAGGACCAGTTCATGCTGCGCGATCAGGTTGTAGTGGGTGATCATGACTGCCTTGGGCAGACCGGTAGTTCCGCTGCTGAACAGTCTCGCGGCGGTCGTTGTTCGAGCAGTCTCCAGATCGTTGAACCTCACCCAATCAGCCTCGCCAAACTTGAGCAGTTCCGTCCATGATTTTTGCCCGGCCGGAACCGACTGGCCCAAATTGTTGAAGATCCAGACATTCCGTTGCGACACACCAGTTTGTTGAGCTGCGCCCAGAAGAGACTTTAGAATCTCGGGCTCGGAAATCAAAAATTTGGCTTCGGAGGCTCTGATATGGTGGGCAAGCTCTGTGGGGGTGTATGCAGGATTGGAACCCGTGAAGACTCCACCAGCGCCGATGATGGCGAGTACAAGGATACTATAGTTTATCTTGATTTTTTTCCCATTGCAATCAGCCAATGCCATTGAATAGCCCACCAGGAAGGCACACGTACATCGTTGAAAGAGTGAATGAGCACGCAATCCCCAGGGCGAACGCCGGACGCACGCAGGCCCGCAATGAGTTGCCGAATTAATTTGCGGGCTTGGTTGCACGAAATCGAGCGCGTTGGATCTCGAACATCGATATAGATCTAGACAAGATCAATGCGATGAGCCAGAGTGCCTCTGAAAGATGGGGGGATCGGGCGTTGTGGGATGGATCCTACCGGCTTGTCCTGGTCGTAGAGAGGATCATCAAAAATGTAAGACAACAGATCCTTTGTGGGGAGCAGAGTCCGCTCTGCAGGTTCGAAAATCATGGTCGCAAGGGTAATGGGAAAGCAAGTATCATCCGATGAAACTCCAAGATGAGCTTTTTTTTTTCCCTTACTGCTGCTGAGAACTTAAATCCAAGGCGTTCTATGTACGCGATCGACGCTCGCAAGGTTCCTCGCTGCGGCCGTGTGATGCATCATACCTCCCGAAGGGTTCAAGGCGCCAGAACAGCTCCGCGGCAGCCACAGCCCCTCCTTTTTTGCGTAGCTCGGAACTCGGCTGGAGGTCGATTCGCTCGACGAATGCGGTGCTGGCCCGACCGCGTGTCAGAACGGTACGGCTGAGACTGGGGGCCGAGAGCTCGAAGCGAGATTTATCCAGGAATTGCAGACGAGGAGCAGAATTGTGCTCATAAAAGATCTTCAGGAGTGAGTGATGCACCGGTACGGCCACGGGAGACCTCGAGGAACGTGCCATAGACCCGGGATCAGGCGAGTGCTGTATAGTTGTGACCAAGATCACCACGACGAAACAAGTGGGGGAAGTGGAGACAAAATACTCCGCACCGAGCGCCTCGTTGGATTTCTTACCAGGGCAGTCTCTCCACAACATCCTCTCAGCACCCCAGTGAAATCACAATCGCAGGGATGATGAAACGAATCAATAAGATCAAGTAAGCAGGCGAAGTCGGCTCTGCCTTTTTGCAAAAATGGGGAAATGAGCAAATGAGGTGAGATGCATAAACAGACAAGACCGGCTCTAGATTTTTCCCCCCCCCTTTTCATCACGTGATTAGGTCCCCTGACAAGCTTGTTTGTCGACCGGAGGATTTCTCTCGGTAGCAATGAAATACAGACATTGAGAGATGAAGCTTTCGGGAATACCTAGTGGAGTGGGATCTTATTTCCAACAATCTCTAACTGATGCTGTCTACGGTGCGGCTCAAGAGTGTCATCTTCCACCGAGCATACTGTAAGACAAGAACATGAAACAATCAAGGTACTGCTCATATATTAAGATCTTTCAATACTACTTAATGTTCAAGAGCATATCGTGAGTTCAATTAATCTACAATATCTGCCCTTTCCTGTGACCGACACCCCGATTAGGCTGTCACTACCTAGGTGGAATAACATCGACTCGGCCCTTCCTACAGCAGGACCCAAAGCACATATCGGCTGCTACAAATCACGAGACAATTATGAGAACTTGTACTTATAGGAGATTGGAAGTTGAAAGACATACCATTAAAATTTCTTGGTCCTGCAGTTCCAGGGGCACTCCGACTCGACTCCTTCCTGTCAAGACAAGTACGTCAGTATTGAGCCCGTTTTCCATATCTCTTCCATTCGACGCAGAGTGTGGAGATACGTACTGTGGAACCAAGGTGATTTCAGAGCGGTAGTCCTCCGTAATCGATTCTCCTTGGGTACTTCGTGAGAATAGGCTTCTTATGGACCAACTTTTCGCAGCTGCACCACATCGCAGAGGCATTTTGAAAACGATTTGGTAGTTTTGAATGGCTTTCAATCTGTGATGCTTTCACTCAGACGGGCCGTCAATTCGATAGGTAGCATACAACTCGTAAACCTGTTAATCTTGCTAGAGTCGATTCCTCTCCACTAAAGAGGCGGCCTCACCCCGATTATATATCTATCACTCTACCAGGTTGATCGCATCTACGAACGACACCGGAAGGAACTATTCTGTAGTATGTCCTCGAAACCAGGAAATTTGAGTTGGCCATGAAAATTTCATCTTACATCTTACATGTCCATCATTCATTCCTGTACGATGATGGTCGAGTTCGCCGAGGAGATGGCCGAGAGTGGGTCTGTCCTCGCGGATACACGATAGTCTCTGCAAGTCGATGAAAATCGGGGCTCAATGACGTCATACCACTAATCAGTGAGAACTGCCAGTGACCTCTTCAAATCGATCATTCGACGGCTTCGGCCTTCGCGGCACCCCACTCTTCCTCACGGCCGTGGTATACGCCCTCTCCTTCGCCGACGCGCCCAATGAATCAATCTCCACTCCGACGTTCATGTTAAAATGCGCTTCTGCCGGGGTGGGTGTCTTGTTTTTCGCCGATGTCCTAAAGAGAGCGGCACTCTGCCAGAATGTCTTCACCACCATCCGCTCGACCGTATCGATCGAAGCGTCATCGGCCGTGCGATCAATGCCGAGCACGCAAACTAGGTTGTCAAACTGATGATGGCATCCCTTGCCAGCGATGCCGAGCCGCCAAGCTCGAGTGTACGTTCGATAACCCACCGCCGAAACGAGCGCGTCTCTCGGAATCACTTTCATTTGCCGTCCCAAGTGTTGACGAGGCGCCGCTCACATCACAGCCCGAAGAGAGTGTCTTCGGTCATGGCTTTTCCAGTGCCGGAAGCCCACTTGCTATAGGTGAGCCCGCGTGCTCCTCGCTAGGCTTCGGCCAAGTTGGGGAGCCATCGCCGGGCTCGGGATTGGTGGTGGCCGCTCAGCCAGCCACGCAGTTCGTCCAGAGCATCGATCGACTCGAGCACGGCTATGCTCAGTTGTTCGGGGCATCATCCGAGTCAGATCCATGGCTCCTGAGGCACTGCCGATTCGATGATGCGGGTATGAAATATTTTTACAAGGTCCATTATCGCAATGCCGGAGGAGTGCCGACTGCGCAACGTATACCCGTCCATTTCATGGTATCGTCCGAGGAACTCGCGACTACAGCCAAGCATGAAACGAGAGCAGGCGTTGGAGAAGTTACCAGAGAGCATCTGGACTGCCTAGTACCTCCGGAATATGGCAGAAGACTTGTCGCATTGTAAGTGGAATCCGGCCCATATTCATTCAAGCTTACCAACTAAACTCTGACGTGGTCAAGATTTGTCAAGTACGTGTTTCCTGCTTTGCCAGTTATATCACGTTCGCAGTTAGGGTTGACCACAACGTCATATCAGCTCCCGGAGCTGTCTGCATTAGCAAAAGTACCCGTCCATCTTTTGGCCGCCATTTATGCATCGGCTTTTCCATTCGTCGGTCATGACGACTATTTATGTGTTCTGAACATGTACCATGACTCACCGGTGCAAAAGCTCTGGCGCATGGTGTATGAGCTAGTGACCGAGGAAATACACAGCCCTCGGCTGGCAGTTCTCCAGGCGGCGCTGCTCTATCTCCACCGGCAACCGGTCGACGAGACCCGCTATACGACCGCCGACACCCCATTCATCTGGTCCTTCGTGGGCCAGATTGTCGGCCTCGCATGCTCGCTCGGCGTTCACATAGAATGTCGCATGTGGGGAATCCCGGCATGGGAGAAGCGTCTTCGGCGGCGCTTGTGGTGGGCAGTGTACGCCGAAGATAAATGGCGCAGCCTGTTGATGGGCCGGCCACCGTACATCCATTCGGCCGAATGGGATGTCAGTGAGCTGGATGAAGGCGACTTTCTCATTGGCCCCAGGCAGGGCTTCTCAACATCTTCGTGCGACACCGAGATTCCCTTCCGGTATCTTGTCAATCTGGCTCAGATTTCGCAAGAGATCCAAGAAACATTCTAGTAAGCTTTCACAAACTGACTCGCGTTGCCTTCTCCCCCTGCTAATGCCCAATTGCAGTACACTTAGAGCCTCCCAAGTCCTCAATGCGGACTTTGATTCCTCGGCTGAGCTTGGTCAGGGTCTGCTGGACCAGCTAAACTCATGGTATTCTTCTCTGCCGGACGACTTCCGTCTCCCAAACTGGAGCAAATCTGTCCAGGGATTGGCGCCCTATCCGACTTCAATCCACTTTGCCTACCTTCTATTGGTGGTCTATGTATACCGGGCCATGCTTCGACCCATGGCGCGATCCTCAAGCCCACCCATGATATTTGATCTCGAGGAAATGCCGATAAACTCCCCACTGGCTGTTGATGATCCCGCTTCGGACCTCCCAGATATGACTGGTTTTGAGGCTTTACCTGAAATATCAATCTCGGACGAGTGTGGGACTGGTGAAATCGTTCTGCATGGAGCAGAGAAGTGCGCCACAATTCTAGTCAATTTCACCCGCCGATTGACTCCTAGTGATTTTACTGGATTTTGGTATTCATGTAAGTAATCACACCCCATGATGAAAGATTTAGACTCAGCCACTAACCCGTCAAGGGTCACGCATCGGATTTGCAACCGTTTCCAACTTCCTCATGCTACTCCTGGTCCAAGCGCCCAATATAGCCCATGCAACTCGCGGTAAACAGCTAGTAGGTTCATGGCTACAGGTTCTGAGATGTCAAAGCCAGAGTTTTGCGCTCGTCAAGCTGGGTCTTGCTCGGCTGGATGCACTACACTGGGCAGGACTCTCGGAAACATTCGTTCTTCCGCCACATGTACAAGAAGCAACGACTAATCAAGCGACAGCGGCCACGTAGATGCAGAACAAAATAGAACTTCATATTTTATTTGAACGTAGATATTGATCAGACTGAAATTAGATCATGCTCGCAAACTTTCAAGAATAGTACATGTTCTTCTTCTGACCATATTCCCTGGCCTCTTGTCCTGTTACACGGGCTGAATGCTTGACTATACTGGCCCCAGGAGCCACATGCAAATCTGACCAACAGACGCAGAAACATAAGATCGAGGGAGGAGACAGGCGATTATCTACCAGCCACTTTATACACCTCACCCGCATCCAGACCAGGTCTGGCCTACTTATAATCCCACGTCCACATACTAACACAGTGTACTGTACCACATGCCGCCAATTTATGCAGTGCTTGAATAGCAATGCGGGGCGCATTGGATCAAAAGACTTCTCGCTTATTGCACTGCCGTATTTCTCGGCAACCCCCGCATGCAACTAATGCCGCGAACCCCGCTTTCCTTTCAAGGAGAGTGGATAAGATTACCGTCGTCGATCTGGATCTTTAGATCGATTCTGACTTTCCCCACACACAGGTGACTATACAGAAATATTGACACGGCTACGATGGGTACTCACAGAGAGATCAAGATCCCGACACAGGTCCCGATCACAGGAACATTCAAGGTCCAGGCGTTGCCGGCTGAAACTGCCGCAAAGGCTTCCGAGATTCTTCAAAGTAACCATAACAACTATCACATCTATATTCATGATCTAGGCCTCCATAGTAAGATAAGCGATTTTCTGTGATGGAATCATTTGCTGATTGCGTGCGCTGTCAGATCATATTCTTCATCATATACTAGCTATCTATGCGTTAGGAGGGACAAGTGCACAGCTCGATCAGGCGTACAAGCTTGCAATGGATTCGCAACGCCCAACCCGACGACCAGATCCTCAGCGAGTATCAGACTTTCAAGATCCGGCAAAGTTCAAACAGTGCCTTGGGCAAGGTAAGTATTACGACGACTATTTCGCCTTTTTCCAAAATGAAATTGGTGAGAATGGGGTACCCAATACCGTCAACAAGTATCTTTTCAGCGGTGATGAGACAGCGGAGGACATGCTGTGCCGGTTTTTCAGCGGTCCGTGAGCACGCAAGAAGCAACGGCACACGCAGCTATAAGTGAGTACTAAAGTTGATCCTCTAGGATTTCTCCACTCGCCCATTCACCTAGGGTATGCTGTCGAGTTCGACCAGCCGCTCATCATGGCTGAAGCATTGGCACTGACAGCGGTCCATGATTCCTATTTTGGTGATGTCTTGACAGATGTTGAGACTGCAGTGCGGACATCAGATGGCAATGACAGCCTCATTAATCTGCAGCGGGAAATATACTCCAACAGTAAACTTCGAGAGGCAATGAAATATGAACATGGGGTTTTCCAGATCCGTGACGGGCTACTGGCAGATGCGAAAGACGAATTTTTGCAAGTAGTTGGTAGCTGGAAGGTAACACCGGAAGACTTGCAGGAGAAGACTGCTGAATGTCTTAACTCAACTGGTCTGCGTCTTCTTCCACTGTTCATCCAAGGAGATGCCCAATCCTAATATGTGAACAGTTTACTGGACATCTCTCGCACAGCGACGCGAGAAACAAATTCGGTTCGACTTTTTCCTGATGCATTCAATCACAGCAGGGTCGCTTTGGCCGGTGATCAACAGTGCCCCATGGATCTCTGCCGAGTCGAAATGCCGGCTATTGGAATGGAAAGGCCGAGCCGATCTGATTCTATACTGCCAGACAGGAGCGCCGTGCCCGAGGCCCGAAGAGCTAGTCGCTTACCGGCCACAAGTTTCATCTGGATGGGATGAGATCTTCCGTCGAGCCTGCGAGTATGAAGATGATGGCCATTTAGCTAAACTGATCCGCGGGGTCGCCACGGCCGCTCAACTGAGCAACGAATATGCCCATAAAGCAGACTTTGTCATCAAGAGCGACGAGGAGTTCCTCAAGATTGCGCACATGAGTAAGCCACCTGAGATTCACGCATTCATGCTCCAATTTCTAACGTTTAACTCCGTAGTCATTGACTCGGCCGAACAATTCAACCAAGAGTCAGTAGAGCAGGAGAGAGAGATGATATGTGCCAAATACAAACATGCAAACTGGATGTCCAACGAGATTCAACGAGTGACCGCGCGCTGGCCTCGACATGTGGGATTTGAACAGGCCTGGTTCCATGTTCCCGCCAGGAAGTCGAATGGGTTGGCGCATCTTTAACGAAACATGTCGCACCCGAACTCACTACGACTTGGTAGAGAGACCCAAGACATTTCCAGGACTAGATAGGCAGTTATTGGGGAGAATCTTCATTGTATAAAGCTGAAATTGTTTGTTATGATTTGTTCCCCACGCCCATCCCCGCATGGCATCCCACGTTTCCACTCCGCTCGGAAACCGTCGCATTTAGATACCCGTCCACCGCGAAGAATGTAACGCTGCCATCCAGGAACCGTGCGTATCTCTGGGCATTGCCGATATGTAAACAGTAAATTCTGTCCGATGAGCCAGCTGTCTGCCGACCCTCACGTCTGTCATGAAGTTATCCGTCCTTGCTCTTGCCACGGTCGCTACGGCGCTGCAGACTCTGCCTCCGGTTGAATGGGATCACCAGGACTCAGATTCAGGCGCCAGTCCTGGGTTTTCTCTTAAAACAGCGGACCATATCATCTATGTCCAGGATGATTTTTCTCAGTGGCGGGATCAAGATGGTCTGACTTTGATTCCACCGTCAGCATTGGAGTTTGCTCGCACCCTTTGTGATGATCTTCAGGAGATCACCAATTCTTCATGGCAAATCCGAACGGTCAAGCAGCCTCCCAAGCATTTATCAGGAGTGTTTCTCGGTCGTACAAAGACTCCTGCTCATTTCACCTACGAAGATGGCACGACAACTGAGGAAGGCTATGAATTGATTGTCGAAAACCATCGCGTGTCGATCGAGGGATCGGGCGCGCGAGGAATGTGGTGGGGAACACGAACACTACTGCAACAAGTCGCGCTAAACCCTCATGCCTCTATTCCAGTGGGTCGCGTGAAGGACGCCCCGGCCTATGCAACAAGAGGATTCATGCTGGATGCAGGGCGCAAATGGTACTCATTGAACTATCTCAAGGAGCTCTGCACCTACGCCTCTTTCTTCAAGCTCTCCGAATTCCACTATCATGCGACCGACAACTATCCTCTGAGTCGGGGCCCAAATGTCTCGTGGAATGAGGTCTATTCGCAGTTTTCTCTGCGGCCGGACAGTCCACATCTCCGACCTCTCGTACAGAGAGAGAATGAAACTCTGTCGCGTGCCGAATTCGACGAGTTTCAAAGCCACTGTGCGGCTCGGGGAGTTACGGTGATCCCGGAGATCGAAAGCCCCGGTCATTGTCTTTCGATCACTAAATGGAGACCAGATCTAGCCTTAGAGTCACGCGATCTGCTGAATCTTTCTCATCCAGATACCGTGCCTCTTGTGAAATCTATCTGGTCGGAGTTCCTGCCATGGTTCCAAACGAAGGAGGTGCACATTGGGGCTGATGAGTACGATTCGACCTTGGCCAACGACTACATCACGTTTGTGAATGAATTATCCCAATTTATCCGCCAGACTTCCGGAAAGCGGATTCGCATCTGGGGGACTTATGAGCCATCCGATACCCAGTCAGTCGACAAAAACATTACCATTCAGCACTGGCAGTATGGGCAATCCGATCCCGTGATGCTAGCTCAGGATGGCTACCAAATCATCAATTCCGAGGATTGGTGGGCCTACATGTCACTGAAGAACAATCATGTTCCTATCTCCCCAGCTCCTTATCCACAATTCTTCAATAATACTCGAGTATTGAATTTCGCCGACAAGGAAGGGTGGCAGTGGAGTCCACAGCTGTTCAACCCGGTCAATATCACAGAGCAGCCGGAGCAGAAGGCAGTCCGCGGGGCAATCCTTGCTGCGTGGAATGACAATGGGCCTGATGCGACTACGCAGTTGGAGGCATATTACGCCATTCGGAATGGAATCCCTGTCGTTGCGTCTCGCGCGTGGACTGGGAGCCGAGGACCACGCCTAGATGAAGCAGGTCTCGATGAGACAATTGAGATCCTGGCTTCCAACGCGGTAGGAGAGAACCTTGATCGACGACTTTCGAAGAAGAGAGATTCAACGGGTCCTTTGATCTCCTGGACAAAGCCGCACAAAGACCACGCACAGGACCACTTTTCTCTAGGATATGGCAGCAAGGGGATGAACTATACTTTGAAGCTTAGTGTTGTTGGCCCATTTTCGCTTGAATCAAAAGATACAATTCTCTCCCTGTCTGAGAGCGGCCAATTGACCTTTAATACCGATGGCTGGCCGTACCCGCTTCGCTCTGTTGCCGAGGAGGATGGGTTTGATCCAGCTGCCATTGGAAGGATTTGGGTCAACGCTACGAGCTCAACCCATGAAGTTGTCCGTGTACCTCAAAGCTGCGAGATCACTATCACGTCTGATGAATTGACCGGGAGTCGAGTGTGGGTGAATGATCAGTTTGTGGGGCGATTTGAGGTGTTCGTGTACGGTGGGAAGGATCGTGTGTTCTCATGGAGCCAGATGGCATTTGTGGCACCATTGGCAGTTATCAAAGGAACTGGACTTGAGAAAGTAGTATTATACTAAGACGAAGTCGTTTTACGATATCTAGTGATTATCTACTTGCTTACAACTGGAGTCGTTGTGGTGCTATGACAAGAGGGCGCGACTTCGCTTTGCTTGACTTCTCATGCTGTGTTTTATACTTTCTAGATCTAGGAGCTAAAGCTAGAGATGTTACCAAAAGAACCATTCTGTCATTGACAGCTAGATTGCTGTTCATTCCTTGGCTAAGAAAGCTAGGGCGGCAGCTTCAATATATTTTCCAAATCTTATCAGGGAATCATCGTTGTAGCAGAGACAAAGCACTTGAACACTGTGCTATAGTGTCAGTCGCTCACTGAAAGCAACATAGTCTAGAATAAGTTGGGATCAATTGTGTTTTCAAAGTCAAGATAACTTTCTAGACAATTTGGTTCTATTCAACTAAAGAAGCAGAAGAACAGTAATTAAAGTGACGATTGCTCATGATGTCCTAAACACCGTCCACAAAGCCATCTCCTCCTGCCTCCGTGTCCACCTTCATAGAGTCCATGAGTCCGCATATCTCAAACAACTTACGGGGGCCAAGCCCGTCGGGTGTTCCGACCACTCCGTCACTCTTCAGGCGCTCCAAAGCCGACCGAATGCCCATGTAAGCCGGGGCAAGAGAGGCGAATGAGAAGATCATGATTCGGAATCCCATCTCTTCCGCCTCCTTAGTGGTGATCACGGGAGTGGCACCATTCTCTACCATGTTGAGTAGAAGAGGCCAAGGAGCAAGATCATGTACTGCTTGGCGAGCCTGCTCCTTTGACGTAAACCCTTCCAAAAGGCCCACATCAGCCCCGATGTCTCGCGCTGCTTTCAAGCGGGCGATGCATTCCTCGTAGCCATGTTGTTGGAGGGCATCAGTCCGTGCGATAAGCACAATGTCCGAGTGCAGACGATCTTTGGTCAGTTTAGCCGCCCTAATGCGCGTCAGGTACTCTTCTCGGCCCACCACCTTCTTCCCAGCAAGGTGGCCACATCGCTTATTCTGGATCTGGTCCTCGATATGGAACCCGGCCACGCCAGCCTGGATATACTGCTGTACGGACTTAGACACCATCAGGGGCCCTGCAAGTGCTTATGTCAACTCTACATCCATGTTTGGTTCTCACTATCGGAGGAAATCGTTCTAGACATACCTCCATAACCGGTATCCATGTCTGCGATAAGAGGAGGACCAAAGGGGTCAAGGTTGGCAATCATCTCCGCATTGGTTCTCATGTCATGAAGCTGAGCTAGGCCGAGATCTGCCATTCCAAGTCGGGAGGCAGTTGTGCCGGCACCGGTCTATTGACATCAGTTATGGTCCAAGACCCAACTGAGGGTCACACAGAACGCATAACATACCATATACATGCCTTTGAAGCCGAGCTCCATGGCAATGCGGGCAGACAGACCATCATACACTCCTGGGCAGACGATGAGGTCCTTCGAGTCCTTCAGCATTCGCCGCAGCTTAGATGCAGCGGGAATAACGTAAAGAGAGACACTAGGCTCATGGCGCATTCCATTGACTTCATAAAAGCCATCCTTCTCAACAGTAATAGTGATTGTCATGATGCTGACGGTAGTACAACGATGCGAATAGACAGAAAGAGTTTGTGTGATTGTAATGTGAAATATGATCTGGTCTGAATTCAAATTTCTGACCCCGCTACTTATAGTTTAATAGTGTTCTATCCGGAGTGAGATGACCCGATGTTGGAGTGAATCCAATGTGGCCAAATAACCCGATTCGGATCCCCGACATTGGTCACAAAATAGAGGGCTTAGGTGCCTCGAGGATGCAACATCACATCATGCGCCAAGACAAAAAGAAAATTGATCATTTGCTCATCCTTGGGTCGTACCGACTAAGAAACTAGGCGTAGAGAACATCGCAACCCAGATAGTTCTGCCAGGGAATGAAGGCGCGAAGACGGCCGGGGAGGTTTTAGGCTGATTGTGACTCTCGATGAGGTTAAGCCATTCCGGCACGGATCGAAGATGGGGTGAAGTCGTCAGGCTCCGGCCTTGATAAAGTAACTGCGGTCCAATCGGACAAGGGCAAAGTGAGTCGCATGGACTAGGAGAGGCAGTAGAGAGGTAGTTGATATGGAGTACACATGCGAGATAATATGTCTGAAGACGCCGGTGACGCCAAATGCATATGCAGCTGCACATAAGTCGCATTCTCGCTTGCGTCTGCAGAATCCTCCAGGGGTGAAGGGTGGCAGTGCTCCGGAGCGATATAGATCTTGGCCTGCGATTCAATCATTCAACCCTAGTTCGCCAAGCATTTTTCCGCAAGTCATCTTTCGGGAGATCAGCAGCCACATCAGCCGTGGGAGCGTACTAGCTTTGTATCCTCCATCTTCGGGGAGGGAAAGAGAAGACAGTGTACCCATCAGTCCTTATCACTCCAGGGCAATGACCACAAATTTAGCGCTTTTTTCTCGGCCACGACGGCCCATGGGCGGAGCAAAGCGGTCACAAACAAAGTTGGAGATTTATTTTCCTTCTCCCACATACGAAAAGACGTTGTGAGTGTGGCACAAGGTCCGCGATGTGGTGGATTCTCGGAGCAAGACCAGACACGGCGCCAAGAGGCTCGGCGTCACCAAGGAATTCCCCCGAGTCCTTCTTGGCGCGTCAGGACCACCACATTCAGCCGACGTGCAAGATAAAGTCTCCGGCTCGGGCGGGGGGCAGGCACTCCACCCAATGCCGAGAACGCTACCGAAGAATAATCTAGTTCGAAGGCTACATGGTGACAGGAGGGTGGTCGGTCCTTCCGGCCGGACACCCATGCCCTTGCCTAGACTTGTTCGTCTTGGGCGCCAGCGTGCGTGGGGGTTTGTTTCGCCCCGCCCCTCAGGCCAAGGAGAACACGCATCCCCGAGATGAAGAAAGAGGAGTTTTTCCCGAGATAAGGATGAAATCGGCGGACCGACAAAGAGGGGAAGACCCTTGCCTAGCCAAATCCCATACTCACGGCGAGTTTCTGGCCCCGTAGAAGAAAGAACGAGCTTGTCTCTCGTCATACTCGCCCAGTGTCTTTTGTAATTTCCCTGATCTGTGTCACTTGCAATGGATCAAGCTGAGCATCCTTTTCCTGGACTATTTAGGTTCTTAGGAGGTGAGGTCGATCCTCGCCATGCCGACCTGTTATTGTTTACCTGCTGCTTGACTTCAGGTTTGGTGGATAGTACAATATACAAAGGTACGAGCGTCGTCTTGCTGACTCGGACTGGTGGTTGAAGCCCTTTGAACTGACTTGAGCAGCCTATAACACTTTTGTGTCGATGCAAACTGGTATGGAACGCACTCGATGATCTTGAGGTGGTGTAGAGATGCTGATATTCCACGATTTCTCGCATTGCAGGGAATACCATCTTCGTGGGACTGGGAGCTTCCAATCAGAACTCGCGTCCCTTCGGATGGGCACGCTCCCTGACTTCGATCGGCTGTTTTGTGATCGGCTGTTTTCTCTTTGCACGGCTCAATCGCTTGATCGGGGCACGGCGTCGGGGGTCTCTGATGCTCTCGTTCCTCATCCAAGCTTGCATCATCGTCATCACGGCTGCACTCGTTCAGGGAGGGGTCGTGTCGAGTGCTGTCGACGACGACGACATATCGAACCCCATCACTCGATGGGACCAAGAAGTGCCGATCGTGCTTCTCAGCCTTCAGTCGGCAGGACAGATCGTGGCCAGTCGTGCGTTGGGCTTCAACGAGATCCCGACCGTGGTGATCACCAGTCTGCTCTGCGATCTTATGTCAGACCCGAAGCTGTTTCTTTTGCGGAACGAAAAGCGGAACCGTCGAACAATAGCGTTCATTCTAACGCTGGTGGGTGCCGTTGTTGGGGGGTGGGTGACCAAGGCCACCGGGGACATCGCTCCCATCCTTTGGGTGGCTGCTGGAATCAAATTCATTGTGGCAGGAGCCTGGGGAATGTGGAGAACCAAGGCATGATTCTTGGAGTGGTCGGCGATGTTGAAGTGGTAATAGTCTCAGAGTGGAACTGGAAGGAGACCGGGCGGGAGCCGATTGTTGGTGGCCAGATTTTTCCGGCCGCAAATGTATAGCCTAAACATTCCGGCAACGATTATCTTGGCAAACGGAGGGGTTATTCGAGTTTGAAATTCTTTGGCAATGTGAAAATCAACGTGGATAGTCATAGATTACAGAGAAGTCCGTTGATCCTTAGGTTATCCAACGCTCCATATCCTTATGGCTCGCCCTTCCTCGGTGCCCAAATCCAGACGATGCTGACTACAGTAATACCATGTTTCGACTCTTATCCAATCTCGGAAACCCTCTCACCTTCCGTCGATCATTATCGGACCCTCCCCACCAGCTCGGAATCGCAACGCGGAATTTGTGCGCGGGGCGGCTCTGATTCCCCGCAGTGTTTCCGATACCCGGAAGATCAGTCTTCAAAAAGGAGTCCTCGGAGCCCTCCAGAATGGTTTGTTCTTTTTGATAACTATACTTTTGCTAAGTGACGGAGGGTTTTCTGAAGACTCGTATCGAATTGTTTCAGAAGCATCATTTTCCGTTCCATAATGTCTTCTACGTTGACTATCGTCGGGGCGGAGGGCCGCCAAGTCACAGGTAATCTTCCTCTCTGCTCTCGATGATTCAGACTTTAATGAATGACGAATTTCTCACAAATACTGATACAATTTTAACCTGGTACAGTTCCTTCCGGTCTGTTCATTCACAATGAATTTGTCCCATCCGTAACGGGCACAACTCTACGCGTGGAGAATCCCTCGACCGGCGAAGAGCTCGGAATTATCTCCGCTGCTGGAAAAGAAGATATTGACAAGGCCGTTGAGTCGGCCAAGGCTGGTTTGAAAGCCTGGAAAGCAGTCTCTGGGCCTGCCAAAGGCGCCCTTTTCCTGAAGCTGGCTGACCTAATTGAGCGCGATGCCAAGGATCTTGCTTCGCTCGAGGCCGTAGATGCCGGAATCCTCTACACGGACTCCATCGGAATCAACGTCCCGCAGGCAACTGGCTGCCTTCGCTACTATGCTGGTTGGGCAGGCAAGATTGATGGTAAAGTCCTTGACATTGATGGTGGTATTGCTTATACTCACCGCGAGCCATTGGGTGTCTGCGCTGCCATCGTCCCGTGGAATGCCCCCCTGTAAGCCATTCTTCACACTTTCCCTGTAGTGTTTTTCGAGAATATTCGAAGCGGCTAACATCCACCTCCGTTCCTGCCGATAGGATGATCACAATTTGGAAGCTAGCCCCAGCGCTAGTAACCGGCAACGTCCTCATTATCAAGACCTCCGAGATGTCGCCCCTTTACGCCCAGCGATTGGCAGAGCTCGTTAAGGAAGCGGGTATTCCAGCCGGTGTGGTGAATATTGTGCCCGGCGAGGGAGCCAGCGCCGGTCAGGCGCTCTCCGAGCACATGGAGGTGCGCAAGGTCGCCTTTACTGGCAGTTCGATCGCGGGTCGCAAGATTCTGCAAGCGGCAGCGCGGACCAACTTGAAGAAGGTGAGCTTGGAGCTGGGAGGCAAAGGCCCATCGATTGTCTTTGACGATTGTGATCTGGAGAACGCTCTGCTCTGGACACGCATCGGTATCACCGCGAATAACGGGCAGATTTGTGCGGCCGGCTCGCGCATCTATGTTCAAGACTCCATCTATGATCGCTTCATTGAAGCATATCAGAAGGCTGGGGCCGAGGCGCAGACTGTCGCCGGCAACCCGTTGGATGCTGCGAGTACAAAGGGCCCCGTGGTAAACAGCGCCCAACATCAGAAGATCTTGGATTATGTTCGCCAGGGTAAGGAGTCTGGTGCCCGGTTGTTGTTCGGAGGCGAAAGAATCGGCGATAAGGGTTACTTTGTTCAAAACACGGCTTTCGCAGACGTCGCAGACGATGCGACGATTATGCGCGAGGAAATCTTCGGTCCCGTTGCTGTACGTGATCACTCAATTGTTTTAATCAGTCTACTCAGCCATACTAACGCGAATGCAACATTCAGAGTATTGCCAGATTCTCCACCGAGGAAGAAGTCATTGCCAAGGCCAACGACTCAAATCACGGTCTGAGTGCAGCTCTGTTCACCAGCGACATCGACCGAGCACACCGTGTGACGGCAGCGCTGGAGTCTGGCCAAGTAACTGTGAATGCGTGGGCCATGCTCAGCCCCAACGTTCCCTTCGGCGGAGTTAAGGAGAGTGGGTTCGGCCGTGACATGGGAGAAGAGGCTATGGAAGGCTGGACAAGCGTCAAAGCAGTCAAGTATCATATCCTTCCTCGCCTGTAGACAGCATCCCTTGATAAGCACGATTGGCGTCGATAGCGCTCTGGATCTAGTGACACGATTTTAATTTGATATCCAGATTTCCACTACACTACGTTTTGTTCAGATGGATCGCCTACATGAGCAATGTAGAATCTTAAATACAACGGGGTGTACTTTTAGAGCAGATATCTTCAATTTTGTGTAAATGCCTGTACTCATCAAGAAGACTGTTCACATCTAAAGAGCTCATCATACCACTGAGGCGCCTCGGCAATAGGAGCTGCCTCATCGATACCTCGAAGAGTTTACTCATTCAAGCCTTTTCCGGAAGATTATGGAATGGGATGCATCTTGTGGAACACATTGTGCGGGTCATATTGGGCCTTGATCGATTGAAGACGGGCCAAATTCTCACCGTAGATGTTCGTAACGACCGAGTCGCCCGCTGTGATCAATGTCAGGAGCAGACTCGATATCATCATTTCTTTGGCAAAGCAGGACAACTTACGTTCAGCGTAGTTGATATACTGAGGCACATCATTGCTGCTGTTCAAGTCTCGCTTCTTCGTCTCCAACTCGGCCTTCCACTTCGCCTGGACACCACGCGCCCAGGTACGATGTTCCAAATCCTTCGTCGGGTCGGTCCAGCGCATATACAGAATCCCATTCTGTGTCATATTGCGACTTGCAAACGCAGTGGCCGGCAGTGACGTCTCGCAAATCTTGCGCATGTCAATAAACTCGAGAATAATGGCGGACGGCATCAGATCCACATCACTCTGGAGCTTCGCCATGAACTCCTCAAAGACACTTCGCATGAAGCCAGGATCCAGCGGGGGCTCGTAGAAGATGCCCTTGAAAGACTTGCGATCGCCATACGTGGCTTGATGATTCTGCAGCGTGTTCACCACCGAGTAAGGGACCATATCCACCGTGTTCAGGAGGGGTTCCAGAGCCAAGAACCCCGAAAAGCGGTCCTGCCCCTCTTCACGGGTGCCGTTGTAGAAACAGATCACGATGATTATCGGACCCGAACCATCCGGTGCTTGAGCAAAGATGCACATTGCTCCCGACCGGGCATCCGGGTTTGCCAGAGTGCCATTGAGCTGCTGAATGATCGGTTCTAGCTTGTCTGAAGAAAATCCAAGGATTCCCGCGTAGACCAGTGGACTCTGGTCGTATGCCTGGTAAGTGAACTCCACGACCACTCCAAAATTGTATCCTGCACCGCGCAATCCCCAGAATAAATCGGGATTCTCGGTCGCCGACGCCGTCACCAAGCTGCCGTCAGCCAGTACCACTCGAGCCGACCGAAGATTGTCAATCGCGAGGCCGTATTGACCACTGAGCCAGCCGTAACCCCCGCCCAGGGTCAGTCCACCGATGCCGGTGTGATTCACAGTTCCTCCAACGGTCGCCAGACCATGAGCTGCTCCGGCCTCATCGACCTCTTTCCAGGTCGCACCACCTTGAGCTGTGATAGTCTTGCTGGAGACATCGACAGAGACATTCGTCATGCGTGAGAGATCGATGACCAAACCTCCCTCGCTCGAGCTCGTTCCCGCAGTCGAATGCCCACCACCCTTTACGGCGATATCCACTGAGTGTTCTTGTGCCCAGAGCAGCGCAGCTTGAATATCTGCGATGTCAATTGGTTGAACCACCACTCCCTGGCTAATGTTAGAGCATCGGATCTGTTTCGGAATCACTTCGGTCATACTGCTTGCTTCCTGCCCGTGTCAGACCACCGAATGAGACTTTCATTGTATCCTTTAGAAACCGGAGTTAAGACAGTCGCGGTGGTCAGGCGACTGCGAAGGTTTTCGATTGTTGAAGGGCCGATTGCCGTCATGTTGTGATGATGTTGGTGAGAATGTTGGCGGGGCAGAGAGATTCTGAACAACCCCGCTGCCTCGGTGTGGTATTTCACGGCCAGAGCAGGACGGACGGATGGGTCCTCGATGCTGACTGCGATTACTTTGTTTAGTTTCACGGCTTCTCAGCGAGTTCGCTGGTTGGTTACTCCGTTGGTTACTCCAAATGGGCGGGGTCTCGAACTCCACTGCCATGATCGGGCGAAAAACAGAGAAAGTTGCACGACGTGGGGCTGGTTGCAATACATGTTGTGAAATGTCAGAGATGCATACACGCTGTCGAGAATTCGGAATTTTCCGACTTTTCCAGTGAATATATCAAGATCCGAGACTCGAAATATGTATTGTCTATCTCACGCTGAGCATCCTGCAGTTCGTCACGACAGCTCTGCATTCACAAACTACAGCCTCGGCTATCAATGATAAATATAATCTCTTCCAGTCATTCGGTTAAGACAGGCCCGTCCCAATATTTACATTCCTTGGTCGCGTTGCAGTCTACTTCAAAACCTGCTGGGAATATTTTGCATGCAGTTCGGGATACCAACGCCGACCCACATCTGGGTGACTGAGGATGCGATTTCGCAAGTGTGCCTCGCCGAACTATCCAATGTTAAGCCTTAAAAATGAACTTATAGTTGCGGAAAAAGGGTTTCTTGAACTCACGCAAGAGTATAGAGGAGACAGGAATTCGCTGGGAACGTCAACTGCTCGCTTCTTTCGGTCGTCAGACGCCGGAATGCGTTGTACAATGTGAGCAGCAGACTCCTTGAGCTCCTTCAATGTCAAGTCCAGGCGGACTCCCAGGAAGTAGGGGATGCTGTATCGAGTACGGGAAGTGGGTGCCTACGAAAGAGGTATCATTAGGACAGTCCCTGCTTTATCCGGCGATTCGTCAACAAGTTGAGAGCCGTCTTACAATGACACGATGGGTGGTGGCTGTACAGACACCCCCAGTGATGGCCTCAAATCCCTGCTGGATATTAACCACTAAGCTACCCTCAATGGGAGGAACGTCGATCCACTCTCCATTCTTATTCAGGACTTGCAGTCCACCAGTGTTATCCTGGGAAAGAAAGGTAAAAAGACCCGCCGAGTCCTTGTGGGGGCCAACACCTTGCGAGTTCGGGGCCGACTGAGGATACTTGACGAATTTCAATCGGCTCATTTGGCCTTTGAACTCGTCAAAAGTGTCGGCTGGCAGGGCCAGACTCTCCGCCACGAGATGGACAAAACTCTGGGCGAGCCCATCAATCTTGGCAATGTATTCATCAACCAGCGCTTGCGCGCCAGGGTAATCCGGATACTATGTTGCCAGTCAATAGATGAACTAGCCAACAATTATCCGAAATTAAGGCTTGAACCAGGGTAGAACTCACCTGGTTTGGGCCCTCAAGACGTTGCCAGAATGGATCTTGATCCGTCCAATCCTTCATCCCAGGGGTTCCAAAATCATATTGCTGGAAGAGGTTTAGTCTTCACAATTGGTAAAAAGAGGCAAAGGGGTAATGCTTGAAGCGGAGACCGGTTACGTACTTCCCGAATATCAGTCTTGGCTGCGGTGGTTTCAGCCCCAAGATGGGTATATCCCAGAAAGGATGGAGAGTGGATCATATTGCATCGTTCCTTGACTTCTTCAGGCAATTCAAACAGCCGCGGAATGCCATCATGCGTTCGGCGTATCAGATCCTGTGCCTGGGTCAGTTCCTATTCATGAAGCTTGATTTCTAAAGTAGCGGGCGCTGGAGTGCCAACCTCCAATCCAGTATTTGTCAGGTACAAGAAGCCGACCACAAAGATTGCCTCTCGTAGCTTAGTCAATTCGTCATCTCTCGCAGAAGGATCGTTCAGACGAGAGTAATCGACTTGAGGCACCGAGGAGAATGTTCCGGACATTTTGATCACTTCACCCTGCGCCACACTATACCTGGGATCGACCGACCGGTGCCAAGTATCCAAGTATTAAGCTTACACGCGTCGACGGCAGTGTGGCTGTGGAATAGTCCGAATCTGCCGTAAAAGAATGCGCGCTCGAACAATGAGTGTCGCAGTTGCAGTTGGTCACTGGTTTGAAACCCCCGCAGAGCCGAACTGATGTCGTGATTGTTTCCCCACAAATTCTAGCATTACTCAGCCACATTGAGGACGTGAGGTAACTAAAGCGTACTCGACACCCTTCGAGGACGAATCTACTTCCAGGGTCCACTCTGTAGGCAGAATAAATCTTCTGTAACAAGCAGAGACTTTATGACTGAATTCTCAATAAGCATGAAAAAGAAGAGGGATTTCCTCTGATGTCCCTCCGGTGGCTCATCATCTTCTAGGACCAGAGTACCCTGTGTAGCAATATGTGTCGACCGTCCACACCATATTTGATATACAGACTTTTGTCCTGTCATCTCCAATTAACCTCATGCAATTTGCCTCTACGCCAGGCGTTCATAGCCTCTCGTTATGACACGAGGGCACGGTAGAACTATGCCACCAGTGGATCCTCTCCACAACCCTATGCCGTCTGCGCTTCCAATTTAGTAAAGGTCTCAATGCCGAGTCCGGAGGAGAAAAGATGCATAGTGAAACAGACCCAGAAACGATGATGTCAAGTAGCATAAGAGCAGAATATATCGATTGATGGAAATAGCTCTGCACAGTCCCCCCTTTTCATCGTCCGTGCCAAGATCCTCCGCGACGTGATGAAACCCCAGCAGTCTTGGCGCGGCTGCATATGCATGTACCCCAGAAACGAGAGCCTCTGGGGGTTCATTTGTGGAAGTTTTGACTTTTGCTTTTGACGAAATTATCCTGTCATTTGATCAAGCTTGTGCATCATTAAGCTCATCTAGAAAGGTGGTGAAATGTTTTCCCACGAGATTTTACGCGAGGCGACCCAGCACATCTATCCTTGATGCCAAGACTTGGACACTTCTGAAGGGTGCTAGGGAAGCCCCTGCGTTGATGGAAATCCTTGGCAGTGGGAATTTGATACAATATTTGTCGGAGAATTATGGCGAACTCGTCCACCTATATCCTTCATTTCATGAGCTAAGCTGGAGGAATTGACGCCGAGAAGATATTCCATCCACTCTGACAGATGAGAACCACCAAGCTGAGACTAGTATGGAAGCTCGACAGAGCTCCGCAAGTATATAAAATTGGCCAGACCTCCGGATTTCTAGATCAAAACAATCTCATCAGACTCTTCAATTCATATCCAAAGCTTCCAGCTCATCTTTGCTCTATCAATTCCAATGGCTCCCTCCAAGTGGATCACCGCCGTGCTGGCAAGCTGCCTCTCCGGCTCAGTCCTAGCAGCTCCCACTGCAACCACTGACAACCAGATTGTCAAGCGCGCAAGCATCAACGATGTGAGTAAAAGCCTTGATGATAGATCCTATTTTTCACCTTTCTAGTCTCATCCATGCTGACTCGTTGATTCCTTAAAAAAAACAGGCGGCCTCCGGTTACGCCAGCCAGAATGGAGGCACCACTGGCGGAGCTGGTGGTACCACTACCACTGTCTCCTCGTATGCAGCATTCACTTCCGCGGTTTCGGGAGATGCCAAGAAGGTCGTAGTTGTCAGTGGTACCATCACAAAGACTGCCGATCAAGCTCGCGTTGGCAGCAACACCAGCATCATCGGCAAGAATTCGAGTGCTAAGCTGGTGAACTTTGGACTGTGAGTATCACGAGAATTTCTCGGTCTCGGGCATTTCTTTTGATTTGACCATATTCCTAGTCTCGTCAAGGAAGCTTCCAACGTCATCATTCGCAACATTGGTATCTCCAAGGTCCTCGCTGACAACGGAGATGCCATCGGCATTCGTGAGTCAATATCCTGCAAATCGCGGTCGAGAGGAGCTGGCACTAATTTGTTTCAGAATACTCCAACAATGTGTGGGTGGACCACTGCGACGTCTCCTCCGATAGAGATCACGATAAGGATTACTATGATGGTCTTATCGATGTAAGCACTTGCCAGTACCCCGTCTCTGGCATATAATTCAAGTAAATTGACCCGATTTTAGATCACCCATGCATCTGACTACGTTACTGTGTCCAACACATACATCCACGACCACTGGAAGGCCTCGCTGATCGGCCACTCGGACAACAACGGCGACGAGGACACCGGTCACCTCCATGTTACCCAGAACAACAACTACTGGTACAACATCAACTCTCGCGCTCCATCGATTCGCTTCGGCACTGGTCACTTCTACAACAGCTACTTTGACACCGTCAGCGATGGAATCAACACTCGCGATGGTGCCCAGGTTCTCGTCGAGTCCAACACTTTCGTCGGCAGCAGCAAGCCTCTCTACTCCACTGACGATGGCTATGCCGTTGCCAGAGACAACGACTTTGGTGATGGCGAGAATACTGCTGAGACCGGAACTCTGACCTCTGTGCCCTACTCCTACACTTTGGTTGGATCAAGCAAGGTCAAGAGCGCTGTTGTCGGTACTGCTGGTCAGACCCTGAGCTTCTAAGGGCTCGGTTTGAACACGGGCTGGACAACCGATACTTTGGTTTTGAGGTAGCTTGAGGACAGAGTTGTTTGTATCGCTGAGTTTTTATCAATTTGCAATTATCTATTTCTTTCGCGAAATTTGATTTTGAAGTACGATATCTTGTAGCCCTGGCCATACATATCTCTCGGCAGACTAGCCTATGACAGATGCTAGAGCAGGGTTCATCAACTCGCCCAGTTCGGTATGGACATGGTAGGATATGGTACACTTCGGGAAATTAGACTTCGAAATTGGCACCAGCCACTAGGCATGAGCCCGACTTGATTGACTACCGATATCACTAAACCCAATAGTTCCCCGGGTATCACACCATAAATTCAAATCAGTACACCCTCAATGCAATCCATCCAAACACCCGAGCCAACCGAAGGAAGTATTTCATAATAGATTTTCGCTTATGCAGTACCTTCCTTTAAGAATGAATTTAGCGACACCAAATCCTCGCTTGGAGTCGGTGTCGGAAGCAGAATCTTGGTTGCGTCAAACTCCCACGCACTTTCTCGTTCATCGCGGTGACTTCGAATCTGGAAGGGCATCATCCACTCTTTAAGCCGGCCTTCCAAAAAGCCCATGTCACGATTCCTATCCCACATGCGGCGGGATTCTTTGAAAGCGCGGTTGATCGTTTCTCGACGAAGTCGCTCGTATGCCTCGAAGACCTCTGTGAGAGGCTCCGAGCGGTAACGTGCCAGGATACGAGCAAAGAGAATAGCATCATCCAAGGCATATGCTGCTGATTCGTCTCGAGGGGGCATCTGTCGCAGCCTGTTAGTACAGATTGTCATCTTTTATTGTAACTGTCCATCAAAAGACATACCGCATGTGCTGCATCACCAAGTAGGATGACACGGTTCATACACCATCGTCCTCCCGGTCGGACTTGATAAACAGGGTAAAGCATCCAATCCGCTTTACTCTCCACTATCTCTCGGATACAGGGCAGCGCTGATTTGGAGAACCGAGATCGCATCTCGTAGCGCAAATCCCGACGAATCCGATCCTTAGTTGCCCAGTCTTGCCCCGGCTCAAGGCGATGGTGGCTCAGTTCTGCTTGATCGAACTGAACGATGGCAGCTGCAAATATTTGCTCGCGATCACGGTCGCAGAAGCTCGTCAACACCGAGCCATGACGGGAGATATTCAACGCAGATGACTGGAAATGGGGTGGAGTGGAGAGGGAGTTTGCCGAGAGAGTAGCCTGTAAGAAAGACATGCCCGTGTATTGAGAGGCGCAGTCGGGATCAACCCAGCGGGTACGAACGGCGGAATGAACACCATCACAGCCAATGACGAGGTCTGCAATGACTTCCGATTGATCACTGAAATGAATAATGGCCTTGTCACTGATTTCCTCACCGCCAATCACTTTCTTGCCAAAGACGAGATTGACATTTGGAGTCCTTTCGACCACCGTCATCATGGCCATGGACAGAATGATTCGCATGACACGGCGGCCCTTGTACCCGCCAAAGCCGTTTCCATTGTGATCAATAAAGTCAATTGAGCCGATTGAGCGACCTGAACGCATTGAAAAAAGTTCAATCGCATCCACTTCGGCCCCACCGTCGGAGCCCATACGGTCTAACTCGTCCAGAACTCCTAGCTGTGCTAGGTGCCGTTGTGCGACGGGAGTCAAATTGATTGCACCGCCTGAGGTCGACAAAATGTCATGTCGCTCGTAGATTGTGATGTTGAGGTTCGGCACGAATGGTGAGAGCTCTCGGGAGAGAGCCAGCGCACAGGCAATGCCGGCAATGCCTGCGCCAACGATGGCGATGTCGCGTGGAGGACTAGGAAGATCCATCGTCTCTTCGTTTCGAGGTTGTTTTCTTTTCGAGGTTGGTTCAAATACTCAACCAAATAAAAGTCTCCGGTAAATGGCTGTTTGGGGCTATGGCCACCGACAGAACTCAAGTTGGGTCGTTGATGAGTCGTCCAAATCCAAATGATGTTCTTATATATAGATTCACTTATCCAGCGTGGTCCCCCTTTTTTGGTCGATGGGAGGATGAGGGGGGTCGTGAGTGATATATAGAAGCTCTATTGCAAAAATTTTTGACAGCCTAGAACCCTTAACTCGATTTACACGAGCGACGCTTTATCGTTGCTTGGTCATTGCATCGAAGGAAACTCCATAATAAATCTACACCAATCAATCAGCGACCGGATGGAAATCAAGGTTTCCTCGGCCGGGACAGGCGATCGTTCGGCATTTGCGTCCTGAAGCCATCATCCGTGGAACCGTGGTGGATCTCCCCGAGCGCGCACGTCCGGAGTATTCGTAGAAAAGGATAACGTCAGGAACATGACCCGTCACAAAGACAAAAAGGACAGAGAAACGCCCGGTCAGCCAAAAGCTCCGAATAGCGTATTAGGCCGATAGATGGTTGGACGAGGGCGGGCGACAAGGACGAAAGCTCTAAATTTCACACGAGGGGCGGAGTTGGCCTGGGAAACAACTCAAAAAGATAGACTTGATCGACGACCGTTGAGAGCCGGATGGGCTTTCCGGGGCGAAGAATGCACGCCAAACCAAGCTAGGCCGAGCTAACTGAGCTATCCAGTTGAATACAGGAAATATGGAAGATTCAACATTCGCTTGCGCTAGTTTGACACGGTTGACTTGTCAGATCCCGTCAAAAGTCCCACCACCCGACCGTCCTTCTCGCCTGTCTCAGTGTGACCTCGCGTGATATGGAATTTCTTTTCTGCCTTCTTTCTACAACGGCAGGCGCCACAGGTTTGCTCGGTTCTGTTTTCTACGGACTAACCTGATTGCAGAGTCTCGTGAGAAACCTCTTGCTACAGGTAAGGACACTGGAGATGTATGTAGGTGGTCCTCTGTGCGGCCATCCACAAAGTAAATACTTCACTTGAACGGTTCAATTAGCCCATGTCGCTCCACCTTTTTTCTGCATCTGCAATAAGCAACGGAAGAAACGGACCTCGGGGTTCCTTCTCGATTCCTTTTCGCAGACTTGAAACTGCACTAAGTTAGTGACAGCGGATGCATGCACGTTTCTCTTCTAAGCAAAGTGGGTCGGGTCTTTGGTTCAGACTTGGGTAGCTCTCAAAAAAATCTCTGCCTGAGAACAGGAGAACAGGCTTTTCAATCCATGCATGATGTATGTATACGTCTTTAGAGGTGTATTGGGTGATAAAACCGGCTGATTAAATATTTGGTGTCTACGGAAATACGGGGTCCGGAGATGCCGCGATGGACAGCGCCCGGAACCTCGGTTGCACAAGAGGGTTGAACTGGTGGATCTCGCGGTGCGGCTACTAGTGCACTTTTTCTCTTGACGAGACCCAGTCTCCTGACTCGCGTTGTGAAGAACGAGTCCCTCCAAAATTCAAGCTAAGCGCTAGTCTACCGCCGGTTCATATTCAACACGGCTGGCATTGTAACCCTCACTCTACTCCCTTCCACCTTTCTACCGTTTTGTGGCTTTCACGACTTGAGATTCCAGATAGCGAAGACTGCACAGAGCAGACACATTGTGGCTGAAAGATGGTTAGCGCTACACGCGATCGAATTTGCCCAGAGGGAAGACCTGTCGACGCATTAACTGATGTGATTTGATTTAGTCACTCACCGAGTATACATGTCATGTCATGATATCCGACTTTCTCCGTGAGCTGCCCTGACAGGATAGGCCCCAGGAATAAGCCAAATATCCAGCTTAAACGACTGATCAACAGAGCCTGGGAATGCGCTTCTTCACCAAAGCGTCCGGGCTGGTGGGTTTCAATATCCCGAACCGCGTCTGGATGAAAGACATCAGTTTTGTATCTGACATGGCTTCCAACGGTTACTTACTTGCAGACTCCATCGTTCCAGTGCCGTTCAACAACGTCATGAATATCCCCATGGCGGCGATGGCGGCCACGTAAATCATGGGACCTCGATACCCCAGGTTTGCCCAGGGAAACCGGTCATCCCCAGGAGTGCCAGCAAGCCACAGGAGGCCTGCCAGCCCTAAGAACCCGATAGAAGTAGGATAACGTGATCCTACTCGGTCCTTCAGCCATTTCACGGGGATGCTGAAGAAAGCATTCGGTCCCTGCAATATAGCAAAGAGGATTCCAGTTTGCAAGCTGCCCCACTGGAACACTTCACCAACATGAATCGGAAGTGTCGTGTCAAAGCTGAGGGATACGATCGCATAACAGATGGAGCTCAGCACCCCGCCAATATAGCGGCGATTCGTGAGGAGGCAGGTATAGAATTGCAAATCAAGTTTGCTGATGGTTGATTTCAAGTGGCCGGACATTTCGGAGAGATCGGGAGCTGATGAGGACACGAGTAAAGGACTGGCTTCGCTTAGGTCTTCTCCAACGTTCGCCTGTGCTGCAACGTATTTGACCTCATGATCCGTGTCTTGCGGCTGTACCAGCATCAGACTCTGCAGCACAAAGCCAATCACACTTGCACCAAATGCACTCGTCCACGCGGCCCAATATCCGGCGAGGTCAAATATCGCCCCAGCCATCAGGGGGCCTCCACATGATCCTGCAGTCAAGGAGACGGTAAGAATTCCATAAATCTTCTCCGTTCCATTTGACGAAGTATTCTTCGTCAGGTGGGTTATTCCAAGGACACCAACGATCGTATTGGCCACTGCCTGAACGAAGCGTCCGGAGAAGAGCGTCAACACTGACGATCAATATCAGCAAGAGAGAAGAGCCTGTGCGCGGTTCCACGCCATATTTCGTGGCGAGGTCAAGGAAATCTCACATGAATGAGCCGAAGCGATGATCACAGAACCAGCCAATTCTCCAAACAGGCCAAGCAGAAGCCAAGTTCGCGCTCCCAAGTGATCAGAAAAGCAACCAATCACCGGGGTGACGATGAATGAAACCAAAGCCGTTTCCGCCAGTAAGGTAACACTCACGCGCTGAATGAGTTCGGGTTCAAGACCAAGGCGATGCTCTAAAACGAAGGGCAGGATCGAGACAAGAAACTGATGCAGGAACATGTCCGTCCTAAGGGGTCAGCTACCACATAGGATTTGTCTAGGCGTACCAGGTCCGTACCAGTTAGCAAAGCGGTTGCGGTTGCGTTGATGATGAAGAACTCGGATGATCTCCATTTGTAACCCCATGGGGGCGCTTGATCTCGCGATCTTGTCATCTCTGGGACTTGAAGAGTTCCTCTTGTCTTGAGGTCAATTGAATTATTTACGGCACTAGAAATCCACAATGCTAGTCATGTACTACTTCTTTTACTTTATCTAACCAGACAGAAAGATCAACGATCCCTGTGTAACCATCCCATGCAGGCAGGTGCATCCCCAAGTCCCGCAGCTACCCTCATTTTCGATCGTGTCAGAGCAATTTACGCCTAGTCCGAGACTCGCGCAAACACTGCAAAAGCAACTAGACGCATTACCAACACATTACAAGCCAAACAGTCCAGCAAGATAGCAGTGACTGTCCCTTCACGGTTGTATAATTACACGCAAATAAGGAACGCTCGGGTGTAATTCGGAAATCGATCGCCCTTTCGCTAGCCTCCCCACCAGCAGATCCTTTGACCCGTCGAGAATTAACGTTTGGCCTCGGGCGGAAGTGGCCTCGGAGGCTAGACTCTCGCGGGCCTTTTGAGTTTTTGAGCCGTGCTTTGGAGTATCGTTCGATCGGCCCCAAGATTGCCCAGAAATTCGCGTACGGAGGATATTTGATCTAGACCTAGTCAAAAAACACTGGCTTTGAGCAGCGAAGCTGAAGTACATTCCATTGTCTTGGGTTTTTCATCGTTCTACTCAAATTTCTGCAAACAAGGATTAGCAGGTGAATTTCCGGTCCCTTGCTTCTTTACACTATCGGCAAGGCTTGTCGTATAGAACGTAACAGCCAATTGGCACTCCAAGGACTCGGACGCTATTGAATCGCCGATCGTAGATGGATATGCACTCTGGCGATCGGTGTGATTACGCGAATCATTGCATGCCGAGCACAAACTTCTTGAATTTCTAGGCAAAAGACGGTGTGCAACTCGGACAGCTTGTTAAGCACTCTAAACCCCAAGAAAATGTACAAAAACTATATGCAAGAATATATGAAGTGGTTCATATTTTCGTGACGCGTGACATCATATTACCATTCACAAGTATAAGACGCTCGATTGCCTGCAACCCAAGTTTCTTCATCACGGCTGTCCCGTTCTGTCTCCTACTGCAGTGTTTCCGAGTGGGAGAATAGAGTCCACTCGCCATCCGATCCTTGGCCCCATGTGCTTGAGCACGTCGCCCGATACTCTTTCTTCCCCCTCACGGCGCGGACCTTATATGTCACCGCGCCCGCCATGAGATCGATGATGATGACTCGGACCTCGTCGAGCTGGTACCCGTCGAACCGATGGAATGGAGGTTTCAAGGCGTCATTGAAGTGAGATTCGTCTTCCAGGGTCAGGATTTCGGGCATTTGAGGGAATAGCAGGTTGCCTTCGGGGTTGCACAGTTTCTTCACCGCAGGCGCTGGATCGGCGGAGGTAAGAGCGGTCCAGAGTGCCTGCTCTTTGTTGAGGAGATCCTCCCGGATTCGATCGTACATGGACGGCATGATGGGCGAGTTGAAGAGGCAGAGAGGGTCGAGGTGTTGTTATACGAAAATCGAGACTAATAGAAAAGTCTAGTTAGACCACGAGATCACATACTCCTCTTGCCTCCGACCGGACGAACTTACCGAGTAAACAACCCTACAGACGGGGTCGACACAATCAACGCGGGTTCAGGGGGTCACGAATACAGAAGAAGGAGCGAACTGCGGTGGTTTTAATGGCTGTTGGTGCTGGTGGTGGTGCGGCCAGCCCGATATATTAAAATGACGTCACGAAGATGACGTGGGAAGCGCAACGGCCGAAAACCCCCCCGACGATCCGCATCTTGTTGCTGTCACACGAATCCTAATGTCCTCCAAAATAGCCCGCTTGACATGCGTCATGCCCCACGCCAACGTCCGGACCATCAGACACCGTGGCTTGAGCCCCGCGCGTCATAGGGCGTTGTTCAGTAGCACCACTTTGTCGACCAAGTACGGCACGCGGGGGGTTTTCTGTGGCGCAGAATCACCGACCATGGATATACTCCAGCTTTTAGTGGAAGATCGGGTGTCCTCTTGGCAAGGACACCAGGGCAAGATCAGAAAACCTTCGGTGGAAGTACTGAACTGCTTTCTTTCTGATGGCGGCTGACGGGCGCCAGAATAGAAGAGCCATGACTGAGTACCAACTTGGCGGCGCCTTTCAACGAGCAAGTCCAGGCCGATTTCACAATTTTTATGAAGAATGCCCTGGGTCTATCCTGGTTGACTAGGGACTTCCACATCACCACGGAGAATTGGATCGGCCGGGCGTATACAGACAATTTCTTCATCCCCGTTGCATGAAAAGAGAGCAGCATCGTCGCGAACAACTAGCTTCCCGGCTGCGAAGCCCATTTGGGGAATTCATGGGCACTGAAGGGTGGTCGGAGCAGCAAGGTTTAGGAGATACTGTATAATTAACTTGACTAACGTAGTTCATAGGCCAGCGAGCCACCCAACTACCAACTACCGGGTCGGCCCCAACACCACACTAAACGCAATAATTCTCAACTTCATGTTTCAACGGCCAAGGCTGATTACATAGTTCCAGGATATCCCATTAGTAGATATATCATATTGGATATTTAATTAGATCGAGCTGGGACATGAAAATGTCGATCAATATATCTACATCGCCCGATGGGAGCGTATTTTTGCTGATCGCAGTAAGTAATCGTTTTCAAAAAAATATTGGTTCAATTATAGTATATATAATGCTAAGACATTGAACTATCCTAAAAAGCATATTGCAATGTGTTCTCGTGGCTGGTATATTGAATCTAAAAACAAATGGTTTTAGTATGGTGTTTTAGGATGGCCAGGGTAATTGGGTGGCCAGGGTAGCTAGGAATTACCTTCTCCGCTAAGATTAGTTCAGATAGATTTCTTCATCCAAATTGCGAGCCCTTCTAACAATCCAGAGTCATTGTGATTTCTATTGGTGCGCCTACATAGCTTAATTATCTTTGTTCCAACTTGAAGACTACGCGCCCAACAGGGCAACGGCTCGCCGTACTTGAATTTATACGTAACGTTGCCGCGGCAATCGGGCTAGTTAAATGATTCAATTTACGCGACTAGTATATTACTGCGCTCCGCTCCGCTCCGCAAATCATCATACTGTATGTAGACCTATTCATTAAAAGAGATGTACAGAGTCTAGGCTCAAGATAAAGGATAAGGAGGCTCCACACGGTACCTGCATTCAGTCTTTTGTGTCCCCTTGGTTCTAGAAATGTTTTTCAGGGATTTTTTCTCTTCTGCTGCATGAGTGCCATGGAAATTCTTTTCGTAAGTGGATCTCCCGGCACGCTCCGAGGCTTAACAGAAAGAAGGCGTGCGATAACGGCCGCGTTGAAGATAACGACAATCCCTCCCTCGATGACGATTGGCCAGTGAAAGCGTGAAAGCGCAATCCGAAGTTCGGCCTCCACTTGATTGTGTATCTTCTATCAAAAAGGGGTTGAGTTGATGGAGCTGGTCCGACCAAACGCCAATTAGCTAGGCTATCGCCATCATCAACCAAATCTCGTCAGGTACGACCCGCTGATCGTTCCGTTATTGGGCGCGTTTTGAGATCCACTGGAGGGATTGGCGTAATGCAAACCACAATAACGCGATGGGGTCAATTTTTTTTTTCGTTTTTCTTGCTGTCGTGAAGGATGAACCTCGGGGATTTTAAAAAGCCAACAATTTCCCAGGCGGGGTCTCTCGAGAGTCAGAGTGTCTGAACAAATTTTCCCCATTGTTCCTCAAAAATGATGTCCCTGCAGACTTTGGTCACTTCGCTGCTGCTCGCTGGAAGCACCTTCAGCGCAGGGGTTGCGGCGAAGACGACCTCCCACCATGGCGAGAAGATTGCTCCCAAGGTGTTCATTGTCTCGATGGTAGGTATTCTGTACAACAATCCCGTGCCCAATTGGACGTTGTGGGAGGGGACTTTTACTAATCTCTATTCGATGTATAGTTCGAGCCCGAAGCTCAGGCTTGGTGGAACATCCCCGAGTTCGACCTGCTGTCCCACAACATTACCATCCCCGGTCTTTCTCCTCTCTACCCGGATGTTTACTGCACTGAGGACTACGAGGTCTGTCAATTGATCACCGGCGAGGCTGAGATCAATGCTGCCACTACCGTCACTACCGTTGCTTTCTCTCCCCTCTTCGACCTGACCAAGACCTACTTCTTCGTGGCTGGTATTGCCGGTATCAACCCCAAGCGAGCCACCACCGGCTCTGCAACCTTTGCTCGGTACGCAGTCCAGGTTGCTTTGCAGTATGAGATCGACATTCGCGAGCTCTCTAGCAGCTACTCGACTGGCTACATTCCCCTGGGTGCCGACTATCCCGACCAGTACCCCACCAGCATCTACGGCACCGAGGTCTTCGAGGTCAATGCTGACCTCCGCACAATCGCTGCTAACTTCGCCCGCCGAGCCAACCTGTCAGACTCGACCACTGCTCAGGCGTACCGTGCCCACTATGCCAATGGCAGCGAAGAATACAAGGCGGCCACCCTCGGCCCGAGCGTTGTCGAGTGTGATGTTGCGACCTCGGATGTCTACTATAGCGGTAACATCCTGGGAGTCGCCTTCGAGAACACGACCAAGCTGTTCACCAACGGAACTGGTGATTACTGCTCCACTGCGCAGGAGGACAACGCCACCCTGGAAGTTCTCCTCCGGGCCGCTGTCCACAAGTTGGTCGATTTCTCTCGCATCATTGTCATGCGCACTGCCTCCGACTTTGACCGTCCCTACCCCGGAACTTCGGCCACTTACAACTTGCTCTACTCTAACCAAGGTGGCTTCGAGCCCGCGTTGGAGAACATCTACCACGCCGGCATTGAGGTGGTCCAAGGTATCCTCCAGGGCTGGGAGAAGACTTTCAAGAAGGGCGTCAAGGCCACCAACTACATTGGTGATATCTTCGGTACTCTGGGTGGCGAGCCTGACTTTGGCCCTGGAACTACCCAGGCTCTGGTTGAGAGCGGTGCTTACAAGAAGCGCAGCTTGGAGGGCCGTCTGCGCCGCCGTGGCTAAGCGTTCACATTTTTTTGGTGGATTGGTGATCACTTCATCGATGTATATACAATATCTACCAGATCTAAGTGGGGGCCCAAAGTATATAAAATGTATCAAATGAAATCAAGAACAATTATCATGTGCCTTATTCCTCGTACGTCAATAAATTTCATATTAGTCGCCAATAAGTGGCGGTGCTGCGCAGGTATCCAGAGTTCTCCAAAAGGGTGAAAGGAGATCGGTAGCCAAATCAAAGCGAAGCGAGTCAAGCAGTGTGCCATAGATAATAAGGTGAGTTTATAACATCCTCGGGATAGCTCGTTGTAAAGAGAGCCGAAGTTGCGGAGTACCATTTGCACATTGAGGACACTTTATCTCCGTTAACCCCGCGATGACATCGCCATGAGTGTTGGGGGCAATAGATCTCCAAATCTCCAAAACCCCCTCGCTTCGGTCGTCTTTCTCAACCTTCAAGATTCGCAAACTTCGGAAAACAGCAGGCTGAACCAAGATCGCAATTCAACATGGGCTCTGTAATTCAGGAAAATAAGACTGCTCTTATTACCGGTGCTGCGTCGGGAGTGGGATTCGCAATTGCGAAACTCTGCCGCAGCAAAGGGATGAACCTGGCCCTGCTGGACATTGATCAGACCAACCTCGTCAAGGCAAAGAATGTCCTACATGACCTCAACCCAAGTCTTCTGACGGAGGCATATGTGATTGACGTCGCCGATATTGAAATCTGGAAGGCGACTGCACAGCAAATTGCCAGGCTCTTCCCATCGGTTGACCTGGTGGTGCTGAATGCCGGCAAGGGATATAAGCCCCAGGGACAGGAATCCGGTCGCTTGAATCCCTGGCTGGATGGCGATTATTGGCAAAAGGTACGTCTCTGCCCAGTATCGCAACGACTGGTTATACCTAGTTCACCCGTGGACGCCCACTAACGGCTATGGAAAGACATTCGACACGAATGTCCGCGGCCCACTGAACGGACTGGAAGCTCTTCTCCCCATCCTCCGCGCGCCGGAAACCCCATCTCCAAAATCAATCGTCATCACGGGCTCAAAGCAAGGCATCACCAATCCCCCCGGCGCAGGAAACCCAGCGTACAACGCATCCAAAGCGGCAATCAAGAGTTTGACCGAACATCTCGCCCACGATCTACGCTCCGATCCAGCGACCACCCATATCTCAGCCCATCTACTGATTCCCGGATGGACCTGGACAGGATTAATGGGAAACGTTGGCCCCACCAACGAAGCCGAAATTCAGAAGCCCGCTGGTGCATGGTACCCCAGTCAGGTCGCAGAGGAACTGCTCAAGGGACTGGAATCTGGATCATTTTATATCATCTGTCCGGATGGCGAGACGACACCGGCCTTGGACCAGGCACGTATGAAATGGGCCAGTGATGACGTGATTGAAGGGCGACCGGCACTTTCGCGTTGGGATGAGAAGTGGAAGGCTCACGCTGAAGAGGCTATTCAAGCTGATGCTAAATTGCGGAGTGCGTAGTAAACTACTCGAATGAAAAATGTTGCCGAGGTATTGTCTGGTGGTTTGAGTGGAGCCATCAATGGAGGGATACATTGGTAAACTGATTTATGATACACGTGAAATATAAGTGGTGGAAATGTTATAAAAATGAAATAATAATCATCCCTGTCTTGGTCATTGATTCTTGAAATTTGATACTAGAAGATGCTTTTACCTGAGTAGAAGATTCTTGGCAGCTTAACTACTATCAATGGCCGTTGGGGTCGGACACCCGATTAGGAAATCGACAGGGTCTGTTCGCCCGCGATGAGTCGGCGAATACGAAAATGGGACTGGAATAGCAAGCTCATGAGTCACTGCCAACTGAGCATCTAGAATGCCGTCTCTTGATTCGTTCTTTCTTAGTAGTCGGTAGATTCGTGGATTCTAAATAGTCATCGTCCAGGGGTATGGGGTATGTTTGATCGGAAGAGATGCAGAGACCGGGCGAGGCGACGATGTATATAAAAGGACTTCAAAGAACAAAAAGTAACATTTCATTCGATCAGGAATAGAGACATTGAATGGATCGGGCGGTTGGTCCGTTGACTCTCAACTCTTCACCAGTAAGTCGTACATGTTTGGAAGATTCTGCTTCATGATGATACCTATCACTCGCCGAAATGACCTTGCTGGGTAGCTTAAGACCAGCAGGAACGTGATTATAAGTGGTTCTGAGAGCGCTTTATTCTCGCACATTGTGCTAAACTTGAATGTCTGTCACTGTGCTAACTCCGGCTTGATAGGGCGACGGGGCCGTAGGACCAGGACCATGGATGCAGAAAAGCCTCGATAATACAGTTCTCAGGTACATTTATCGACCGCTGAGTATCTTTAAATAATGAGTATTATATTAAGCTTAAGAATATCTACCTTTTACTGGCATTGCAGTCCTCTCTCCAAAGATAAGACATCATAGATTGGAAATAGGAGAATGCAACCTCGGGCTTCCACGAATGGCAAGTCGCCGCAATCGGCAAGTCGTGCGATTTCAGGCAATCGGCCCAACTCCGACCGTTCATTTTGTTTCAATTATCCAATTGATTAATGCTAGCGCAGCCTGGAAGGAATTTGGAGATTGTAGAACATTCCTACGGAGCAGAGCCAAAGGAGATAAGGGGTTGTGAAACACGATCGGCATTCGGCGTGCATATCTGAAGGAATGCGGCTGGTAGATCCAGACACCAGCGTAATCCTGGCCAGCATGTTTTATAGCTAAGATGTTAATGTAGAGCCTCAATCATTGCCATCTGACACATTTTACCAAGCTTCCATCATTCAACAATCCATTATCATCCAGCCGTATCTGCCAAGACAAATCCCCCAACTCTGGCCGCCGACCGGATGCAACCGTCCAGCGATCGGCACGACACCCCCTCATTTACTTTCCCCCGAGATAATCCACCCTGAGCTTGAACCTCCCTCGCGCGAGGGCCGTTCGTGACCTTTTACCCAGTGGCTGTCCAGTGGCTGGTCCGCTTTTGCGGAGAAAAGCGTGGGGGTGACATCGGCAACCGTGATGCAACATTCTCCCTATCGAGCCAGCCCACTCGTCCAAGGGATGCGTTACAGTGACTTGATAAGACGTGGGTTCCGCGGCGAAGCTTGGCCGTCTTCGGTTGGCTTTGACAGGAGGGGAAAGTGAACGGCACGCCTTGATATTCTTTGGGTGTATTCTTGTCGTATTTCTCTCCATCCCCGCCTCATCGTGCTTCTCCTCCTTCCCCTTTCCCTACCGTCTTGCTCTACGCTGCCAAGATGGACTCGGGGCACAAACATCAATCGTCGCTGGACGACGCAACCAAGTCGGGGGCTCGAGGATCAATTGAGGAGCCCAACAAGTTGCAAGGTTACCCTTCAGCTCCTGGCGTAGTCGACGATGTCACTCGGGTGGTTGATCATAAGGCTGAGCGACGTCTATGCCGGCGATTTGATATTCGCTTGTTACCTATTTTGGCGATTATGTGTAAGTGTTCAAGAACAACCGGGCACTCCTCGGTTCGGGCAGGAGTCCAGGATCTTGACAGAATCGGACCTAACTAGAGCTAGATCTGTTCAATGCCCTCGACAAGGGCAACCTGGGTAATGCGAAGACGGATCATATGACGGACGGTATCGTTACCATGCTCTCGGCCCAACATGCGGACAGGATACTGATGGATTTGTCTCACTCACGGCAGATCTCCATTTCAAGCCAAATCAGTACAATCTGCTGCTATCAATCTTCTTCGTACCCTTTGTGATCTTCGCACCGCCCTTTTCCATGCTAGGCAAAAAATTCAGCCCGGCTCGGGTCCTGCCCGTCCTGATGTTCTCCTTTGGCAGCTTCACCCTGCTCTCGGCCGCTGCCAAGAACTTCAGTGGCCTTTTCGCCTTGCGCTGGTTCCTGGGCATGTCCGAAGCCGCATTCTTCCCTCTGGTCATCTACTATCTGACCACGTTCTACCGCCGAGGCGAGCTGGCTCGTCGACTGGCCATTTTCTACGCGGCGTCTAACATTGCCAATGCCTTTTCCGGACTGATCGCATTTGGCGTGTTCCAAATCAAGGGATCTAGTCTGCCTAATTGGCGCTACTTATTCATCATCGAGGGGGGCGTGACGGTCATCTTTGCCGTATTTGCCTTCTTCTACCTGCCCAAGAGTGCCGCCGAGGCCAAGTTCTTGTCGGAAGAGGAGAAAGCCTTGGCCTTTCACCGGATCCAAGTCGATTCGAGCGCAGTGGTGAATGAAAAGTTCCGGTTCCGCGAGGCAATTGGTATCTTCAAGCACCCAACGACATACGTCTTCCTCTGCATTGAAATCTGCCTGGGTGTGCCCTTGCAGGGTGTCGCCCTCTTCATGCCGCAAATCGTGGCTCGTCTGGGCTATCCGACCGTCAAGACCAATCTATACACGGTAGCCCCGAACGTCACCGGAGCCGTGATGCTGTTGGTTCTTGCCTTCTGCTCGGACTATACCCGACTTCGATCGCCCTTTATCGTGCTCGGCTTCTTATTCACTTTCACCGGGTTCATGATCTACGCCTCCATCAATGATGTCCACCAGCAGATCCAGGTCGCCTACTTTGCAACCTTTATGATGACGTGGGGCACGTCGGCTCCCTCGGTGATGCTAAGTACCTGGTACAACAACAACATCGCCCACGAGGGCCGCCGTGTGCTTCTGACGAGTATCGGCGTCCCACTTGCCAACCTGATGGGGCTGGTCAGCAGCAACGTATTCCTCGAAAAGGATGCACCCAAGTATATGCCGGCACTGATTACGGTGGCCGCCTTTGGAGCCACGGGTGCTTGTCTCGCCGGACTGTTGGGTCTGTATATGTGGTGGGATAATAAGCGCCGCGATCGTCGTGATGGACGGACGATTCGAGCGCGGGATATTCCCACGGAGCGTATGCGAGATGGTCCGGCGTCACCCGAGTTCCGCTGGTTCCTGTGAGTTGTAGGAGGTGATAGAATCTCGTGCTGTGTGAGTATGTGACTATGTGACTATGTCAAGAAATGAAACGAATAAAATATCTTATTCTTCTGGAATTGAGAACATACGGCATATTTAGTAATCCAAGGTCGATCCTGTACAAGCTCTCCGCATCCTAAGAAGTACTCCGTGCTATATAAGCTACAATGTATGGATCAGTCTCCGGAATTTGATTATGGAGTATGAAAACATGATACATCCGAGCATTCTGCTCACTGGAATGAAGCTGCCTTACAGTTCGTCCCCGCACAAGCTGTCAAGCGGGACTTGGAGATCTCCGGTGGTAAATTCAAGCATTGACTAAGAGACATTCAGCAAACCAGATCCATTCCTATGATCCGACCGGGAAATAGCAAAGGAGATGGCTGAACGCAACTTCTCTTCAGCCGTTCCGCCCTCGGACGATCCCCCCCGCATTTCTTCAGATCCACCAAGCTGAATGATTCGTCCTCGCATCCTCTCCACATGCTTCTTTAGGATCTTGCATGCTCCTCTCTCACCGCTGCTCGGTATTCGGTCTTATCAACATGCCCACCAGGAGGTTACACAAGAGTATTTGAATCGTTGATCAGCAGCAGGGGCATCACTCCTCACCAACTTCTCTTTCTCACTCTCTCATTCCCACCCAAACTCTGCTCTACAATTGACCCCCTCACATCGTATTCTTCTCCAAAATAGCCACCATCATGTCCAATCCAGGCCAAATCTCCCCTCTCCGCCCGATCACCCGACACATCACCACCCATAACGCCTCGGGCAAAGCAGTCCTCCACTCCTCCACACCGGGCCAATGGAAATCCTACGACGAAAGCTACATGGCCTTCAACGTCATCTACACCACCTCCGAGTTCCCCGCCAACCTCAACGGCGACGCCGACCTCGCCGCACACGAGACAGTCGTCCAATCCGGACACTTGGGCCTAGTCAACCCCAAAGGCACCGTGTGTCGGGTCGTCGACTTTGCGCCCAACAACCCTTGCGTGGTCCACCGCACGCAGAGTCTCGATTACGGGATCGTGTTGGAGGGGACTGTGGAGATGGTGTTGGAGGAAGGGGAGGCTACGGTGATGCAGAGGGGGGATATAGCGGTGCAGAGGGCTACGATGCATGGATGGCGGAATCCGAGTGCGACGGAGTGGGCCAGAATGGCGTTCGTGTTGCAGGATTGTCGGCCGCTCGTTGTTGGTGGGGAGGCGCTGAAGGAGGATTTGGGGATTGCCGAGGGGGTTTTGGAGCCGAGTGGAAATGATCAAAGTGCGTAGGAAGGAGAGAAAAATAAATAGGGTAGCACTTATGGTGCTGAGCGCGTCGAACGACCATCCCTGAGGTTAAACTGGATGAGAAATACAGGCAAGGTTCTCGTCCAAAAGGTTGCGAATTGCGTTCCTCAGGAACGCGGACTAGAGGGGGGAGAAGGCTATAACCCCAGATTTCTCGAAGACCATTCCCCCGATTTACTTCCAACCTAGGTACATTTTCATACTTACTATATCAGGAGGAGTCCAACGTAGAGATCAAGTAGGAAAATATCCACAAAACGCTCCAGAAAACCGTCGAGAAAACCGTCTAGATAAAACGGCCAGGAAACCATCTAGAAAATTATTAACATTATTAAGAAAACTATAAAGAAGATGATACCTATAAATCAGCCCATCTTGGTATGTCTGGCCCGCCCCCGCGCCCATGACACTGTCACTGACATGTCCACAGGGCAGCTTGTGGCACAGATGAGGAACTTTTAATTTACGCTACGGCTTTCTGTCCACGTACAATGGGACCATATTCGTCAAGCGAACAGCCGATTTCGCCTTCCACGTCTTCCGTCCTATAAGAGACGTGGATACCAATCTATCTGCCACAGTGCTTTGCAGCGCTCTGTATCCTTGCCGAACAGGCGCAAGACTACACGGAAGGCTCAGACTTTACGGCGGAGCGTGTAAGTTGCATTCAAGGTGTGTTAGTATATCCCCGCTAACCTAAACTACCAGCTTCGTGGTCAGAATGGCGTCCAGGCTTCTATTCGCTAGAGTCCACTTAGAAACTATGCTGTTAAAGGCAGTCTAGTGGCCGGATTGACCGGCATCACCCCATAATTATTCTCGGCGATCAGCAAGGATCACTCACAGTCTTGAATGTCACCCGGAAACTTTCACCTCAGACAAGGCGATCTTCGAGATTGATCAGGAGGGAACCCGCTACATCGTGAAGTGTTGGGGTCCACAACATGAGCGCGCGTACGTACACCACTAATTGCAGTTTCCCTGGTTCTTATCTCACTGTGTGTATCCGTCTAGGTCAAATGGCGAAATTGCTGTATACGAGCGTCTATCACAGTCACGACCTGGAGGTTACACTATCTTCGCGAACATGATACTCGCCGGGAACATCATATGCTCTAGTTTATTCCCTGACGGGAGGGCACTTGTCCTCCCTTACAGAAATGGGCAGGTCCTCACTCATATCTGGGATAACCTGACTGTCCCCGAGCGAACTCACGTCCGTGAGGAGTGCGAAACGGCCATCAACATTCTTCGGTCTATATCAATCTACATTCCTGATTCTGGAAAGCACAATGTTCTGTATGATAGGGACACAGGAGCCGTGACCATGCTTGATTTCGAAACTGCCATCGAATGTCTCCAGTCAGAACATGTGCCTTATGTGGAGTTGCTATTGCTGTTTGGGGACTCTGAGATGCGTGGGCACACGAGTGGTGTGTAGTTATGTCGTGTTATGCTGGTAGCTTTTGCCGATGCCCCAACGAATTCTTAAGTGGATGTGTATTGTTACGTGCTCGGAGGGAAATGTCAGACCCTTAATAAATATTAATCAATGAATGGCTATTTCAATCCAGGATCAGATGTGGAAAATGCGACCGTTCAATCGCGACGATATTTACTATGCCACATTAGCATATAACTGCATCATCGTACCAGGGTAAAACGTAGAGGAAGTTCGTCTAGAACCGCTATAATAAGCGCGACGCAGTCCACGTTATCTACTACGAAGATATGTAAGGCTTTTCTCAGCGCGGAGAGAATGCGGCGCGGTATATGTTGGGAGTAGACCCTTTTCTATATATCCGATATAAGCAGTTCTTTTTCCTTGATTCTAAGCCTGGACCTTGATCACCACTTTACCAAAGTGGCTACCACTCTCCAAAAACTTGAATGCCTCTTTCGCCTCCGCAAAGGAGAATGTCCGGTTGACCACGGGTCGAATCTGCTTCGCCTCGTAGAACCGAAGCATCTCCTCGAACCGATCCTTCGGTCCGTTGATGATTCCCTTCAAAGTCACTGTCCGGCGCAGCGCGAGGAGGTTCACGTTTAACCGGTCATCCTTGGCGTCCACCTTGCCAGATACATAGCCGATGCAATTGATGAGACCACCCCATGCGATACAATCAAAGCTCTTTCGCAGGGTCTGAGCACCACCGGTCTCGAGAATGATATCTGCGCCGTGGTTCTGGGTCCATTCCATCACCTTCTCTTCCCAATTAGGCGTGGTACGGTAGTTGATGGTAAAGTCAGCGCCCAGCTGTTTGGCTTGTTCCAACTTGGCATCGGAGGAAGAGATAATAATAGCTGCAAACCATCTTGTCAGTATCTTCTCACTCAGGGAACAAAAGTAAATCCAACAATCCCTTCAAATTCTCTTCTCATGACACTCACCCTTGGCCCCGGCAGCCTTCGCAATCTGCAAGCCAGCAATCGCCACACCACCCGTTCCCAGAAGCAAAACATACTCATCCCGACCCCCATGTTGGCCCATGGGCCTCATCCCATTGATAGACATCCAAGCCGTCACGGCCGCAATAGGCAGGGTACAAGCCTCCTCGTCCGACAGATAACTCGGCGTCTGCACGAGACCGGTTTCGGGGAAGACCCGATGAGTAGCCAGGACTCCATTCAACGGGAGACCGAGACTACCAGCCAACATCTTCTCGGTGACTTGGCCAGTTTGATGTTCAGGCAGGAAAGTCGACAAAACACGATCTCCGACGGTCCAGCGGGTTACGCCGGAGCCCACTTGGACGACCACGCCGGACATGTCGGAGCAAGGCACGATGGTGGCATTTCCCTCGGCGGTTTTGTGGTGCTTGTATTCTCCCTTGGTTACTGTGGCTACGTATTAGCTTTACCATAATTCTCAATCTCTTCTATTCCCCGGGTTAACCGACCTTCCACGTCCCGATAATTCAGCGACACGGCCTGAATCTTCACCAGGACCTCGCCAGCTCCCGGGGAGGCCAGTGGTGCCTCCGTCTGGCGAAGACTATCCAATCCCTCCAGGGGAGTCATCCACTGCTGAATTGACATTATATCCGTGGTGTCTGTGAAGCTGAGATGAGAACTCGATAGTTGAGTGATGTCATTTCTTCAAATTGCTGAAGAAGACCGAGTTGGAGATAGTTATTTGGAGACGTGGCTGAGTAATCAACGCTGAAAATGGAGACTCATGCGGGGCAGAAAAACACCCACTCGACCAAACTCGTCGTCTCTATTATCTTTCAAGGCTCTGATATCGCTAGAGGTGCTTGCTTACTGCGGTCGGGTTTGGGAAAGACTGACTCCGCAAGCTTGGAGTCTATTTTGGGAGATCTAAAGACAGACACGGGATCGTTGCAACGCCCGGACGCGCGCCGGACGCCTAACTCCGCCAAACTCCGTCGGCGAGAAACATAAATGAATCAGATGGATATCGACTGATCTATCATTCATTCATCCGCCAACCTACACGATGGTAGGAATTCACACCCAAATTCAGTCCCCTCTGGATGCGGAGCACTCGACCAGAGCTTCGAATACTCAATCAGGTCAGTACCCTCCCATCCCCATCAGCGACTGTCAACTCATTCTCATTCCGTCCTAAGCGCATCTCCTCCACTCCCCCGGTGGAAACGACTCTCCACACCTGCCACAAATCATCTCCCATCGAGGATACAAAGGCAAATTCCCCGAGAATACCTTCGCAGCAGTCCAAGGCGCCGTCCAAGCCGGGACTCAAGCCCTAGAGATCGATCTGCACCTCTCCCGAGATGGAGTCCTCGTACTATCCCATGTTAGCACTATTCCACTCCCAGACGACACATTCATATGCTTTCCATTCCACTAACCCCTACATCAGGACCCAAGTCTCCAGCGATGCTATGGAGTCAAGAAAAAGATCGCCGACTGTGACTGGGCATACCTCAAAACTCTGCGCACCCTACAAGCACCCCACGAGCCCATGCCCAGGCTAGTCGATATCCTCGAATATCTACAGCAACCAGAACTAGATCATATATGGGTCCTACTCGACATCAAAGTATTTCCCTCTCCCCGCTGCTTCACATCCCCCATCCTGACACCCATCACCAGGTCTCCAACGACCCCGAAACGATAATGCACCGCATCTCCCAAACAATCTCCTCGGTGCCACCCTCCCCAACAAGCCGGCCCTGGCATAACCGCATCGTCCTCGGCTGCTGGTCCGCAGCCTACATTCCCTTCCGCAACAAATACCTCCCCACCTACGAATTATCCTTAATATGCTTGTTCGACCTAAAACACGCCCGCCAATTCTTGCACACCCCCAACATATCCTTTAACGTCAACCGATTAATCCTAATGGGTCCATTAGGGCGGGGCTTCTTAGAGGAAGCGCGCGCCGCGCAGCGCAAGGTGTTCTTGTGGACGGTCAATGCGCCGAATTTAATGCGGTGGGGGATTCGGCAAGGTGTGCAGGGGATTATCACTGATGATCCGGCGCTGTATGGGCGAGTTCGTGACGCGTGGGAGGCGGAGAAGAGTGGAAAGGACAAGGATGGGGTATTAGTTAATCCAGAGTTGGTTGTTGATGAATTGAGTTTTCGGCAGAGGGTGCAGATCTGGTTGGTGGTTGTTATTGTGGTGTTGTTTGGGTGGATACTGAAGCGGAAGTATCATGTTGGTGTGAAGAGGGTGCAGATCGAGAGGAAGGATGCGTGATGGGATGATTATGCCTTGATCCTTGCGAAAGTCAAGTGAGACGATTACCCTACTGCAAATACATTGTAGATATAGAATTGCTGAGTATTCTTACTAGAAACATTATCAAGTTCATTCGAGTCTGTTCGAAGCACAAAGCAGGGGGAGTTAAAATTATATAAACCACCAACAAAACACCGCACCAAGAGAGAAGAATACACGTTGGTAACATGGCGACATGACCATAATATAAAGGTGAGAAACACCGGCGCGGATGAAGGATGATTCCAATCCCAAGACAACGCAATTGAAAAGGCAACGCACAAAAAAAAGGGGTGAATAGAATGAGAATGGAATACAGTGGACATCAGTCCAGATGCAGAAGAAAGAACGATCAACGCTATCATCGGCAAAAGCCAAACACAAGGGCATGGAGGGTATAAAGCAATCTAATAAAACGAACGACGATTCCGAGCAAGCGGAGTAAAGAAAAAATCAAGCTCGGGGGAATAAGAATGGGGTCACGTCGAGTGACAAGCGAAAGAAGTGGTGTACAGTCCGGTCGCTGAGGACTGCCGAAAATGGAAAATTTGCAGCCGAATTCCCACAGCTCAAATCATCATGAGCCTGGTGGTTCTCCGCTCCGGAAAACGTCTGGCGCCTCCTCCAGAGGGGGGACGAGGACCGGAACGAAGACCCCCACTACTCGGCGATGGCGAGGGGGGAGGCCTGTATCCCGCAGGGGGAGGGTACGCACGAGATTGAGCCAGAGGGGAAGACCCGATCGTGGGTCGACGACGACCAGGTGGCCCAGGTGGTCCTGGAGGTCTCAATGATCCGGGGGCTCCGGGGGGTCCGGGAGGACGGTAATAGGCATTAGCAGCACGCCGAGCATCCTGTTCGCAGTAGACTTCACCATTCCACTCGAAATAGTCCCCCTTAAGTGAGACATGACACGTTCGGCATTGGAGACACTCCAGGTGGAAACGGCGTCGCTCGGGTCGACCGCCATTGCGCTCGACGGTCTCGAGGTATTGACCCTCGATACCGTTCTGGCAAGTTGAACACAAGGAGCCGTTCCTTTCGTGGTAGTGCTGGGCACAATAGGGTCGGTTGTTGAGGACGTAGAAATCGGTGGATGGGAAGGGGGAGTGACATTCAAAACAGACAAAGCATCCGCGGTGGTATCTCCCAGTTAGGCGGCCGTCCGAGGAGGAGATGGACTTGCCGGTGATGGTTTCGCCACAACCCTTGCAATCACCCTTAGAGCGAGCTGCGGAGCGGGTTGGAGGACGAGGAATTGGTTCCGTCGCAGATCGCTGCATAGGTCGCCGAAGTGGAGAGGGATCCTGGATTTCATCTTGCTGCGGAGGTGGCGGTGGGGACGGTTGCTGCTGCTGCTGTTGCTGTTGCTGCCGTGGGCGTATCCCTTCCTCACGCCTCTCAGCAATCAGAGACAGACTACCTTGGCCAATTGCGGGATCGGTTGGAGAATCAGGGCTGAAGAAGACCGCAGGAATCGGAGGCACATCGTCCATGGTACTGCGGATCCGGCCTGGCAGCTCCAAAATAGTCTGTCGTGTTCGCGGTGGCAGTTCCTCCACCAGAGGACCCAGATTCAGAGGATCCGTACTTTTATGCCGGTTCAAGCTGGTATCGGATGGCAGGCTGGACATGGAACTTCCGCTATAACTTCCACTGCGGGTGTCGGACGGAGACGATTCTGAAGAAGTCGAGCCCTCTGGTTGCTCAACTTGATGGTCATCCAGACCCAAAGCACGCGCGAAATTGGTGATTGAAATAGCACTTTCGCTCGTTGCGTCAGAAGCTTTCCTAGGAGCGTCGCTTCCTCCGGCTTCCGCATTGGCGGGTTGCAAGAGGCTCGGTGAATAGGCCAGGTATTTTCGCTCTTGGTCGACGACAATCGGATCAGGGTTGGGTTCTTCTGGGAGATCATGCAGCCCAGTAGGAGTGTGAGCCGGAGAAATACCGAAATCGAATCCACTGTAGGTTTCCCCACGGGCATCCTGGGAGGAAGAACTGGTCGACAAGTTTGAATTCGAGTCTGAGGAAAATGATGCCTTGTTTGGCGTGCGAAGGGGCGCCGGAGGCATGGGCGGAGTGTCATCCATGAATGAGCGTAGCCCCCGAGAGAAGCTATGAGTTGATGATCGTGCAGTTGAGCCCTCGTAGCGGGTACTAGCCAGCGACGTACGGTAGCTACTGTGACTAGCCATTGAATCACCGCGACTGTGTCCACCATGTGCGAACTCCGTTTGGGGTGGAAGGGGACTAGGTGGGAGCTGGATATCCTCCGGCACCAGATCTGATCCGAGTCGCGGGGATGGAGTCGGGGCTGGGCGGGCTGGTGACCGTGCCGGGGGTTCGTATTTCATCGCAGGCGTTCCAACTAGAGCCGGCGACCGGCGACCGGGCATGGGAAAGGAGAATACCGTATTCAGATCGAGCACCGACTCGTCATCGGGAGACACTTGTGAGTTGGACACTGATAAATGCATTGGAGATCGAGGAGCCGAGTGAATTGAAAGGGGGGATGGTAGATGCGATCCAACACTACTCGCCGGCGTAGGCACAGTCGGTTGGAGGAATGCGCGATCTATGTTCCATGGTTAGTGATTTAATAGTCCATGATCCTTGACAAGGGGAGATTGACTCCCGCCAGGGTGGAAACATACTGGCGATCGCAGGGTCGATGCGAGGGGGTGCTCCAGGCCGACCGGGTTTACCAGCCATAGCCACGGTCAATTGGTCTGGAGCATCCAGGCCGGCAGACGGGGGTGGTGAGGGAGGAGATGTCGCATGAGATGTTATGTGAGAGGGGTCGAGAGTCGACAGGGTAGAAGAGTGTATTGTTGTTGACGGCATGCCATGGTCAATAGGGGCGCAGACATGGTCGCCCATGGCCGAGATTTCAACATTGTTTCCACAGTTGGAGCATTTGATCGTGGGCAGAAAGCCCGTATCTGCCGCCATTCTGGTTCAAATCAGAGGTTTGCGATCACTGAGGGTTGTCATCGAGTTTCAGAGGGGCTGATGCCCTGTCCTCATCGCCCGCACTCAATAATCGGGAGGTTGTGAGATGGGTTGGAGATGCTCTGGTTCAGGTATGGAGTACAGAAATTGAGTATTTGAATTCTGGAGTAGAGACAAGTTGGAACCGGCGTGGATAGTTGGTGGTCCGGGAGAAGGAAGATAGAATGATTCCAGAAGGGAGACCCCCCGAGTCCAGTCGACAATTGTCAATGTCAATAATGCTGGCCGACCCCAGTCTCAAAGGGAAATGGTCGATCGCGGGCATCTCCCACGGTGTTAGCCCCCGAGCTAGACCCACGCGAGGGCCATTCAGGAGGCGCCCGGGCCCAGTACGACGCCGCTAGTGCGTAGTGTCTCCAGTGCGGATGGAGGATTCGTAAGTCCAAAGTCTGGTTTTGTGGTTCAGGGGGTTTGCCCACAAGTTCACCATGGATGCGGCGAGTCTTGACTTGGAATTCAGCCCGAGTACCCAGTTTGGCACTGCGAAAGTGTAGTGTTTCAATGTACACTTCTCCGTCGGGAGTCCCGAAGTTGATAAAGGGTTGGTTCCACTCCATGCTGGTAACCATTCCCGTTGTTCGGTCTCCCCTCTGACGATCTCCTCCGTGCGGAGCACCCCGAAATATCCCTCCTGCATTCATCCAGGCCCTTTCAACCCTCAGCAAGTTTCCCTTCGTCTTCATCTCTGCCGTCCCAAGGGGGGCCGGCGGTGTCGATCAGGCCTCTCAGGAGCGAAGGCGCAACTAAAGTGGAGCCCGAGCACTTTTTCTTGTCGCGAGTCGCGACTCGCCAGGAACCCTTTTTGTTTTTGGACGCTGACTCGCTCTAGCCTCTAAGGTTGTCCGGGTTCCACTGGGCACTGAGCTGGTGCCTGGGCCACGAGGTTGCGCTCCAATCATCGTGTGTGTCTGATGCATTCAAGAGCTGCCAACCAGCGAATCGGCGGGGGAAATTCCCCCCCCCGATCGAGTCCGTGCTGACGTAATGTAACTCCCGTGACAGAGCGCGATTGTACTTGACTGTACTGGTATATGTGGGAAATAGCACAGGAATACATAAGAGTACTTTATCAATGCAAACCTTACTTAGCACAATGATAAGATCACCACAACAACCATGTCTCAAAAATCCCAAATACTAAGATAGACGCCCGTCACAATCACAATCACACGCGGGGGCCATGGGGCCTATGGGGTCCCTCCGCTCCATATGGTCCATGCAGAATGGGGTCCCTCGCCCCCAAGTTAACTACATAGTATGATATTGTATTACTTTGGCCCCGCCCCATTCCCTTCAAGCCAATCCAGGTGACTCTTCAGCTCGCGCTTGTACTGGTTGCAGTGATAGACAGTAGCCAACTGGTAGCCGATCAAGCGAAGTAGGCCCGTCTCTGCATGCTATTCCGATTCTAGCCATCCAAGGGACTCGGGTACCTGACGCCCCGGCTGACTGCATGCGGGCTTATCAAGTCGATTGGAGTTGATTATTTGGGGGTCGGTGCTTGACATCGTTTAGAGCCACAGTCAACACGTGAGCAAGCCTGGTTTGCTAATATCCTTATTGAACTATTGAATACCTGGTGCCAGATCGAGTAATGTATTCACCCTGGCCCGTTCTTATCTTACCGAGCATTCGAATTACACCGTTGTTAAGATGTTTGTGTTCAAGCAACGGTCAAGAAGTGGAATTAAGACATGACTGTCAAACTCGCCCTCCGCGGTCGATGAATCATGTTTACACCATATTGGCCGCGGTGCCCGTCTCAATGAGAATTAATGTTGTTCTGTCACGTGGGGTGATTCCAAATTGCCTGTCATCCTTGGCTGGGATGGATTGATACCCAGTTCTTTTTCCAAGGATGTGACGAACCCTTTGCCAAGAGGTTTGTCACGACTGCACACTTGCTGGTATCTTGCCGAGCCGTTTCCGAATGCTGTGAGGGTGCTTTTGATAAGAACTTTGTATCAGTTTCTCTTCTCTTGTGGTGGTCTCGCAGAGGAAGTTGACGCACATTGGTAAGACACAGCTCCCGGCTAACTACTACTTCAAAGGCCAATCGTCACGTTTTGAGGTGCGAACACGGTTACAATTTGGCTAACTCGCTGGAACAGAAAACTAATATACTTCGAATGTTCTTGTGAGTAGAGCCTCGTAATATTCACTTCGTTATAATTCAACCGTGGGCTCCAGTGTAGGAGAGAAGTGGCAATGGTGGAAGCGGGATCAGGACCATGAGTTAGCGGTCGGTCAAAACTATCCATAATTAGATCAATTATTGCGGTATTCTGAGTGAGCTTGCGCAGTCAGTATTCCTAATTTGTGCATCCGGTGTACGAACTAATTGCTTAACTGCATCTACAGTGATATTCTATCGAGGATGATTAACTTGGTTGAGTATGCATCTCCACCGCAAGGCCAGGTCAAAAATATATTTAGCCACGGCTCTAAGTACAACAGCCAGTATTTTATAATCCAAGACATTAATGATCGATTCAAATCAAACGTTAAGTTTCTAATAGCTTTTAAATATACATCGTAAATGAGGAATGAAACCATATTATTTAATCAAAGCAACAAGAGAAAAAAAAAAAACGGCCCCCCCCCCAATAGAGGTGGAAGAATCTTTGCGAAGGAAAAAAGAAGTGGTCCCAGAGGGGGTCGAACCCTCGACTTTGGCGTTATTAGCACCACACTCTAACCAACTGAGTTATGGAACCGCTAACCAACTAGGCTATCTGGTCTAGTTGATGGAGAGATGGAGAAATATTTGACGCTATGTAGGTTCCACGGTTTCATGCACATTCAAATAGGAAGGAGGACTGGCTTAGTCGACGTTTCGGACATTTCATCAGGGACAGATAAGTAACTTTAGTTAATTAGTTAAATGGCAGAATATGATTAACAGGCTCAGGAAAGAACCATATATTCGCTTACAGAAACGGGCATTGCCTATCTAATAGGTATCCATTATCGACGCTCTTGTGGCGGGACCACCCATGCAGTTCATATACACGAAAGCACAGCAATCATGATTCACATACACCCAACCTAATGCTTTCAAATACTAACCACCTTATACAAGACCTTAGCCCAAAGACAAAAAAATCGAGGCTTCTATGTGTTGAAGAATTATCCAGTCTTACCATCAGTTATGGAAGTAAGGTACACGTTGAAACTTCCTAAGACGTCCTGTGTTTCTACCACACAAGAATTACGCTCACCACAGCCTGCATCATAGTTCTGAAAGCCAAAAATAAGCTAACGTAAAGGCTGGAAGGGGGCAAAAACAATAAGGAAATGGTCCCAGAGGGGGTCGAACCCTCGACTTTGGCGTTATTAGCACCACACTCTAACCAACTGAGTTATGGAACCGCTAACCAACTAGGCTATCTGGTCTAGTTGATGGAGAGATGGAGAAATATTTGACGCTATGTAGGTTCCACGGTTTCATGCACATTCAAATAGGAAGGAGGACTGGCTTAGTCGACGTTTCGGACATTTCATCAGGGACAGATAAGTAACTTTAGTTAATTAGTTAAATGGCAGAATATGATTAACAGGCTCAGGAAAGAACCATATATTCGCTTACAGAAACGGGCATTGCCTATCTAATAGGTATCCATTATCGACGCTCTTGTGGCGGGACCACCCATGCAGTTCATATACACGAAAGCACAGCAATCATGATTCACATACACCCAACCTAATGCTTTCAAATACTAACCACCTTATACAAGACCTTAGCCCAAAGACAAAAAAATCGAGGCTTCTATGTGTTGAAGAATTATCCAGTCTTACCATCAGTTATGGAAGTAAGGTACACGTTGAAACTTCCTAAGACGTCCTGTGTTTCTACCACACAAGAATTACGCTCACCACAGCCTGCATCATAGTTCTGAAAGCCAAAAATAAGCTAACGTAAAGGCTGGAAGGGGGCAAAAACAATAAGGAAATGGTCCCAGAGGGGGTCGAACCCTCGACTTTGGCGTTATTAGCACCACACTCTAACCAACTGAGTTATGGAACCCCAATTGATGACTGAGCGCTGAAAAGTATGGGTCAAGTAAGTGTATCACAACGGTTGACGATGTTTCCGTTTCGGTTGGATTGTGGACTGCTTGGCGCTCGTTAGCGTCATCCTTTTGGTGGCCTTGATCATAACTGACGTCATCTCCGCACACATTTCATTTCAGTGTCTCACTGTAAAATCTAGAATACAGAACACAGAAGAAAGCACTACACAAAAGGTCCCATTCGAGGCCTCGATGCTATCTTTAGCTCCCTACTGTTTTCTCATTTGTAAAGTAGGTTTCTCAAGTATGAAGGATGGCAAACTACCTTTTTGCGGGCAACCCTCTAAATATAGCCCCCACTATGCTTCCCCCATTCATCAATCGGGTTCCATAACTCAGTTGGTTAGAGTGTGGTGCTAATAACGCCAAAGTCGAGGGTTCGACCCCCTCTGGGACCATCACCAACGAAGATCGTTGATATTTTTGCTCATCTAGTGGGTTACCCATGTCGGAAGGGCGACGTTATTTCATTTTACTCTTTTTGGCCTCAGTGGGATGGTGCCGAGTGGAAAATACGCAACGTACATGCACCGAGATAGTAAGGTTTAGTCCACTTATGATGAAAAATTTTGACCAAGGCCATCTAGCCATTTGTCCAACAGTTCGGAAAGAACAAAAGCCGCTTATGCAGTAGATGCATTCTCCAGACATCTAGTCAAGTTACTCGCAGACAAACCATTGGTCAGGCCATCGTTCACGCATTCCTAGCTTCATGCTTTAGATTATATGCGCCAAATTCAATTTCAAATGGACACTCATGCTTTCTCAATTTGAGCCGCCTGTCCCTCGTTTCCGCCGTAAGGTCTCTGGTCCATCGCAACTTTAAACCATACCCCATAAACAAGGGCAAAGAGACCTAGGCCGTTCGTGATATTCTGACGGTAATAACGACATGATTCTGCGTCACAATGTTGACGACACACAAAGGTAAATAGACTGATCAACACGCAGAGACAAATTATAAACCTCCACGATGCGAATTAGCAGTTTATATTAGAATGAGAGAGGGTGGCATACCGGATTGGATGTCTACTGAATCCCAGTGGTTCGAGTATACGACTTAAGGGGTATTCGAAGGCACGTTTTGGGTGAGCGGATACTAGAGGGAGGTCGGAAGGGCTTTTCGCATCCATGGAGAATTCCAGATGGAGTATGGTGTGTGTGAGAGGTAGAACAGGGCGGCGATGAAATATTGCACGCCGTGGACAGGGGAAGGATTCCGAGGTCAAGAAAATGTAGGTCCGCCCCCAAAATTCTTAGTGTACACACCCTGGTCAAACGTTTCCCTAGTTAATTAACTAATTAACTAGTTAGTTAGTTAACTAACACTCCGCGATTATGTAATTTCACCATCTCCCATCTTAACTTACACCTTCAAATATATTCCTACATGAACCAAGGAGTTCACCACTATAAATTTTACTGCATATATTTGTGACTGGGTATACCACCCTTTTGCCTGACGTAAGGCCTCCAAATGCCTAGGTATGCTAAGAATTAGGCTGTCAATTTTAGCCTGACCGACGCATTCAATGCAGCTTTCAAACACCTCAGAAAATACTGCCAGTCTGCCCCGGATCTTCCTATACCAATTGGCCCTAGAAACACCTAAAAACTGTAAATCTCAGTAAACGCTCGACCGGCTTAATTGGGTTCACATGAGGCGAGTGCTGAAGCTAATCAACTCCTCGACTTCATGACTTTGAAACTAAACTTTCACTATAGCCGCCTCATAACTCGATGCGTTATCTTACTGGAATATAATTGGGGCTTCATATCCAGGTATCAGACCATCATCGAGCGCTTAGATATAA